TTGACCTTTTTCTTTGTTATATTTGGCGGGTGATGGTTTATGATGCCAAAGGTGGTCGTGCCAACTTTGTCATAGTCATAAAACTCATGCTTGTTCCAAAAAAAAAACAAGAAGGTCATCCTTGTTAATTTTTCTTTAACACCAAGACTCATGGTTATTTTATTTGGCACCAATGTCATATTGTTGCAATGAAGAGATTTACTAGGGAATATAGTTGGCATTTAGCTTAATACTAGATCGTACCCGTGCTGTATAGCACGAGATTTAATATTTTTTATGAATTAAATTATATATTTTGTTCGAAAAAATAAGAAATAATATAGTATAATAGTATAGTATAAAAGGGAATATATCATAATATTTTATTTTTATTACTATTTGGATATAATGTTATATATTTCATTTGATTATGGTTGTATATTTTGTTTGTAGAATTAAATAATAGTATATGATAAATTTTAAATCTATATTCTATATTATATTGGGTTATTTTATTGTAGGAATTAAATGTTGTTTAATCGTAACTTGGTTGAAAAACATGACTTGATAATAAAGAAGGAGAGAATATTATATTGTATATCAAATATATTTAGCTGCATTAGATTTGTATTTTTGTTTATATGAGATTAACAATTTATTTGGTTCAATTAGATATTCATAATTGCATTGTGTCATTGAGAGCAAAAAAATAATAGTTGTATTAGGTCTAAGTTTTTACGTGGGTTATATTAGTTTTGTTTGGCCCAATATCACGTTGTTTAAAAAAAAAAAAAGAATATTTGATAAAAACTTTATCTCTTTTTTCTTGATTACTGAATAAATCTACGAATTAACAACGTCAAGACGCAAGATAAAACGCAAATATCAATTAAAAGGAATTTTTGTTAGTAAATCTTTCAAATATATTTTGTTAGCAAGTTTTAATATATTTGAAAGTAAAAATCTAAGCTTACAAATCTTATTATTTTTTACGTTGTAATTTTATAGTTTTGAATCTTGAAATCTGGTAAAAACAGAATTTCAATTAAAATTAATTATAAAAAAAACTAAAATGTAAAATCGGAAAAAGAATTCGCCAAAAAGAAGCCCTAGAAGCAATTTTCCTACATTCTAGACACTTCTGATATTTTGATCAAAAAAAAAAAAAGACACTTCTGATAAAGCGTTTCAAAATTAATTTTGTTAATAAAACATATTTTTCCATTTTTCTCAATTGAATAAATTAAAAAAGAAAAAAAACTGTTTCTAGAGGCTTCGTTAGCCTAATTCATTAATCTAGGTTCCCCAAATCTCAGCGAAATCTAACTTCTCTTTGCTCTCTCAGTAGCTGAAAATCTCAATCCGTATAGCTTAGCTTCCCTAATCCAACAACCATGGCAAAGTTCGGCGAAGGTGACAAGAGATGGATCGTAGAAGACAGACCTGACGGCACCAACGTCCATAACTGGCACTGGTCCGAAACCAATTGCCTTGAATGGTCTCGCAACTTCTTCACCAAACAATTCTCCGGCGTTGTTATCCTCTCCGGCGAAGGTAATCTATTCATCAAGGTCAATAAGATCGAGAAAGTCGAAGGCGAGGCTTATGTGAATGTAAGGAAGGGGAAGATTATCCCTGGTTACGAGCTTAATGTCTCTTTATCTTGGGAAGGTGAGGCCAAAGATTCCGATGGGAAGACGCTGTTGAAAGCTGATGGATTGGTGGATATGCCTTATATCTCCGATGAGAATGCTGATGAAGATCCCGAGATTAGGTTTTCGGTGAAGGATGAGGGACCGATTGGGAGGACTTTGAAGGAGGCGATGGTGAAGAAGGGGAAATCGATTATTCTGGAGAAGGTTAGGGTTTATGTGGAGGCTATGGCGAAAGGAGGTCCGTGTAGGGATGAATTGGAATCGAAGAAGGTTGCGCCGAAATCTGTAGCGGCTGGATCAGCTCCGGTGGCGGTGGAGAAGTCTGGTGGTGCCCCTGTGGTATCTGCTGCTGCGGTGGAGACTAAGGTAGTGAAGGAGAAGAAGAAGGCGAAGACTAAGGAAGGGTTTAAGACAATTACTATGACTGAGAAGTTTAATTGCAGAGCTAAGGATTTGTATGAGATTTTAATGGATGAGAATCGTTGGAAAGGTTTTACGCAGAGCAATGCTAAGATTAGTAAAGATGTGAATGGTCCGATTAGTGTCTTTGATGGGTCTGTTACTGGAATGAATCTTGAGCTTGAAGAAGGCAAATTGATTGTTCAGAAGTGGAGATTTGGGAGCTGGCCTGATGGTCTTGATTCAACGGTTAGTCTAGTGATTGTTGCTTAAACATAATACCCTGATTTCGATTTGATTGTGGTTGATATATTGGCTTTTGCTTTGACATTTCAGGTGAAGATCGTTTTCGAGGAGCCTCAACCAGGAGTCACCATTGTCAATCTTACTCACACTGACGTTCCTGAAGAGGACAGGTTAGTTTTACTTAAGAGATTGTTTTCTAGTCTTCCCTATAATGAGTTGCTCTTGATTCTGAATCTGAACTTTGGAATTAGGAAACAAAAAAAAATAGGAGCTTTTAAGTATTTAACTCTTGACACTTATTGAGTGACTATGTTTTGTGTTTGGTTAAATGCAATGAATTCTTCTGGAATTTGGACTTTATATAGCTTGGTTTTAAATAGAACCTTCCTATCGATGTACCAAGGGGTCTATTTGCTCAACTCTCCCTAACCACCTTTAGCTATTTAAATTTCCCAATGACCTACTCTACTTTTATTTATTAACTCTACTATCTCTGCTTATCCTTGACACTGGTTTAACTGGCTGTATGGCGTTGATGGACTCTTCTAGTCTTCCCCTCTAGTGACTTGCTTGTGATTCTGAATTAGAACTTTGGTTTCTGGTAAACCAAGAAAAGAAGTTTGAACTCCTAAGAGTTTTTTCATTCTTAAAGTGGAAAGAAGTGATGAGTGACATGTTTAGTGAGCAAATGAATTCTTTTGGAGTTTTGGTTTACTGTAATGGTTGGTATATGATAGATCACTCCTGATTCCCAATGACCCACATCTCTTTGATCTACTATCTATGTTAATCTTTACTGCTAAACTCACTCTTAGGCTGTCCTGATGATTGAACTCTTCTTTGTTCCTTGTAAACACTTGATAACTTATTCCTTAGTGTGTGAATAAGTTTGTCTATATTCCATCTGATTTCCTCCTTATGTGAAGCAAATATCTTAGAGAGTTGTGTTAACTTTATGGTTGCTTGCGATTTTTTTGGTATATGTCCTCTGTCTTAAGACGAGTGAGTGATTTTCTGTTGCTAATATAATTGTGAGGATATTGATGTAACTAATGTTATCTGATGTTTTTCCAATGGTTGATGCAGATATGGGAATGCGACTGTGGTGGAAAACACTGAGAGAGGATGGAGAGATCTTATATTCCATAGGATCCGTGCAGTTTTCGGATTTGGAATATGATTTATGATTTTGATTATCAAATAAGTTGATTATGATTTCAATTCGAACAAGAGGGACCAATTAACAATGCAAAATGTATGATTTTAAAGTTTTTCACTTTTAGTTAATGCATTCCCCTTGAACTTATATACTCTCTTTCTTTAGGCCATAGGCCCTAATCAATGTGATCAGCATCCGTTGGTTATATTTCCTTGATCTTTTTTTGTCGATGACACATACACAAATCACTTAAGAATGATTATGATTTAGAAAACTTATGTTATGTTGAACATATGAGGTCGGAAAATGTGTCACATTGTAGATAAATGCTTTGTTGACAATTAATGGACACATCGTCAAGGAATGGCATGTGAGTGATCAAACTATCTCTACTGCAAAAGAGAGAGAGAGATCATTTCGCTTTCAGCTTTTCAGCAATTAAATGGGAAACTTCGCAATTATTGCGCATGCAGCAACACAATATCAATCACCATGTATAGATTCAAATTCACAATATAGCTAGATCAATAGTCTATTACTTGCGTAAACCTAATGCTTTATGTATCCCATGTGACGGGATTGCGTACGTTAGCTCTATATAGTTCATGTGTTTTTAGATTTCGTCTAGCACTATTAGGAATTTTTACGTTACTGGAAAAGAGAACAAATATATGAGAATGGCAAAAAATCGGGTAGAAGCGTGTGTAGTTTAAAGGTTTCAAGAAAAATAGAAAACAGACAAAAATACATGAAAATGGCAAAAGATAAAAGCACAAGATCTCATTTCCATATTAATGTATGTATATACAGATTCACTAAGCAGTTGACCTTACCTACTCGAATGTAATAAAAATGTAACAAGAAAACATTATCAATTGAAAATGACATTGAAACTAGCATTTGACACAAATTATTAAATCTAAGAAACGGCTGATTTATTAAAATTTAGTTTTAAATATGGTTGACCAAGTAGTTAATTTTTGTTACAGCAGATCCAAGATTCAAATCTCGAACACTAATGCAGTTTGTAAATCTAAATTTTGTGGAAAGTTCTAAAACACCATCTCACGTAGTTCATGTGATAGATATTGAATTAATCTATATGTGTTTGTATATAACTCTGTATACACTTTAACAGAAAATATAACATTATATACAACAATAAATCGTTATCTATATTATATATAACTCATTAGAAGTTTAGAACAAATAAAATGTGCGCAAAAATAACAAATAATCAAAAACCTTGGAAAAATAGGTGTGGTGATCAGTTCTTCTGAGAAACTTTCATCTTTATAAGCGAATAAATAAAGTATGACAAATGTGGGACGAAGAGTAGGAACATCGGATAAAATAAGCTATTGCTGAAATATGTAAATGAAAAGTATAGCAAATTAGCAACTAGTTTTCTTAAGTTTATAGCATTAGAGTAAAATCCAAGTTCAAATACTAGACGTTGGATTGGTTTTTAAGCTGATCCGGCTCACATGATTGGCGCTTCTGCGATATTTCAACTATTCTCATCACATGGCATTAGGTGATTATGATTTGTGATCATTAACGAGACTTCAAACCATTAATCTTTTTATTAACCTGGTTCGTATTTTCTCTGATTTAGTCGTTTTCTTGTTTCATAGGCCAACATAACCACCAAATATGCTTTCTACAATACATTCGTCACTTAAAGATACCAAACAGTAATCTATAAGCAAATTAAAATAGTTTCTGTTTTTGTTTTCATCTGCGCAATAACGTTTTAACAAAAAAAAATCTCAACATTCCAAATGTACCAAAATCTCAACATTCCAAATTCCGCGTCACAAAAACAGTGGCATTTCTCGTAATTATTTCGAAAGACAAGGGCAAATATAAAGAGAAACACTTCAACTTAGCGACAATTCCTAAGCAAATGTCACTTTACCGAAGAAACACATCTCTCTCTCAAGTTTCTAGAAAAAGAGATTTGTTGACGGAGACAAGACTCTTTTTCTTTTTCTTTTTCACTCTCTCTCTCTCTCACCAAATCCTAAAAGACCCATTTTTTAATCTCTCTGAACTCAAAAAAAAAAACACACAAAACCAAGAGTCAGAGAAAAGATTCTCACGCGCCAAAAACTCCCTCGCAATGGCGTCGGACACCGTTAAGCATATGCCTATTCACGGCGTCTCCGCCTTCTCCTCCGTCACCGTCGAAATCAAAAACTTTTTCTCCGCCGTGAAACCAAGAAAAACCTCAACTTTCGTCTACGCTTTCGTCGTAACTTTCGTTGCCTTGACTGTTTTCTTAGCCTTTAGTCCTTCTCCCATCACAGTCGCAATCGCTCCTTCCATTTCTTCCTATATTCTCCCTAATATCACTGTCTCCAATTCACCTAACTCTCCAGCGTCGACCCTCGATTCCAATTTCACCACATTGCCGACACCGGCGCCGGAAAATCTCACGGCAGTTACTAAAAACGTAACCTTTGAGTCCCCCATCGCAAATGGGACAACAGACCCGACTGCTACAGACAACACTTTTCAGTTCAAGACCGATCATGCAAAGGAAAACATATCGTGTCCTGACAACAAGACTGATGTTACTGCTCGAGATTTGGACAAACATGGAGCAAGGAAAGCACCTCTGTCGGAGGTTCTAGCCGTCAATTCCTCTGCTTCTCAGATGAGAAAACAGAGAAGGAAGTCGTCGCTGAGAAAAGTGATCGAGTCTCTGAAGAGTTGCGAGTTTTTCGAGGGAGATTGGGTCAAAGACGATTCGTATCCGCTCTACAAACCCGGGTCGTGTAATCTGATCGATGAACAGTTTAATTGTATCTCTAACGGAAGACCTGACGTGGATTTCCAGAAATTGAAATGGAAACCAAAGAAATGCTCTTTACCAAGGTAAATAACAACACTTGATTACTTTTTTACATGGTGATGACTGGTAAGTCTAATGTAGTCCAAATGATAAGTGTGTGTGTATGAATATATATATATAAAAGGTTAAATGGAGGTAAATTGCTGGAGATGATTAGAGGAAAAAGGCTAGTGTTTGTTGGAGATTCGCTGAATAGAAACATGTGGGAGTCTTTGGTTTGCATTCTTAAAGGATCAGTGAAAGATGAGAGTCAAGTCTTTGAGGCTCATGGAAGGCATCAATTCCGTTGGGAGGCTGAGTACTCCTTTGTCTTCAAAGTAGGTTTCTTTAAGTAATCAAATTACTTTTTGTGTGTCTTCGAGTTTTAATCGAATGATTTACTGTCGATAGGATTATAATTGCACTGTGGAGTTCTTTGCATTGCCTTTCTTGGTTCAAGAATGGGAAGTTACAGAGAATAACGGGACGAAGAAGGAGACTTTGCGGTTAGATTTGGTCGGTAAGTCATCGGAGCAGTACAAAGGAGCGGATATTCTTGTATTCAATACCGGTCATTGGTGGACTCATGAGAAAACTTCCAAAGGGTATTAGATTTTTTCGAACTAGTCTGATCCCTTATTTGGGATTGTTGTCTCATTGTTTTTTGGTATTTGGATGCTTTCATTAGGGAGGATTATTATCAAGAAGGGAGCAATGTTCACCCGAAACTCGATGTGGATGAAGCTTTTCGAAAAGCATTGACGACTTGGGGTCGATGGGTTGATAAGAATGTGAATCCAAAGAAATCCCTTGTTTTTTTCCGTGGTTATTCCCCGTCACATTTCAGGTGAAATCGAGATCTGTGTGGTAGTTTTACCAGTCATAAAAACTGGTTTTGTAAAATTGGTTTGGTTTGATTGCAGCGGCGGGCAATGGAATGCGGGAGGAGCATGCGATGATGAAACAGAACCGATCAAGAACGAGACTTACCTAACTCCTTACATGTTGAAGATGGAGATACTTGAAAGAGTTCTCAGTGGAATGAAAACGCCTGTCACGTATCTTAACATCACGAGGTTAACTGATTACAGGAAGGATGCTCACCCGTCGATATACCGGAAACAAAAACTATCCGCAGAAGAAAGTAAATCACCATTGTTGTACCAAGACTGTAGCCACTGGTGCCTCCCTGGGGTGCCTGATTCTTGGAACGAAATTCTCTATGCCGAGATACTCGTAAAACTTGACCAGCTTGGTGGCAGAAGACGGCGGAAACCCCTAAAAGATCATAGGAGTTGAATCTGCATCCTTATAGATGAATACAGAACTTTAAATGGTTAAAAGAAAGGAAACACTGATGTAGATGGGAATCAGATTAGTGCCATGTTCATTTTCTTGATTGTAAACCCAATTAATGGGAGAGATTTGAGATTGTAAATGGTTTTGTGACTACAAGTAATAGTAAACATATGCCTAACCCGAACTGAACCAGACTATTAGAATCAAAGACCTAACCAGAATTTGTGTCTAACTCCAATGCCTAACCTAAATCTGAGTTCTGATGAAGAATCATTTGGTGAAGAGAATCCGGTTGATGACATGGACAGGCAAAGCGTAGGCAGGATCAATTGTTTTGACTCCAGGATACTCGAGAAGAGAGAGCCCTGCACCAATTTTGTATCAAATTGACACATAATTCTTTGCTTCACATCAACAAGATAAGCTAAAGAAAGACATTTTTAGTTACCCGCAACTCCAAAGTAGGTGTGGAAGATATCAACAGCATCTTTGGGATTATCTGAGATACCTCCGTTATCCATGTCCTATTCAAAGTTTCACTTGAACCTCAGGGAAGGCTCTAAAAGATGAGACCTTTAAAACCAATAGCAACAATATTGGAAACAAACCTGACAGTCCAAGATGAACTTGACAAGCTTTCCTTTCTCGATCCAATGAACTCTGTCGATCATGATTAAGCTGGATAACACCCACCAAGAATAGCAAACCTAATAACAGGAATTATCAAAAGCACGCTAAGAACAATCAGAATCATGTTTCGATTTGGAAGAGTTTAACGCTTACATCAGGGAGTTTCTCAGGTCGTCCATTTAAACCTCCAGACTCGTAGTCTTGTCTTTCACATAACCACCATCCAAGTAAGTCCTTATCAACATGATGGAGATTCCCGGTGATAGCAAGAGCACCCACGCAACAGAAAACTGCAGCAACATAAAGAATCACTGCCCTTTAATTACCATATGATGCTGCAATCTAGACACATATTGAATGATGATCCCAGGGTTAAAAAGTCAAATTAGCATGAACATACTCTGTCTTGCATGAGACTCCGCTCCAGGTGTGCACCCGAAACCACCATCCAGGTTTTTGCAGCTCACAATGTAATCAACAGCCTTCTTCACATTGATCTTATCAAGACATTTTAATATTGAGAGACAGCATATAGCTATGTACGAAAACCTACATTGAACAAGCTTGCAGATAAACATAGTGAAACTCACAACTCGGAATAAATAAAAAGCTAGGAAGAAAGAATACCTTGTATCTACTTCGCCCCACATATCTCCTGAGAAGGATCCATCTTTATTCTGTAACCCAGCAATATCTAGTTTTTGCATTTAGACAAACATAATTGTATCCACCACAAGCGATTTACCGAGTTTATTTCTTTTCACATTGACAAGAAGTTAAATGCTTGAAGGATACAACTTGACACTTTTTGGACATCAAGAATGCTTAGTTTGTCAAAGAGGGCCAAGATTTGTACAGCACTGAGTGTATATATAACATGCGGATCATGTCCAGTATTACCGGCAAAGCCACCTGCTCACAAGAAAGAATCACTTTTTAAAAACTAAAAATGCAGCAACATCTTACGATTAAGGTTGAAAGTATTAAATCCGCAAATGCATTTGATTGATGAATATTACACACACCGCAGAAACAGAACCAAGCTTGTCGAGTAAATCTAGTGTGGTTAGTCCCCAATATGCACCATTCATTCTCAGGTGATCCATCACAACAGACTCAAAACTCTCTTTTTTCTAGCAAGTTGATATGAAAACCGAAAAAACAAGTGGGAAATTCAAGTTGTAATTATAATGACATTGACAATGAGCATGAGGAAAAATTGGATGATATAGCTTTATAGTACCTTTTCTGCCATCAGAATGTAACGAACATGCTTGTCAGCTACGAGCTTGTCTGCCATCAGATTCAATAAACTTGGCACAAACAGAAGAAACAACACCAAAGAATTTTTAAGTTAGCTTTGATTCAAGTTTAGTTTCCTTCAATGGGTTATAAAATCCCTAGCTGGTATAATTATTAACACTTAAATCACCCATCAATGGTTGATCACCATCTAGTGAATAAATTCACTATAAAGTATAAACGATCAGCTACAGAGACTCTTACAATATCTTCGTGGTGAAAACAGTAATCAATTCGAGCCCTTGTTGAATTTTGTAGGTGGTGATCAATAGATTCGGAAAAGACAAACCTTTACAACGAAATTAGTAACAAGACGATTGAACGCAGAAAGAAGAGTAACACATAATCGAACAAACCTAGAAAAATCTGATAAATTCTTTTGGGCGATACGATGAAGAAGAAGACAGTCAAACAAGTGATTCGGTCCGTAATATGTTATTATTAATAACCCAGACTAAACCGAAATCAATCTGGTTCTCCTAATTGAACCGATTCAAATCCTTCATGTCCAGTCCGGTTTTAATCAAACCAGAAGAATCGAGTTTTGCGAATTAAACCGGAAGACAACAAGAAACAATTTTACTGACATAGTGTTAGAATGTCACAAAGGATTTGATAACACAAAAGTACCTTACTATTGCAACCAAGGACAAATGGTAACACAAGCAATTACCATCATACAAATTCAAAATTCGAAAGCATCCAATCATCCATCCATCCCACAACCAGAAAACCCATATCATCAATAAAATTAATCCAAAAGTTGGATCAAAACTATTAGCAATTTACCTTTTTCCATCGCCAAGCCTCGAATAAATATTTCATCTCTGTAATTCATACGTCCCACAATACTACTCGCTTTGATATAGTCGTCGCCTTCCTCTACCTCAGCTCCTCCCAGACCGTCTATTTCTGATCCAAAATCTCCATCGTTACAGCTTTAAACTAGAGAAGGTTATATGCCACCAAGTTCTTCAGTTTCAGCAGATTCTTCTCATCTGCACACTCTTCTTTTTCTTTCATCTCCGCCTCAAAGTGGTCTAAAGCACCCTCTCCTTGTTAGCTTTCACGACCCGTCAAATTAAAGTCTTCATTATTCTGTTTTTTTTTTTGGCAGTTTGGTATGCGCGACCATGACCGAACCAAACCGAGCTAACATGGACTCTACAAAATGCGAACCAAGTGTGTTATTCCTTCGCTATATGGCCAACATCCCTACTTGGCACTTGCAAGTGCATGAAAATGTAAATGGTTTGTTCATGAGTTATATGAGGTCAGGAGTATATATATACATACACGCTTAAGCTAGCATGTTTGGATAATAATCTGCTATGGGGAAAACCGGTTTTATACATCCGTAGAAGACCAGGATTAATAACCGGAATGATACCCGGTACGGTTATCAATGGTCTCCAGCTCTGCTTCAATTGACTTGTATTTGTATCCTCTATTTTTCTTCATGTTTATTCATCATTGAGCTTCAAGAGGTAATCTCCAAATGATACCCTTTTAAAGGACGACGAATAAAGTCTACGTTTAAGAAGAAGAAAAAAAGATTAGTAACCGGATTTAAATTCTGTACCCGCTGTGTCGACCACACCAAAATTAAATGGAGGAGATCCAATTCCAAAGATGCTCATATATCGGAAAACCCTAGATCGACTCCATTTAAATGAGACTTTCGTGTTCCATATGGCTTAAGATCGAATTACGTGGCATGCACGGGAACAAAGCATATCTACCACATACACACTATAATAAGACCATACATGCGTTACCGTTAATATGTGCGTGTTTTATTTCACAAAACCAAACTCGGCAGCCGTAAAGATAATAAAAAACGAAGGCCCATATGACCGGTATGTATAAAAAACCTTAAGAAAAGGAAAGAGAGAGCGAACCCTAATTTCTTCTAATCATGCCGCCGATGATCAGTCTTAGATCCGTCATTGCGCAGGTAAATAAAACAAAATCGAAGATCTTTGATTCTACTTTTTTGGCGATTGATAACACGTGCTATTTTACAGTGCCGTGATGTGGTCTCGCCGCAATTTCTGTTCATCCCGTAACGTCAACGGTATGCTTATCTTTTTATTTTGCTAAGAACGGTATGCTTATCTGATCGATTCCGTATGAACTCGCGTCTGTTCTCTGATTTTTTCTTTCAATTGCAGAGTCGATGACAGGCGAAGGAAGTTCGATGACGGTTGTGCAAAAGGGTATTAATGCTGGCTTTTCACTTTTTGTGTATGGATTTGGGGCCTACTTGGTTAGGGGTAATGTTCAGTATATTCTTTTGAGATTTTTCATTAATTTTTTATACACAAATGCGTGATTGTTTCGTTTTTCATGCTTAGACTGTATGAAGATGAATAAACGCCGTCGAGAGTGGGAGAAAGCTGAAGAAGAGAGGAAAAGAAAAGCTCACGATCTGGCTTTTTCGGTTTTCAATAACTAATCCGTGAGTCTTCAATGAATGAATTCAGAATAAAAGTTTGTGTTGGCTATGCGTGTGTCTTCAATGATGAATGAATTCAGAATAAAAGTTTGTGTTTAGTTTTTGTTTGGTACTGTGCTGGGAACAAAAAAAAGGAAGCTTAAATAATCTATGGTTGTGACTTGTGATTGATGTTGTGAAGATTTGGTCGAAAGATTTTATTTATTTCTAGCCTGGCAAACTTGATTTGTTATTGTTGTATTCATCCCTATTTATGCTTGTGTAGTGGAGTTAGGGATGATTTTTCTATGTACAGCTCCAACCCTGAAAACTTGAAATTTGCTTTTCCATTGTCTTGCATGCTCTTTCGACATCACTGCGTCTTTCCTCCCTAACATTCATTTGCTGTTTGCGATCACATATGATGTTATTTAGTAAATAACTATCATTCTCATTAAAAGATGCAATTGGGGGTTTACATACATTTGACCATGCCTTAACCAACTAAACCAAGCTATACAGACTCAAACCAAACTATACACAATGTGCTATACAAATGAACTATATACTATGATAGATGTCAGTAATGAAATTTGATATGAATTAATACGTACATATCAGAAAAGAGATCACAGTTCAAGTGCCAGCGACCAGTCAAACTGTCAAAGTATGGTCGAATCAACTCCTCAAGGGGGACTGGGGAGGCAGTCATCTGCACACAGAATCAAGATTTTCGCCTTTGATGGAACAACTCTCAGAGCCTAGGAAAGACAGAGAAGCTTTAGAAGACAGTTCCCATGAAATGGAGATTCCAGGGGTACATAAAGAGATATTTTCATTATCAATTTCAAGTTCACATATTTCGGTGATAAATAATACACAAAACAGAGAAAAAAAAACTTGGGCTAGAGCCCAACAATATAGTCGGATATATATCACCGGTGAACCAACCATATACAATCAGCCTTCAGCACAGATATAAACTTGGGCTAGAGCCAAACAATATAGTCGGATATAATTGACGATTATGCCGCCTATCAGTCTTAGATCCCTCATTGCGCAGGCGACTCGCGGAGGAGGTAGATCTCTAGTCTCAAGGCGCAATTTTTCTTCATCCAGTATTAGCAATGGTACGTTTTTGTTCGTTTTCTTCATCCCGCCTGATTTCTATAAAATTCGCAAGCGTGACGGAATCTTTGGTTTATTTGATTTTCTTTTTTTGTAGAGCCCAAGTTACCCAGAATATCTATCGGGAGCTACATCAGCGGCTGCAGGATATGGTACAGGTATGGAGAGAGAGCGATTTTTTTCCCTCAATTTTTTTATCGATGAGTCGAATTAACCAGCCTTGTTAATTTTTTTTTTTATTTTTCGTATGAAGCTTATCATTTATTTGAAGTTGATGAAATGGAACTTGTTAAGGAGCGGCAAAAGGTAGAAACAAACAAGCAAGAAGCACTCAAATGAGATTGTGACCATTGCACTTGTTTAAAAAGATTGTTTATGTTAGCTTGATTCAAGTTCAGTTTCCTTCAATGGGTTATAATATCCCTAGCTGGTATAATTATCAGTGTCTTTGTTTCTATTGCATTCTATCTCATTGTATCACATAGTGAATATCACTCTAAACGATCATCAGCTACAGAGACTCTTAAGGGTCATATCTTGGCGGTGAAAACAGTAATCAATTCGAGCCCTTGTTGAATTTTGTAGGTTATGATCAATAGATTCGGAAAAGACAAACCTTTACAACGAAATTAGTAACAAAACGATTGAACGCAGATTATAATAAGAAGACAGTCAAACTTTTCGGTCCCGTAAATATCAGATTTTATACCGAAATCAATCTGGCTCTCCTAATTGAACCGATTCAAATCCTTCTCGTCCAGTCCGGTTTTAATCAAAACCAGAAGAACCGGTTTCGGATCCATCAAACGATAAAGAGTTAAAAACCCAGAAGATAAGTGAGTGATAAACCTCTGGCAATTTCTTCTCTGCCAAAAATGGCGAGTCTACTTGATTCGTTGACAACCAGATGCTTCTTCACCATTCCTTCAATTTCTAGGATTTCTTCTCCTTTAGCTTCTTCATCTTCATTGACTTCTTCACCATCTTCCTCTTCTCCAATTATCCCATCTTTCTCAGTTCTCTCTTACACTCACCAACACTCGCATTCTCGCTTCCCTTTCCTTGTTGCAGCAACTCTGGATGGTTCCTCTGCTGAAGAAGAGCTAGATTTCGAAGAATTCGACCAATATGCTGAAGACAACTACGCTGATGATTCGGATGACGAAGACGACTCCATCGATATCTCCGTTCTTGAGAAAGAAGCGAGAGATATCGTGAGAGATTATGCTACCATTTTGTCTCGCGAGCTCAAACTCGGTAATTTCTTCCCTGCTTTTATTGCCAGTGTTTACTTTGTATGTATTGGTCTTAACGGTAGTTAAAAACTGCTTGATGCTACCAAAGACTGTGAATGATGATCATAGTTTGATGTTTCCAGAGGATGAGACCATTGAGGGGAAGGAAACTCGTAGAAAAGGGAAAAGGCTAGCCAAAAATGTTAGTCAAGCTCCTTTTTGAGTTTTTTTCTTTGTTAGTTTATCGACGATGAGGCTTCAAATTACTGACATGACTATAAAATAAAAAAAATTCCAGACGCAGCAGATACCAGAGCATCTTCTCCAAAGAGTTGCGATCGTTGGAAGGCCAAATGTTGGCAAATCAGCATTGTTCAACCGTCTTGTTGGGGTAAGTTTTGCTGACATTTAAATTTTCAGTTTGATACTTATCCTTACCATTCATATAAGTTGTCTTTACAATACAATTTGCAGGAGAATAGAGCTATTGTAGTGGATGAACCAGGAGTTACTAGGGATCGATTGTACGGTAGATCGTATTGGGGTGATCAAGAATTTGTGGTGGTAGACACAGGAGGTGTTATGACTGTTTCAAAGTCACCATCTGGTGTCATGGAAGAGCTGAATGTATCAACCACCATTGGGATGGAAGGTATTCCACTAAGCTCTAGGGAAGCAGCTATTGCAAGGATGCCTTCCATGATTGAGAAACAAGCTACAGCAGCTGTCGATGAATCAGCTGTCATTATTTTCGTTGTCGATGGCCAGGTTCTGTGCTTATGTTCTATCTCCTTAACTTTTCTGTCTTTGCCTTATTCCCTGTTAGGCTTTTCTTTTCCTGCCAGAAAAACAAAGTCCAGCAACAAAAAGTAATTTGGTTGCTGTATTATATTTCTTAGACTTATACTATGAATATGGTGGGAGTTGGTTATAACCAAAATATTCTTTAGATTTTCAGTTTAATGGAAGATATTACCAAATACTCAAGAAAGCTGTGACTTATATCTAAAATATAACAAGCTGATTTTGTGAATTCTTTTACTGTAAAGCCCAATTGAGTGTTTCCTGGTTATCATGCCATGTCATAGATATGTGGTAATGATTTTGGTACTATGCAGGCAGGGTCATCAGGTGCTGATGTGGAAATTGCGGACTGGTTGCGGAAGTACTACTCACATAAGTATATCATTCTCGCGGTAAACAAATGTGAATCACCACGTAAAGGACTCATGCAGGCTTCGGAATTTTGGTCTCTAGGGTAAATTCACTTTCATCCTACTTCAGAATCATGTTTGCGCACAAACTTGGCTCTTTTTGGGGGGTGTGGTTTAAGGATATGAACGTGCTGAAAATAGGAGTGATTCTCTTTTGAAGATAGCTTTTCATTTAGTGTTTCAACTGTCTACAAAAATAGAATTCATGGACAAACGTCATTTGGTACTTTTCATTAGATGAGTTGAATATTTGTTACTTTCTTAATTGTCAGTGTTTATATTCAAGAGAATAATCTTTTCCTAATTTGTGAATCTAGTATTGTTATTATGATGAGTTTATGGACCTGGCGAACTTGTACACATCAGAACTTTCTCTCATCATAGTGTCTATTTTGATGTTTCACCTTTATTTTGAATGCTAGTGAGTAGGTTGGTAGCTATGGTTTAGCCGGAGATAAAATGTTTTACTTGCAATGCTTAACATTTTAGTTACTTTGCTTCTGTCCATTTTTGTGTGTTTTCATTTACAAATTATGTGGCATTGATTTCATGGTGGAATTTCCAGGTTCACACCTATCCCTATTTCTGCATTGTCGGGAACTGGAACAGGAGAGCTGCTTGATCTTGTTTGTTCTGGGCTAAATAAAATCGAGGTTTGTAATGGCCTTTCTTTCTTTCAGAAAAACGTTTGTGCAGGAATATGAAATATTGGCAAATAGTTGATTATGATATCTTTATATGGACATATTCTGTATCACAGTATACTGTTTCTGAAATCTTTTCAAGGTTTGGCTTAATCTACATCATATACACCCTGAAATTTCATCCCCTATTTATCAAAGACCTTAAGGCGTTTTTGAATATGTTTATTTGGCACCCATTGTGTTTATTTAACTGCAATAACTGGCCATAGCATTGACAAGTACGTCTCCTTTAAATAATTAGCGTTGACGAGTAGCATTGACAAGTATGTTCAATGAGAAACCAAATATCAAAACCTTTTCTTACATATGTTGCACCCATATGATTCAATGATTTTTCTAGATCATGGAGAACATCGAAGAGGAGGAAGAAGAAAACTACATTCCTGCCATTGCAATTATTGGTCGGCCAAATGTTGGCAAAAGTAGCATTTTAAATGCACTTGTCCGAGAGGATAGAACAATAGTTAGCCCTGTTAGTGGAACTACCCGTGATGCTATAGATGCAGAATTTACCGGACCAGATGGGGAGGTTCGTTCAGTGTTCTCTGTTGTGTTTTTTTGTGGCTTACTTTCGGTGAATACCCATTCATTTAACCCTGAATATGATTATGAACTGTGTTGCAGAAGTTTCGGCTTATAGATACAGCTGGGATCAGGAAAAAGTCATCTGTGGCTTCATCAGGCAGCACTACAGAGGCCATGTCAGTGAATCGTGCATTTCGAGCAATTCGTCGTTCTGATGTTGTTGCCCTTGTCATTGAAGCCATGGCATGCATAACAGAGCAGGTATCTCACTAGTAACTGACACTGATGAATGTTTCTCATTAGCAATTGTATAGCATGCAGTTTTGGTATAGACAGAGTTTAACCATACAGTAGAATTATTTCCCTGCCCAACAACACTTTTACTGACATACTGTAGTTTTAGAAAATTTAATGATAAACTTTCGTATTCATGTGAAATTTATCTTCTTCTCGTTTCTTAATGGTTATGGTATTGGAAAACAGGATCTGAAGATTGCAGAAAGAATAGAAAGAGAAGGGAAAGGATGTCTGGTTGTTGTAAACAAATGGGATACAATACCAAACAAAAACCAAGAGACTGCAGCACATTACGAGGACGATGTTCGGGAGAAGCTCCGTTCCCTCAAATGGGCACCTATTGTTTATTCTACCGCAATAACTGGCCATAGTGTTGACAAGTGAGTCTCCCTCAAATGATTCAAAAACTATTTTCAATGTCACACTCCGGTTTAACTTAATCTGTTGAATATTTTATAATTAAAATGTAGTATTGTGGTTGCTGCTGCGACGGTTCAAAAGGAGAGGTCAAGAAGACTTAGTACAGCCATATTGAACCAAGTGATAAGAGAAGCAGTTGCATTTAAATCTCCTCCAAGAACCCGTGGAGGCAAGCGAGGCCGCGTTTACTATTGCACCCAGGTAATAAAAACTTTGTCCCAATGTTTTCTATTAGCAGTAAAGGAAATTGCTTTAGAGGCTTTTCGGGTTTGTTTGTAAGTATATAAAATGCTTGTATAATGCAGGCAGCAATAAGGCCACCGACGTTTGTTTTCTTTGTAAACGACGCAAAGCTGTTTTCGGATACGTACAGAAGGTATATGGAGAAGCAGCTACGCACTGATGCAGGCTTTGCTGGGACTCCAATTCGGCTACTTTGGCGCAGCCGTAAAAGATCTGACAAAAATGGAGGAGGTACGAGTTTTTAGCATGAAGTCTTAATTCTTTTTGAAGTAGTATTTGTATAACTTAGGGAAATTCTGCAGGTGGAGGAACAATGAGAATGGCAGGTCTTACACGCCAGAGAAATCTTGCAACCAAAAGAACATAAGAACGGACGATGTAATTTTTGTTGTATTGAAAAATAATTACCATCAAAATATATATTCAAAACTATAACTAAAAAGAAATTTAATATCAGCATCTTTCATCTTTGTGTTTTCTTAATCTCAGTTTGCTAAAAAGAAAATGTTTAAGAAACAAAAGCCGATGAGGATTTCAGTAAAGCTGCTCTTTCTTTTCGTGCCACCATCTCCACCTGTAAAAAAATAATGCTTTTGTCAAAAGAAAATATTGGAAGATCTCAATTCGGATCAAACGATGAAAATCTGTAAATCATATAGTATAATTTTGTAACAAATCTTTCATTTTACGAGTAAGCATTTGGTAAGAGAGAGAGCGAGGTAGGTTACCAGTAATAGTCCCAACGAGGACGGACTCTGGTCATCCGGTTATCATCAGATGGATGGTAAGGATGAGCCGCGTGGCGAGTGTTGTGGAAGGCGCAGCAACCAGCTGCGTAGACCGCGATGAGGAGGACGAGGACGAGAATGTTGACAACCGATAACTTTCTCCAGTCGAGACGGATCTCTTCGAGAACACCAGCCTTGCAAGCATCGCACTCGTAGCATAACATCTCCACTCCATTGTTCCATCTGTAGCAATCTCCTCCTCCATCCACTACTCCAGCTTCGTACGTGCACGCCGTTGGTGGCTTACAACATCCCGACTGCAATATTTTGTATTAGTCACGTCTTAACTCTTAACTAGGCTTTTATTCGCAAAGAATACTATATTTATATTTACGCCAAGCACAAACTAAATTTCTTCTCAAAACACAAACGTACGGCTCAACAAAACACATACGGAAAGAGAAAATTTTAATCACATGCTTGCTTTACACGCCATTAGAAACGGAGAAACAAATAAAATCAAAGGCTTAGTTTATCATGATAAGAAATATATTAGATTACTATAGCAATTTGTTAAGCAAGCATGTATCATATCATAAAGTGGATGTTACCTGAACAGAAGTCATGTCTCTTTGGAAATAATCAAGTGTAGTCCAAGTCTCAATCTTAGTACAAGTCTTGGAACTCAAGATACAGCTTCTAATGGAGTTCCAATACTGAGGATCCCTAACTCTCTCTCTCAACCATGGATGATAGTCTCCAAGCCTATACTCTTTATAAACCCTCCCTGGAACTTCCACTCCACCTCCTTGGCTCGTAACCACCAGACCAAACAGCGTTAGACCCATTAGAGTCGCGATGAGGAAGATCATGACCACTAAGTATACCCAAAGAGCCCATGCGACGTTGAAGCAGGCTCCTATGAAACCCGCAAGCGATACTAAGAGTATGATGAATCCTATAACAAGTAGCGGCGTCTGGAGGAAGTTTTCACATGTCGTACTGCTTCTTGCCTTATATAAAGCAGTTCCTATGATTGGAATCGAGGCTAGTAAGGTGAGGAGGTTTAAGACCCCAATAACTGTGTTGCTGAATCTGTACATAATAGTAACGTTATCAAGAAGAAATCAGAGACTTAACACTGCCTTCTTTCTTTTGTAAGCAGATTCTCTTCTTGCAATGTGAATTTCATCAGCTTTATCTTACAATCTTTCTTTCTAGATATAATATTGGTTAACTCTACTTTTTGCTTTTGATTCTCTCTTATCAACTGGGAATTTTTTAAGGGAAAAGGTTTAGAGTTAATGGTTTGATGATTCATGCTCATATTCTTTTGGTCCTCTCTTGATTTGAATCAATTAAACAATAACATTGAAACCGTATATTTTTCAAATAAAAGTGTCCTTTTGGACAATTGTTTCTTGTTTATTGTTCTATATTATACGTTTTTGTCGTTGGAGTTGGTACAGAGCAGACCACAACCAAGAGAAATCAAGTAGTGCCCTACTAACAATATATAATTTCCTAGCTTTTAGTCCAAAAACTGCAATCATGGTTTGTATAATGGATCACACAAGTGGAATAAAATAAATGTGACATGTTCAATGAAGCATAGGAGTAAGCAAAGAATAATATAGACATGGACGGGCGATGATTTCGTAATCGATGAATTTTCTTTTTAAGATGCTTTTAGTGGCCCATTCCTTGGAATTTTAGGTTTTTTTGGATATAGCATAATGTGACCTTCGATTCCCCCACTTCCTTTTTATTGTATAAACAAGAAAGAATTCTAAAATCTTGTCTCAGCTCATATTTTATGTATTTTTATGTTTTACTTTCACATTTAGCAAATGATATTTGTTTCAAGTTGCATATCATTTATGAGCCAAAATATCCACAAACTTGAAAAATACAAAGGTTGTGGTCCTTGTGTGGTTGAAAAGACACACAAATGGAAAAACAAACAAAACCAGATTGCACGAACAAAGTCACAACTTGAAACCAAAAAATATTTTCCTATAGAACCATGATCTCTAGTATACATCCAAAATCTTCAAATCAGTATTTAAAAACAAAGATGACGCAGATGCAGCTCAAGTGTAATCAGTTTGCAGGGTCAAGTCTTGTACACCCAAATCATGGTATACATCATATACATATTGCAGTAATGGCCTTTCATCTATTCCGCTCTTCACCTAAAACCGATACCAAAATGACAAACCCATTCATTTCCATCCTAGCGTGATCTCATGTTTTAACCGATATAAAAACAAGAGAGAAATGAGTACCTGGAGTCTGAGTGAGCCCACAGTGTGACCAGGCACAACCTCCCAGAAACGTGCCTGTAAAACCTCCATGACATCTTCTCGAGAAGTAATCTGTACAGAGAGAGAGAGAGAGAGAGAGTTGAAGAGAAGCCTGGCTTGATCAACAATAGGGAATATGTACACATTTGGGGAACAATTTATGAGCGAACCTGTCGCAAGCATTTGCTTAATGCTGAAGAAGGAATGTTAGGGGGTGCCATCTGAAGCAAGACACCACCAGTGGCTTTGAAGAGTGGCATAACAAGCATAAACACGGTAATGGATACCAATCCTAAACATAGGACTTCTGCATTTTCAACCCTTAAATAGCCAAGGAGCAAAAGGAAAATGTAAGAGGTCAAGCAAGAAGACACTTATATTCATTTAGCTCCTCAAAGGTAGCGAGCATTACCCGAGAGAGAGGAGCCAAGATGCCAGTATCAGACCTGCACTGAAAAGACAGTAGCAAAGAAAAATTCATGTTGATTGTATAGAAGTTCAAAGGAAAGAAGCATTTTTTTCTATCTAGCTCTCTCCGATTCTGCTTGAGATAAAGAAAGGCAGAGAGAATCAACACCTGCGGATGGAATCTGCTATGACGTGCAAGCAAACAGAGTGGTAATTCATATCTTCTGCTTTTCTGTAGGCTGCAGCATATTATGAATGTAAGAAAGAAATTCAAGAAAAAATCTGGTTTTAAATATGTATAGAAGGGACGAATTGTCTTGTGCCAGATCAGTTAATCACGCTGTCTCTATTTCAACTAATTCTCGTACTGATTATCTTAACCAAACACCCTTACTTATTTGGCTTCAAAGTCAAAACTGACAAGGGTGGCCAATTTCTACAAATGAAATATACTCAAGCCACCAGAAAAGGCTATATTATATAGAGAGCATATGGGCAGCAATTCATACAGGTTTAACGAGAACTTAAGCATGTTTATATATAGCAGAAAGTACATACCAATATTGACACGAGCATAATTCCGGAAGAACCAAACACCTAGTAGGTTCACCAGTAAATTTGTTACGGCTGATACAATCAAATAATGCCTACATAAAGGAGATATCAATAAATTACAATAAGGATCAAGAGGGAACAATTACTGTAAACTTAGTAAGTGCTAGAGAAATATCTAGAAACTCCTAGGCATGCCAGTTGTGAAAAAGCAACTTACTTGTGCTCTGATTCATCTTGTATAAATGCATGAAGAGCTTCCACAGCTAAGGAGAATGACATGAACATAAGGAACAGCTGTCTACACATATGTCAAATATTAAACATATCAAAGTATTAACCAGAAAGATTAACTACAGAGAATGAGACAATGAAGGCAAAACGAAAAGAAAGGTCCTCATAATGTATGGAAGTCCAAATTATTTTAACAACGAGCTGTAAAATTACTCTATTATATCAGCAACAGTAAAGGAAAGAGTGTTAACACTGAGTTACGCTGTCGACACTTATTATATTACATGGCACATAAGCCTTAGACCTTAGAAGCCTCGAACAGATAAAACTTACAGCATTAGTGAAAGCAGATAAAACTTCAAGTCTTTTGTACCTGGGAAAAAAAAAGACAAGGATGCCTAAATTACAACCACTTCAGCAATATCACATTACAGTCTCGGCAGAAAAATAGATCATAAAATGGATTCACCAACTGAGCCAATCAATTTACATTTATCTCACCCGTATGAGTAAGCATGATCAGGCTTCTTCCTTGAAGTTGCCATTGCAAATAAAGAAAATGTCAAGAGCCCACAACCAAATGTCAAATGGAATGCATCGGAGACCAAACCTGTAACAGTCCATACAGCAACAAAAAAAAAGAAAAGTTGCACAGTTAGTATATACGGAAAAATGACCAAGAACCAGGGAACTAAACAAACCAATTCTAACATGCACCAATTATTATTACATTGAGCATTTAACAAACTACGACATCAGAAACCGGAGATTGTTTAACGCTTGTGAAACCCTTTCTAGTGTGACTCAATTGCAACATAAAACAGATCTTAAAAACCCATAATAAAGGCCTCAGAACACGCACAGTCTCTACTATCGCTGAGGATTAGATCCATAGTTTAGAATATTATATCAACTTAGTACTTGAACCTAAATTTTACAGCTTTAGCTGTTATATTTCATCTTCAACACATCCAAGTCTCTCCTTCGGCAAAAATATCAAGAACTCAAGTAATCACAACTTGTTTCAGAGATTCAATCCTAAAACAAAAGAGAACTGAAACGATATCGTACCTACACGCCCAGTGAAGATCCCAATAGAGAGCTCTGTTGTAGAATACAAGACATTAAGCGCAATCAGCAGAAACAACCTCTTCATCTGCCGATTTCCACTTCTCAGTACTCCAAAAATCTCCCAAACCATATCCAAAACAGATACTTTTCCTATTTCTACGTCTTTCCCTTCCCCGTAAAACACATCATTCCCGTCAACGGAGTAAATCTCCGGCGGCATATCGATGCTCGAGACCGTCCTATCGAGAAAAGGCTTAGCTGCTTCCGTGACCGCCGGCGTTCGTGGACCGTGAGATTGCTGAAACGAACGAGAATAAGCAAGCCTCCGATCATTAGCAACATATCCAACATCACTGCTGCGATCATTCGGGAGCTCGTTATCGCCTCGAGGATTAAAGGAAATGGATCTCTCCATTTTTGATCTTAATTTCACTAAAATCAACAGTCGTCTACAAAAAAACTCAGCTTATACAGTAAAAGTCAATGGGCCACTGTTCGAAGCCCATATAGAATTTTATATGCCTATGGGCTATGGATCGCACTAAACCTTATGGCCTTGATTTTTTTTTACTAAGAATGCTAAAAATGTAAATATTTCAACATAAACCTTATGGACTTGATTGGCTTTTGTTTTTACTTTTTAGTGTTGTTACTAGCAAATTTTTTTATAGTGGTTTTAAATCATATCAAATTTTTCTAAAATTGTATATCCAATACAAGAATTATTTTGTTAAAAATGCGTGGGTTAGTGTATATATTTATCAAACGCAACAAACATTATACAGCCCATTAAATATGGTTGTTTTAGGTAGATGTCCCCATTAAGGAACTTTTTCCAGCCCATTAAATTACTTTACAGAGTAGAGAGATTACAGTTACGTTACCAAATTTCGAAATTATATTTATTAGTAATAAATAAATTTATGAATGTCAGTTACTCTTTAGAAAGCTAAGACAGCTGTTTCCACCAACAACGTGACTGGTCGTGGGGTCCTCCTTCGTTCAAAGAGAGATTTCAGAATCAACGGCTGAGATCTTCTCCATCAATATTTATTATGGGCCTATTCTTCCTTTTTTAAACTTCAATTCTCAGGCTCACATTCTCTTCTTCATTCGCTCCGTTTCTCTCTCAAACTACACACACGTACGACGACACACCCTCCAGGTTTCCTCAGAGATCCCTCAAACTTCTAAGGTAATAACATTTCCACAATGTTCTTCGATTTTAACGTCCTGAGTTCATCATTTCAATCTCAAATATTCAAGTATTGTTCCTGTTGTTTATATATGAAGCTTTTTCAATTTAATTCTCTTTGGGAGATCTTTAGATTATATTCCTCTGTTTGTTGCAAAAGAAATAGGGTTAATTTCACGTTCAGTTATGCTAATGTTATTGAGGAATCATTTTGAAGGATATAGAAAATGGCAGACGGTGAAGACATTCAGCCTCTTGTCTGTGACAATGGAACCGGAATGGTTAAGGTAATTTACATACTTCAAAATTTGTGTTACCTTTGTTGTTATGGATATAAATCTGAAAACTTTTTTTAATTCATTTCGATACAATGCTGGTGTCTGTTTATAAGAGTGATTCATATATGTTTCCAATTCCTTAGGCTGGATTTGCCGGAGATGATGCACCAAGAGCTGTATTCCCTAGCATTGTTGGTCGTCCTCGTCACACTGGTGTGATGGTTGGTATGGGACAAAAAGATGCTTACGTTGGTGATGAGGCTCAGTCTAAGAGAGGTATTTTGACATTGAAATATCCTATTGAGCATGGTATTGTTAGCAACTGGGATGACATGGAGAAGATTTGGCATCACACTTTCTACAATGAGCTCCGTGTTGCACCTGAAGAGCACCCTGTTCTTCTCACTGAGGCTCCTCTCAACCCCAAGGCCAATCGTGAGAAGATGACACAGATTATGTTTGAAACTTTCAACACTCCTGCTATGTATGTCGCTATCCAAGCTGTTCTTTCCCTCTACGCCAGTGGTCGTACTACTGGTAAGAAGATCTTCAACACCACCATTGTTTATTCCACTCCTCTATGATGCATTGAACAAACTTCAAGTTCAGCTTATTAGGAAAGTGGACATTTTGAGAACTACCCTTTCTTGACCTTGTTGCTGTGGAATCATTGTCCATTGTCTTGTGTGTTTCCAGGTATTGTGTTGGACTCTGGAGATGGTGTGAGTCACACTGTTCCAATTTATGAAGGATATGCTCTTCCACACGCCATTCTGCGTTTGGACCTTGCAGGACGTGACCTTACTGATTACCTCATGAAGATCTTAACAGAGCGTGGTTACTCATTCACTACCTCAGCAGAGCGTGAAATTGTAAGGGATGTGAAAGAGAAACTTTCTTACATAGCTCTTGACTACGAGCAAGAGATGGACACGGCAAACACAAGCTCATCCGTTGAGAAGAGTTACGAGTTGCCTGATGGACAGGTGATCACCATTGGAGGAGAGAGATTCCGCTGCCCCGAGGTTCTGTTCCAACCATCTTTGGTGGGAATGGAAGCTGCTGGTATTCATGAGACCACTTACAATTCCATCATGAAGTGTGATGTGGATATCAGGAAGGATCTGTATGGAAACATTGTGCTCAGTGGTGGAACCACCATGTTCCCTGGAATTGCTGATAGGATGAGCAAAGAGATCACTGCTTTGGCTCCAAGCAGCATGAAGATTAAGGTGGTTGCTCCACCAGAGAGGAAGTACAGTGTCTGGATTGGAGGCTCCATTCTAGCATCACTCAGTACCTTCCAACAGGTAAAAATCGGTTTTTCGTTACTTTTATATCAAATTTTGTGTCCTTTTTCTTGTTACCCACTTGAAAGTTGTTTACAATACACAAAATGTTGTTGGTCTGCAGATGTGGATAGCAAAGGCTGAGTATGATGAGTCAGGGCCATCAATAGTCCACAGGAAGTGCTTCTAAGATTAAGCTCGAATCAAAGTGATGAATGATTGTTCTGTATTGGTAAAGCCTTTTGTTCATCGACTTTGTTGCAAAATATTCTTTTGTTTTCTATGTTTCTTCACCACATTTCTTCCTTGCTGTCCTCCTCTTTTGGTATTTCTGCTACTAATTGTTAAAGAATCGTCTTTTATTAGTTTCTATTTTTTCCTCTGCTGTTCCCTCTGAAATCTGAGAAAAAAAAAAGAAAGATGTAACTAGAGGCAATGGATTTGGCCTTTTTATTTTAGTTTTGTTAAAGGGGTTTCATAATTAAAGGGAAAGACAGAGTTCTTTACAAAAAGCTAATTCTAAAAAAGAGGAATCAAAAGCCGAACCACATGATTGGAGTTAGAGAAAGAATAGTGATCTGCCAACAAAAACAAGTACAATTACAATTAACTCGGCATTTTTAATACATCCACATGATCAACATTGTCACGGCTTCACTTCACTATCACAGTGTGGAATACAGTGCCAGTAATAATAATAATAATAAAATATCCTACAATGTGCTCGGTTCACGAAGATTGAACACCTTGATAACTTACTCTGACGAAGCATCAAACAAACAGACAAAAAACATTGGAACCGTCGAAACTATGAACCAAATTCCAAAACCTAAAACTTAGAGAGAGAGCATTTGTTAGGTAGGTCTTAAACGAGAAGTTGACTCAAGTCAAGATTCACTGCGTGCATAACACTTTAAACAATGCCAACAGGGAGGGAGATATTTTTCGTACACAAGAGTTTTACTGTCCGAAGGTCACATTTCTACGATCCCAAGAAAACAGCGATGAGAAGAACAATACAGACACAAAACATTTGAACACTTAACTTCCCACGTCACATAATGAGCAGCCAAAATGTCATAACACAACAGAATGGACACTAAGATTATTGAAACAAAACATAGCTTCTTAAACAAAAGACAACCAGACAAGAGAAAGGTCGACAATTTCTTCACCATCATCCTCATAACTTATTGTTGTACCAGTAAACACCTTTCTTGTCACCTTCCCTGTCCGGTTCTACGTAGATACACTCCTTTGCCTCCCTATACATCGCCACATACCACGGTGTTCCATCGAACTGGTAATAGTCTCCCAGTATTGGCTTTATCGCCTTTGTAGCTTCCATTGCGTTATAATGCGGCATTGTCGAGAACAGGTGATGTGCCACGTGTGTGTCTGTAATGTTGTGGAACACCTTGTTCAAGATTCCATAGTCTCTGTCTACGGTAGCCAAAGCTCCCCTGAGCCAGTCCCACTCTGATGAATCGTAGTGAGGCAAGGAGGGGTGAGTGTGCTGCAAGTAAGTGATCAAGACGAGGAACGCATTCACTATCAGAAGCGGTACTCCGTAGAGGCAGATCATAGAGGCCATTCCTTGTGCAGCGGCGTAACGGTAAAGACCAAAACAGACGGCTAGAATACCCGCATCCGAGAGGTATATCTGGAGGCGTTCGCGGTCATTGTAGATGGGAGCGTTGGGGAAGAAATGGCAAGCGAACCCGTCATACGGTCTGCCCGAAACGTTAAAGGCTAAGTACAAGGGCCACCCGAGGACAAACTGGACGGTTAACATCATGATGCGTCCAAGAGGGTTGTTGAGGTATTTGCCGTACCACTTGATTGCGGATTTCTGTTTTGGGACAAATACTTCATCTCTTTCGAGGGATCCCGTGTTGGAATGGTGACGGCGATGACTATACTTCCAGGAGAAGTAAGGGACGAGGAGGAAGGAATGGAAGATAAGACCGACTGTGTCATCCAGCCATTGGTAGTCGCTGAATGCGTGGTGACCGCATTCGTGGGCTATGACCCAGACACCAGTTAGGACACAGCCTTGACAGGCCCAATAGAGTGGCCAAGCCAAGTAAGAGAGAGGCTGAGGTAGGAGAGAGAAGTAATTGGTGGCAACGTAGTAGAAGCATGAGGCAATTATGATGTCACCGATAAGGTAGGAGAAAGAGCGAGGGATTGAGCGTTTGAAACAATGCTGGGGGATTGCTTTCTTCAGATCTCCCACCGAGAAAGGCGGTTTCTCGCACGGCACACGCTTTATGGTGTCGGTTTCCGATTTCTTGGAAGAAGTAGGAACCGGCATTCTTCCACCTGCACCCATGTTTCTGCAGAAAACAAAAAAAACAAGAGCAAAAATAATCAAGAAGCTGAAAACTCAAAGACTAGAGAATAGTCAATCTAAAAGACTTGTTTATCATTAACTGACAATTTCTACAAATCAATGCATGCATAGGAAACAAGTGGGTAAAGATAAAATCAGCAAACAATTATTGTTCAGACAAATGATCTAAAGTGGAGATGAGTCTGTGAAAGAGATTGCCACAAATGGAAAGTGCGTGGACCAAAAGGAATAAAGAGTAGAGAAGCGGCGTAATGTAAGAACACACAAAAACGATTGCGTTGAAAATACGATTTAAATAAGACAGGTCACATCTCTTGCTTGAGGGTTATCATCAGATTCTTGTAATAAAAATTCAACAGTCAAAATCACAACAAATCTTATTGAATACCAAGTGGACAAACAAAGCCAAAAGGAAACAGTTGAAGTGATGTATAAGCCACCGGAATTAGTCGCCATCATATATCAGCAGAATTATAAATTTAAACAGAAAATAATATGTCACGGATCTATAGCAAATTTTCATGCAACTCTAATTGCATCTGAATCAATGAAAGAGCATCTGATCCTGAATAACCCTGATTCCAACTTTATTTGAAATGTTTAAGTGAATCAATAAAACTTTTTTCCCTTTTCTTACGTATTTTTTATTATAAAAAAACAATAGGAGGTATAGGAAAAAAAACCCAGCAAAGATTCAACAATAGAAGCAGATTTTAACCCAGAAAAATTAGTCAAAATTGAATACATTAACGAGACCAGGACAAATTTAAAAAATTTCCACCAACCCACCAGAAAATAAAATAAAATAAAGATCTAAACAGATTGGTCAAAGCACGAAAAAAAAAAGAAAAGAAAAACAAAAATCATGCAACAAATCGTTACGGGGACGATAGACATTTATCATTGTATGAATGAGAGAGTCATTATTATTATTAATGGTGACTAAACACGATCAACATCAGATTTCTCGACCAAAACAAAAAAAAAAAAAGATAGAAACAGAGAATCGGAGACCAGATCTAAGGTTGAATGTAAGGACTACAAGCAGATCTATCGTTAGAGGGGACAAAAAAACACAGACCACCAGGAGAAACTGGAAAGAAGTAAGAATCGAAAATGAGAAAAGAAGGGACGGACCTGGAGTTTGAGCTGACGTAGGGAGATAACGTTAATAACGATGAACACCCTACGAAGAAGAAGCTCCTCCGCAGAATCTCTCTCTCTCTCTTTTCTCTCTTCTCTCTCTCTTTTTATTTAATTTGTGAGTGTGTGGCTCTTCTTCTGGTGGTCAGATGCGAATAGGAAGAGACAGGCCTTTAAATGGACACGGCCCGTGGGTTGAAGAAGGTAGAGAGAGATTGTTTCATGACACCTTTCCCTTTCATACTGGGCCCCCTCTCTTATTTCCCTTTTCTCTATTCAAAAATATCTGATTTTTTTTTATTTTCCGCAAATAACTCTTTTTTTACGAGACAAAAAAAAATACAAAGAAATTAGCAGTGAACATAAACTTTTTAATATCACGTTCTAATTTAATTAATTTTAAAAATGGCTAATTGGTAGTCAAAGAAAGCAAAAAAAATTCTACATATTCTCTTCGTATAGTAGTTTTTGACATAAATGTAAGTAAATTTGTATTGACTTAATGTCTTCCCTTATTTTTTCTCTTATTCTAAAGTTTCATCCTAATTTTTGATATGAGCTTTTAATGCTTCCATTTGCAGCTGCCAGCTGATACTCCAAGTTTGGGTCTTTGGTCTATTTCTAACAGAGTTTCACTTTAGAACATTTGTTATAGGTGATACTCATAAAATATCTTTAAGAATTTTTTAGTATTATTTATTATGTTTATTTATTGTTTGAGATTTTTTTATGATACTCTTACTAAATATGTTTTTATTGGTGAGACCGGTTTAAATATCATTAAAAAAAAATTATTTGCAGAATCAAAAATAAATATATAAAACATAGGATTACAAAATGTAATACTCTCTCCGTTTCACAAAGAGTGTCATTTTGACGCATTTCACATAAATTAAGAAAACATTAAATTATACATATATGCCCTATTTAATAAGTGATTAATGATTTAAATTTAATGAGAAATAGCTTTAAGTTAAGGGTAAATCAGGAAATTTTGTGTAAAACTCACATTGAAAATGTGGAATGACACTCTTTGTGAAACAAGAATCAAACTCTAGAATGACACTCTTTATGAAACAGAGGGAGTATTACAATAAAAAAACCGTAGAATATACTTATGCAAAATAAACATAAAATTTAAAAAAAAACTTAAAAAAACATGATGATAAAAATAATTTAGTCGCTTGAAGCCAATTATGAATATATATATTTTTTCTGTTTTCAGGGAAAAACGTGTTTCTCAGACTAATCAGCTGCCGCCACGTCACCTGATACTGGGTATCAGAAGTATCACTCCAGTTATACTAATCAGGCCCAATTTGATACTCTGATCTATTAAAAAATTATTAATAAGCTCCTGATACTCTTATTATATCAGCTACGCACATGGTTTTATAGTCGGTAAGTTACTCCGTATATTAATTTATTATCTCCTCTAGTATAGTATGGACTGAAACTCAAACTAATCTCTAAAATATGTAGAAATACCGAATATTTTTGTTGTTTATCACCAAATAATAATGAATTTAGAATCATATGAAAATAAAGAATCGTAAGTGATGTGAACCAAACCATGGTCTCAATACACATGGCAAATCTTTCACCATTATAACTTAACCATTTGCAACTTGGTTGGGTGGAGCTTTTTCATACTTAAGTTTCATCTCTATTACTATTAGTTTTGCTTATTGCAGACAATTTATTTAAAATGAGGAAACGTCCTCGGCGACTTACACAAGTCGTAAGCAAGTGGTAGGCGGGAAAAGGGCTAAAAGTGGAAAACAGACTTTTACGTTTGGCTTCATCTGTCATGTGAAACATTAAAAAATCTACAGACAATGTGTTGTGGTGGACTGGTGGTCACGTGTATGGATGGATACCCAGACGTGATGCACTTTGGTAGATTCGTGCGGATTTTCTCTTGTTAATGTATTCAATTGTATTCTTTTTATTACTAATAATCAAATTAGGTGGCTGACGGAAAAAACAAGTAGGCGCTGACAAGTAATCCCAATTAATTAAATGGGATGATTAAAGTCTCTTTGCATTGGAGTTCTAGTTTTCTAAGCATTACCGCTTATAACGATACAGCTTAATTTCAATATTTTTAAGATCATCCGTCACCAACCATTATTTTGTTCTTTTCCTTCTATCAATGACGGAACCGTTTTTAACAAGAAACACTTTCATTAAACACTTTCAGTGTTATTTGATGTCAATTCAAACAATTAGCTAAGACTCTTAACATATTCAGAAAATCTTATGAAAATTATATAAGTGACTCACATATGACATAAACGGAGACAACAAGAATATGAATAAAAGGCGTCATACAATCCTAACCACTGTTTCTAAGTTTGTCAATCATTTCTCTTCAAGCCTCCCATCTGAATTCAAACTCGAAACTAAACTATAAAAAAAAAAAAAACACCAAATAGAAAAAACTTAAAATGATAATGAAACTAACATTGTATTCTCTCATAACCAACAAAACAAAGTAGGTGAAGATGATATCAGATATCACCACCACTAAAGAAGTAACTAGTTTTGCCAGCAAATTCTCCACCTGCAAGCAACAACTAGGCGATTGACCTGCGTAGCTCTGCTTCCCCATGAGCAAAGTGACATCTATCACCAAATGTACAGTTTCCTTTAGAGTATCTCTCACATATCTTAGTCTTAAAGTTGCTCCCTGGATGCGGTTTCCCTTCAGAACCCATGCCACCACCACCAAGACCGCCAGGTGGTTTCTTAGCTGCTGAATTAAGCCTCCCAATCAATTCTCTTACCATTGCACTCGCTTCGTTTATCTGCTCAAATGTTCCTTCAAGCTCAATGTTCTTCAAGTTTGGGTCTCTCTCGTGATCTTGAATTGATAACTTTGCCCCCGTCTGACGACATATCTGCTTTGAACTGACTCCACCTTTTCCAATGATTGCACCGGCTAAAGAGGCATCAACACTAATTTTGGCAGTGGCTGAGGCACCAAAGCTAGAGACATGGCCAGGCCCAGACTCCCCCCTCCCTGAGAATCGGCCTCCATTACCAGAACCTTGCATGTTTCTGGAAACTTGAGGCATGGGTGGTCCCATATTTGTCATCTGCGCTACAGCATTGTATCCTCCGGGAACATAATGCAGGAAATGACAATTCTCTCCAAAAGGACAGCCAGAAGTGCTGCAATAGAAGCATAATACATCAGAGATTTAAACCCAATGGGAATACAATAGCACAAGAACAGACCATTAAGACACAGAAGAAATGGCATATTGATCCAAGTATAACTGCAATGTTCATTGCTATGAGAGAATAAACATATTATTCCTGTTCCGATTACTATGCAGGACAAGTTCACTAGCAATGCAAGAACTTTACCTGACCATAAATGACTATATTATAAACCCAAAATCACTAATACCCTACAACCAAATAGAAGAGCATAACACCTTTCTCAACAACTCTTATAGCTCAAAAAAAATACATGATTTGTTTTTTTGTATGTTATAATCACCAGTTGAACTAAATGTTTCTCAAATTATGATCCAGATACGATTATATGTTCGTAGTAGGCGTCACATTTACAGATTGAAACTTGTTTACATACCTGTATAACAACTAACCACTTCATTAGCATACAGTATTATTTGTTAATTTCGGGATCAGACTTGCAGGTAGATAACAATTAGCATATTAATTCATTAAGTAAAAGGATTATAACCTGAAAAATTTTGTGCATGGCTTCGATTTGCTTCCTAAACCAGTTGAATATGATTCCATCTCTGTTCCAAACATTAAGTGTTTTACTTTAGTTAAAAACTTATCTGAAGTTCAATATATTGCTTTTAGAATCCAATATATCATTCATACATTCATCTATATGAAACTTTCAAATCAAAAGATGCATAATTTTTTGAATGTTTTCAGGATCACTAACCAACTGGACACAAAAACACTTGACAGAGGAAAAAGGCTTATTCAATCAAGAAAACCGAATCTTTTGGAATGGTTATGAACTGTTATTAGCTTATACTTGAAAAGAGGGATTAACGGAAAGCAATACTAAAAACTCAAGAGACAGTGAAAGATTTAAGCCTGAGACCAACAATCCCTGCAATTAACTATAGTAACAACTTAGCAAAAGCCGATCCATCATCACTCAATTTAGATTTAATCAGATAAAAAGGCCAGTACTTTTTGCAGTTATCTAGCTAATTAACCAGATAAGTAAGCAAGCAGGACACGAAATCACCAAAAGAAAGCACTGAGAACGAAAGAAGAAAATTTTGCCTCCTAGTAAATCTCATAACTAGCAACAAAAAAAATCCTAATTTTACCCAGAACTGAAGATCTCAAATTTAAACCTTTATCAGAGCCAGTGAAGCATAAGAACTAAACAGATCGTAGTAACATAATTCTAGTAGATAAAGAGTAAAGGAAGCAAGAAACAGTGAAAGAACTAACCTTGCTTAGACTTCTTGTATCCGCCGCCATTGGAGTTGAATGAGCCAACTTCAGGCCGTCCTCTCTTACGAGTATCCATGATTAAGTACAGATCCGATTCGAAAGAAGAAATCAAAAACCTTATAGTCTAGAGAGCGAATGAAAAGCGAATCGGAGAAGACAAATCGAAATCGGAATAGGGGAAAAGAGTTAGAGAGAGAGAATAAGCGAGAAAATAAACCTAACCCTAACTAAGGTGGTTGTCGTCGAGGGAAAAAGATGAGATTTTCCTTTTTTTGTTTACTCTTCCCGGTTTTTTTAATTGGAAATTTAAACCGGATTGGCCCAATGCACAAACTAAAATGTAAACCGAAATTTCCCTGAAAAGGATAGAAAACCGGAATTGTAAGATTTAACTTAACGTGAGCCGTTAAATAAGCGATGCGCCAGTTACGATAAGCTTAAATGTATAATGACGTCATGTTTGCCTTATTTGATCTCTTTGTACCGTCAACAAAATGAACCTTTTACCAGCCCAATAAACTCGGCCCACAACTTCTTTCAATGGCACAAAGCCACAAACTTTCAATTCAAAGTGTATTTTCAAAAATCATATGATAATTCTAAGGCCTCTATGAAATTGCAACCAATAAAAATGTAAGTTAAAAATATTCGGGATTTGTGGATGATTGGGCTTTTGTTTTTAATATATTTACCCAATCACACTAAGAAAAATGTGAAATAGGAAAAATTAATAACCAAGAGACTCAAAAGCTTAAAGCTGATAGACATTCTTGAATGACTCCATGAGTATTCCCTACAACTACAAGAACCAAAAAAACTAAGGCTATTAATATCCGCACCGGTTGAATCTTGCGGAATGCAACAGGTTGGTCCTTGTGAGCCTCCCTAACATGTTCCTTGGCCATCACAAAATCATCTTCTTCATCCTCATGAGCCTTCTTGATTCCTTCTTCATCTTCCAACTCCTTAAGCTTAAACAAAACGTTTGAATCAACCAACAAGTCGGAAACATTATGATCATCATCATCAAGATCAGTTTGAGGAATTATTTCGTCTTCTTGACAAGCCAAAATGTATTTGTTGTTCAACCCCTCAGCTATGCAACTCAATCTTTCTCTTCGATCTAATAGCCTTTCGCACGCAGTGTTCTTCACAGACATTACACCCTCTTCCGTCCTCATATTGCTAATCCTCAAAAACGTTTCTTCTTCTTTGTCTTCATATCCTCCCATTCCACTAGTCATCTCTTCAATCAGTTTCCAATCTTGTTCTCGTATTTGTATCAAACAAGTCTCCTCGCAGACAACTACCAATGGTTTATTCATAAACAGAGACTTTAGACTATAGAAAAGAACAGCCTGATGTGCAACGCTGTAACCGCACGAACCCGAAGCATCCACAAAGAATAAAACAAGAGCAGCTCGAAGATGACGAGTCAATGCGGCTATAACATTGCCGTCTCCAAATGTAGGCCTATCCAAAATCTCAATCACTTGGTACCTCAAATCCTTGTACTCAGTATGACCAACAACAAAATTCACTAGCGATGATTTAGTGGTGTAATCATCACTAGCTCCGGTGTTGATTCTGTTCATAAAACAAGTCTTGTCCACATTAGGGTACCCACAAACCAAGAGAGTTGGAGTGTTTATGTCAATCCAAGGAAGCCTTACCATGTGTTGTCTGATCTGCTCTAGATAAGCCAAACTAGGAGTGATTTCGTTTATAACACTAAACATTTGTCCAATAGCACTCGTTTTTAGGACTTTGCATTGCTTTAAAGATTCACCAAACTCGAGTTGCGTTACATAATCATTAGATATATCGGTAATCATGTGTCTAGCAGTATTCACTTGACCTAGACACAACTTGTAGTGATCTCTATCGAAACTCAAGCGAAGAAGGTCATTGTATAAAGGGTTTATCTCATCAAGGCCTGGAAATTCGTCGACAATGGTTGATAGCTTGTCGAAAAAACTGACTTCTGTCTCTTTAACTTTGAGTGTGTAGAATTGACGGAGATGGTTGATGGTGAAACCTTTACGGAGGACATTTGGAGTCTGACGATGAACGCGGGAAAGGATGAGATCGACAAACTCGTTTCCGATTGGGACAACACTTATATTCTTGAAATCATATTGAACCATTGTTTTTTTTTCAGAGAGGAAGATCAAGAATGCTTTGCTTAAGATTTGGGAGAACAAACAATGCCATGCACTACATAATAACGATCTCAATTAATGTTTTTTCTTAAGGAATATACGATAGAGAGGGGAATAAGCACAAAATAACTACTAAGAGGGATTAGGCCAAATCTATAAGAAAAAAGATTTCATCTTCGGATTTTTGTTTTATTATTATTTATTAGACAAAAAAAAAATGGTGAACAGTTAATCTACCTAATTTCCATTTTTTTTAATAAAAAAATTCCGTTTAATATGGAGTAAGAATTATCAAATCAAAAAAATTAATTTTAACTTTCTTACATTATTCTAAAAAAAAAAAGAGAGGAAGAAGGTAAACGGGTCAAGGAATATCTACGTTGCTTCTTCAAATCTCTCTATTATTGACAGCTTCTTCTTCTTCTTTCCCCTTTCTCTCTCGACTTGGACGAATAGCAATCGCATAATCATCTCCGATCATCTTCTTCTTCTTCCCTCTTCTCCGTTAATCTTCCCGATTCTGCGATTTCTCAGTTTACATGATGAAATCTAGTGGTAATCTTATTAAGGGGTTTCTTCGTCTCCAGGTATTCTAGAATTCCTTGTTGAGCTAGGATTTTGTTTGTTTCATCGCTTTTGTGTTTAGATTTTTACATATTTCCTGCTCTCTCTCTAGCTTTGATTCATCGCTTAATCTCTCTTGGTATCGATTTCAACTAGTTTGGAACCTCAATACCTTCAAATCCGTATCTCGTAGAAGTTACAACGAAATCGCAACAAGCTGGTGTATTCAGATGGATTCGAAGATTAAATGGAATCGCCTGCAAATAGCAGCAAGGGGGTTAGTGCTTTCTCTTACTTGTTAGTATATGTTTTCCCTTGACGATTAGCTCTTAGGCTGCATCATCTGATTAGCTTCTTCTTCGTTGGCTCTAAAGGCTGCTATGAATGCATTCAAGGATTTTGTACAACTCTTTCTATGAGAGAACAGGTGCTTCTCATGCTATAGATATTCCAAACACATATTTTTGGTTATGGTGATTGTGCAATGTAATATTCATGTTTTGAGCATTCCATCTCACCTGCTGCTGAATGCAAATTTCATTGCTGCATTCACATCAAACTTACGGCAGGTCTAGTTATCTCTTGGAGGTAAACTCAGGAACATTTACATGGTCAATCATCGTCACAGGTTACACTCTCTAAACAAATACTTGTGCTTACATGCAAAAATCCTACTTTCCAATCCCTAACAATTTAATTTTCATACATTTTTGTGACAACAATTTAGAAGAAGAAAGAAGACTCCCTCTTCCACCTTCTGAGCAGCCTCTTAAGCATTTCGCATCTCTTTGTTAGCCGAGCACAATGTTTCTTCTTAAAACCAGAGTCCTTGGGTATGACGACCGAATCCTGAGTTGTAGACAGCTTTTCTCTCATCCCTGTGGCATTGGATGATCATGCGAATATGGTGGATCTCCATCTGATGAGTTAGAAACAGTTAACCAGATTAATCAATTATAGAGTCGAGAAGAAGAAGAAGCATGCAATCAAGGTTCAAGAAGAAGACATATACTTCAAGCTATTCAACTTGTTTACAAGTTACACTGAAGTCACAAGCTGAGGATGTTTGTTAATTCTCTTAATCGAGAAGAGAAGCATGCAATCGGGGTTCAAGAAGAAGACCTATATATATTTTTCAAGCTATTCAACTGTTTACAGGTTCACAAGCTGAGCAAGTGTTTGTTGTTAACTCTCTTATTATTATTATTTCTAGGATTAAGTTTGTAATGATGCTTAATATTATCATCATGACACAAATTTTCAAGGGTAAATAAAATTTATTCTGAGATCACAAACTAAACATAGCATGATTTTGTTATTATTACCCATTTCGCCATCAGAAGTATCAGCAAGCCTTGCAATGGCAGCAATGAGTGCCTGTTCATGTTCCTGCATCACACACTTGTTGTTATTATTCTCTGAATCACAACATTATACCACTCACGATAGGTATTAATCTCAAACCTTGAGCATTTTCTTGGCCTTATCGAGCTCGAGCGGATCAGGATGAGTTGAATCGAAAACTCTCTCCACCTAAAACAAAACTTTCCTGTTAGAGCCAGCCATTGAGCTTAATGAGTACACAATAGATGAAAAAAACTTACCTCCTTCACAAGTGAGTCTGTGTTGAACAATTCAATATCATCAGAGGAAGTTCTCCGACCACCACCACCATTCTGTTGTGTTGGTGGTGGTAAGATTTCTCTTCTTGGTTGATGAATTCTTGGCCCTCTCCCTCTACCACCATGGATTTGGCTTCTTCGATTGCCACGGAATGATCCACTTCCATGTCCAATGTTTAAAGCTACCCCACTCTCCTCCCCATCCCACCTTATATCTTCCGGTGGTATCTACAAAAAATAATAGTGTCAGCTCTTATCAAGATCATCACCATGTACAGACACCAAATCGCTTACCAAAACAGATGCAACCACATGCAAAGACTATTAAGATAATCTTCATGTAACGCTTACCTCCTTGAGATCAACCCATTCCCACGTTTCATTAGCTGCATGTATATCATACACCAAAGCATGCCGACCCTGCGAGAATAAAACAAGTGCGTAAATTGCAAAACAAATAAACAATCACAGACTTCTATCTACCCAATTAGCAATCTACACTCAATGACCAAAAAAAGTACATCATCTGCATTGTACTGGGTTATAATTGCTTCATAAAAGTGGTTATCTTCAGGCCATTTTGTCCACACTTTTCTTCCGATCAAAGCTTCAGCAGATTCATTTCCTGATATGCCACCAGATACCACACGACTATTGAATGACTTATTTCCAGTCGCACCAATTGATGGATGATACTGCATGCATATCACATATAATTGGTCAAGAAATAACATAAAACAACACAATGGGGATAAACAGAAGAAAGTAAAAAAGAATCATAATTGGTGCAAATACAACTAGAACATGACTTACAGATTGGAATGTTTTCTGTTTCTTTCGGCCAGCTGAGAAAGTGGGACTAGGAAGAACATCAAAAGGCTGAATAGTTGCATGTCTAGTATTTTGGCTTCCGCCTCCCTGTCTCCAATCTCTGGTACAGTTCACATATATTTAAATAAACGGAATTCATGATAAATTAATGTTTTGTCTTTGCTGGTGCAAATAAACAATCTAACCTTATCCTCTGGATAGTATCATCCTTATTGACCCTACTCAGAAGCTCTCGATGTTCATCATCAGATACTCCCAATTCTTTACGCAATTCGGTTATCAAGCTTTCTTTTTCCTAAATTGCGGAAATGGTACAACAAATAAATCCAGAGATTTAGTCGTGAGACTGGCAGAACACAGAACAACCCAATCAATGCAAAGGAGGAAGAGAGTACCCAAGAAATCGCATCAGACTGCGCTTTAAAAGCCCTTAAAACAGCGGTATATGCTTCCTGCTCAAGTTGATGAATTTGCGTCTCCATATCACTATGTAGTTTAGTTTCAGAGAATTCCCATCCAAACGAAAGCTGTCATGTGGAAAACAGTTGCTATCAGTAATTAGAAAACTAGAAAATTCAGCAGTTTGTTAAATGTGTGTATTGGTTTGAAAGAATAAAACTAATCAAAATTCTTTCACGATTATGCTAATGGCCACCCCCACAGCTAATTTAACATGAAGAGAGGTTGTAGCAGCATAAACAAGAAAACACAATTTCCCCTAATTCAATAAATCAAGAAAAGCTGAACACTTCTCTCGAAACCCTAAAATCCTATCTCGGTTAACCATTCCGTAAACCCTATTTAAACCTTCCGTGCCTAAAACTAGCCGCAACAGTGTTAGATTAGGCAAGAACCTGGACGGCCAAATATCTCAATTCGCAGAGCTACCACAAGGTTCATCATCGAACGCCTAGCTCACTAATTGCTCTGAACAAGATTCAAAAGGGGCAGAAACATTATACATACCTCTGTTTTCGGAATATTGGGGGTAAACCCACAAAAGGGTTTACCTTGTCGACCGATTCAGATACGAAACCCTAAAAAGCTCGAATCGAAACTTGACCCGAAAAAAAGCAATTAAGGGTTCGACGTGCGTTCGGTGAAACGAAGAATTGAGGGGATTGAAACGAGAAATTGAAAGAATTTGAAAAAAAAAGAGATGAACTTTTGTGTCTCTCGAGAGAAGCGATCTTTTTCAACGGAAGGGCACAGAGCTACGATCGATTTCTCCGGGACTCGGGTGGGATGGCGTCGGAATCGCCGAACAGTCGTTTTAAAGACGAAACGATTCGTTTTGGTATTAATATCTATAAGGCCCATTAATAAGAGCAACTTCGGCCCATATAGCCTAATATCTTTAGACTCTTGTTCCTAAAAAAAAGAAAATAGACTCTGGTTTTGTACATCGTTCCTTAGTTTTATACTTTTATTGATTAGATATGGTTTGTATATGAATGGTTTCTCTGTAACTTTGTAAACTCTAGTCATGTTTGTGACATAGTTCAATGATTAAATCATGTTTGTGACATATTTCACCAATGAATCAATTTTTAAAACAAAAATTATTACATCAATAGTATCCTTATTTTCAAATCTATTGCTATATTAACAACTACGAAACTAATAAACTTTTTTTCACTTTACTGATCACTAGCTACTACAAAACGAAAAACAAATTGTATATGTGATCACTAGTTGGTCGCTTTTCGAAACAAGGGGTTAAGTTAGTTGAATTGAAAGTTTGAAACATATGATGATATACTAATCCTAATCGGCAATACGAGACTTACGTTGTAGAACCATGCACATAGAGATTACAGAGATATTACACTTTTGAGTATCTCAACAACGTTCTTAGAGCAAGCCCACTGGACAGTCCTAAAGAGATTCTAGGAGTGAATCCTTAGGAAAATGGGCCAAAAATAAATAAAAAATGAGAAATGTTAAAGTTCGTTTCTTAGTTTAGAGTTTTTTCTGATTTTAATAGTCGCATAGGTGGCACGTTGTCATTCGTTGGTAAACAGAGAAAACAAAAAGGCTCACTGTTATTCGATTTCCCTGGAGCAACATCATTGCCCTCTGACGGAGGTGATTCAGTCGATTACACATACACATGCTAATGCAAATTTGTCATTTTGTATCTTTCAATCTTTACAAAAAAAAAAAAAAATTTCAACAAGTCTTCGTTTGTATTTTATTTATATATCCTAGTTTTATATTGGTCCTGATTTGTGAAACATAAATTTATTTTTGTGATTCGAGGATAAAACATGACGATATGATAAAATATAAATCCGTACCACCGTATTTTTAACTTCTTCCTTAATAATTACATAGAAACAATACATGTTTTTTTTTAACTTCAGCTTTCATATTAAGCATTGGATGTGACAAAGTCACAGTGTAAGGTGTTTACAATTGCATAAGGAACATAAGCATGAAAATAGAACTGTGAAAGAGTCGGTAAATGTCCTTTAGCTAATGTGTCTGCAACCATGTTGCAGTCTCTTCTTGTCCACACAAATCGGCATTCTTCAAATCTTTTCCTCCACGCACTTACTTCACGAATCCAATTATAAGCTCCAAAGTTGGCCTTGTTACCGTTAAGGATCTCTTCAATCTCTTTATTATCCCCTTCAAATAATATCTTCTTGTATCCTTTACCCCAACAATTTTGCATGGCCATGATCAATGCTTGCAGCTCACTCTCCAGACAACTGTTGGTTGGTTTCCCTATCGCTTGACCCGCGCCAATAAAAGTTCCTCGATCATCCCTTATAACCCAGCCAGCCTTTGCAGGCATATCTCTATTAAAAGTACCATCATAATTACATTTGATCCATCCAAGAGGTGGTTTGGTCCAGTGTCTAGAAACAATACATGTTATATCTCATAAATACAAATAAAAACCAAATATGTTTAAGAATCCTTTAAGGACTCAACCATTGTTGTTGCTCTTACCCTTTTCTTAATATTAATTTCTTAATAAGTAACAATTAACATGGCCGGCGGTGATGATTAACACAAACATCATGGTTAAACGTAATTATTTTTTCATCTGCCAACATTAAACCAATTCAACAAGCCTTAAGCGGAGTCCCACAAAGACAGAGGTTATGAGAGTAGGCAGATGGTTCAAAGGTCTGAAGTCGACCGCCACTTGGGATTTTCCCGCAGAGACGATTGTAGCTCACGTTGAAACGCTCGAGACGTCGTAGGGTAGTTAGCACCCGAGGAATCTTACCAAAGATTCGGTTTTGGCTCAGATCCAACATAAGTATGCTCCTAGCAATTTTAACCTTAGAGAGATCGAACTGAAACATGTTTCTCGACAGATCCAGTTGTATAGTTGTTTTGTTCCGTCCGAAAAACATGGAACCATCTCCGGTGAATCTGTTTCCCGACAGAAACACTGCGTTGAAGTCGTATTTTGACAACGATTCCGGTATTTTCCCTGAAAAGAAGTGTCATATAAAACACGGCATTTATAAATGAATTTGTCAACAAAATCTTAATCTGGCGCCAGATCTGAAAATACAGTTTTGTTTCCAACGAGAAGATTATACATTTATATTGATGGAGAACAATTAATAAAATCCTAATTGAAATTCTTTATTAGATACAGAAACATTTTAAGGTACGAAGCTATATACCTTAAAATATACTGTATACGTACGAGGCTATATACCTTAAATTCACTTAAACATTTTAAGGTACGAGGCTAGCTAGTTATAGGCTATATATCATTTGACCAAAAATATATACTTAATTAATAAAGAAGTTACATGTACCTGAGAGGCGATTGTTAGACAATTCGAGTGCAGGGATGTTGCCAACAAAAGAACCGAAAGAGTCTGGTATAGAACCGGTTAGCTTATTATCGTTAAGCTCAATGGCTTGAAGCTTCGGCATCTGAGATAGCGAACCGGGAATCGGACCGGTCAATTGGTTAAAGGAAAGGCCCAAGTAGGTGAGGTTCTTGAGATCGCTGATGTTATCAGGAATCGGACCGGAGAAATTGCTGTACTTAAAAAAGAGGATGTCGAGGCTCTTGAGCTTGGTGATCGCGGGTGGGATGTTTCCGGAGAAATAACTTGAGGAAAGAGTTAGGTAGGTGACACGGCCGTCAGTGCATTGGACGCCGCTCCAGACGGTGCAACAATCGGTTTGGGGTGTCCAAGACGAGAGGAGGGGATGGTTGTTAAGTGATTTCTTGATTTCAAGGAGGGCATTTTTGTCATTTGCGGTGCAGCTGTGAGAAGATGGGAGAGAGATGAAAAGGATGGAGAAGAAGATGGAGAGATGAACAAGGATCATCATTTGTGATGATTTTGGTGTGGTTACTTTGAGTAGTGGAAACAACTTGTGATATACATATGTAAATGGAACACAGCTGTGTAAATGTTACTGATTTTGTAGAGGTAGGGTTTCACACTACGCCCCAACATACAATAATATTCTTTCCGTAAATTAAATTTAATTCAATATATATATTTTTTCAAAGTTTGTACATACTGTATGTCTGCAATAATTTGACCGTATGTTTGTTACTGCACCAGTCAATTCTAATTTCTAACCTTTATTATTTCTTCGTAATGTTCTTTGAGAGCCCAAATCCAGTTTATCGTCTGAACACATTGTCATAGTCAATATCTTTTTTTTTTTTAATGTGATTGTTTTTATAAAAAAATTGATTATCCCAAATCCAATCTATCGTCTCAACAAATTGATTGGAAACAGTTTATCGGTTGCTAAAAATAGGAAATCGGCGAATATCGTAGAACCGCATAAATGTTATAGAGATTGGGGACTTGTGAATATCTCAACAACAACGTACTCTTTTTCTTACCATTGATTTCATAACAAAAAGAGACAATAAACTTGGTTTGGCGGTGATAATGAACACATCATCGTAATAGATTAAACATCATTATTTTTCTTCCGCCAAGATAAAACGAACTTAACAAGCCTTAAGGGGAGTCCCACAAAGACAGATGTTGTGAGCGTAGGCAGATGGTTCAAAGGTCTGAAGGAGACCGCCACTTGGGATTTTTCCGCAGAGATGATTGTCGCTCACGTTGAAATGCTCGAGGTGTAGTTTAGTCAGCGCTGGTGGTATCTTCCCGTAGATATGGTTATGGCTCAGATCCAACGAAACTATGCTTCTAGCGAACTTAACCTTGACGAGATCGAAATTAAACATGTTGCTCGACAGATCCACTCGTACTGTTGTTTTGTTCCGTCCGAAGAACATGAAGCCATCTCCTTCGAAACCATTTCCGGACAGATCCACTGCGTTGAAGTCGTATTTAGACAACGATTCCGGTATTTTGCCTGCAATGCAAAAAATTTCATTAAACCGGGATTAAAAAAATTACCAACAAATGTACTTTAATTAAATCCCATCTATATTGGTTAGTGTGGTTCATTAACACTTTAAGGTACGAGGCTAGTTCTACGATTCTAACATAAATAAACATTTGACCAAAAGCATAATAAAGAAGTTATAAATTGTTACCTGAAAGCTTATTGTTAGATAAGTAGAGATTAGGGACGTTGCCAACAAAAGAACCGAAAGAGTTCGGTATAGAGCCGGTTAGCTTATTATTGTTGATCTGAATGGCTTCAAGCTTCGGCATCTGAGATAACGAACCGGGAATTGGACCGGTAAATTGGTTAAAGGAAAGGTCCAAGAACGTGAGGCTCTTGAGCTCGCTGACGTAATCAGGAATCCGACCGGAGAGACTAGTGTGCTTGAAGAAGAGAGTGTTGAGGTTCTTGAGTTTGGTGATGGTGCGTGGGATGTTTCCGGTGAGGTGGGGCAGGTAGCTGAAATCGAGTGTACGGAGGTCAAGTAGGTCGCCGATCTGGTACGGGATCTGGCCGGAGACTTCGCCGGAGGAAACGCTGAGAGCTGTAACGCGACGGTTAGTGCATTCGACGCCGGTCCAGCCGGTACAACAGTCGGTTCGGGGGTTCCAGGAAGAGAGGAGGGGAGGGTTGTTCAGTGATTTCTTGATTTGAAGGAGGGCATTCTTGTCATTTGGGGTGCAGCTGTAAGAAGATGGGAGAGAGACAAAGAGGATTGATAAGAAGAGGGAGAGATGAACAAGGAGCTTCATTGTGATTTTGTGTGGATGCTTTGAGCAGTAAGCAAGTTCTTGTATATAATCAGTCCCGGCTCAATATATCTAAGAGCCTTAGGGCAAAAAAAAAATTTTTGGCCTATTATTATATAAAAAGAGAAAATTTACTTAATTTTTAAAAATTTTGCGGAGTTTTTATAGTAAAAATTGTTATTTTAAAAATTTTGGGCATTTTTATACATTTTTTTATAAAATAATTAGGCCTCTTAAAATATAATTCTCATATTAATAATATTTTTAAAAAATATTTAGGCCTTTTTTTATATGTAAAATTTTTTTATAAAAAAAAAGCTCCGGGCCGTCGCACCTCCGCCCTACCCATCTGAGCCGGGGCTGTATATAACAGAGACTTCAATGGAAGTATGGAACACAGCTGTGTAAATGTTGCTGATTTTGTGCAGTTACAATCTACGTTACACGGAAGCGGCACTGGAGCTTCGATTCCCGCTTCAGAATCGGAATCGGAATCGGGAGCGACCGGAATCGCTCGGAAGCGCAGCGGAATCGCGGTTCTGAAAAAGGACAATTTGGAAGCGTCGGTGAATCGCAGGATTCCGATTTGGAAGCGTTGAGAAAATGAAGTGGAAGCGACCAATGATATGGCCAAAGTCAAATGAATTGAATCTCTGAAAATGAAGTAGTATAGTTTCGAGTTTACTCGATAGAATTTAAATTTGAGAAAGGGGAGGAAGAAGAAACTATGGCGGACGGGCGACAGCTGAAAGTAAAACAAAGAAGGAGCACTTAGGTTTTGATGACACGTGAATTTTTTATTAGGTTTTTATTTATGAATTTAGTTTTAATTAAATCTGCATTTTAGGGAATAAAGATACATAAGGGAAGTATTTCTTATTTGGTGTGAGAAACTAATTTATTCTAAAATTATTTATTCTAGTATGATTTTATGTTTTAAACTAATTTATTCTAAAATTATTTTTTATCATTATTGTAATCTATGTTTTTCTAATATAATTTTATGTTTGGTATTTATATATATATATAAATACCAAACTAATATATATATATATATATACGCTTCCAACACGTACCCGTTTCTTAAATTTTTATAAAAATACACTTCCGTGTTTCCAAACGCTTCCGCTTCTGCGAACCCGCTTCCGATTCGATGCAGCTTAGGTTACAATATTCTTCAAGCACTACTCCCAACGTACAATATTCTTTTCACAAAATAAATTTAATTCATAAGCGTGGTAGTCGTACATATATCTCTACTATTTAATAATTTGACCCTACGATGATAGTTACTGCACAAGCCACAGCGAGTAAAATAGTTAGGTATACAAATGTTTTAGCATGTGTTTTTCATTGTGTATATGATATATACGTTTGTTACTGAATCATTCATAGTGAGGTTGAGGACAATCATTTCATTTCATATAAAACACATGCTAGAGAAGAGTAATGTTAAAGTCCAATGGATATGACATATTAATCGAATGTGATGAGTGAAAACCTCTAAAATTGTTGCTATGTGTTGGGACAAAAACAATACAAAGACAAATGAATATCAGAGCCCACCACTTTTGAAAGCGCAAAGAATCTTATTCTTAAAACAACACAAATGATACAACAAGAGGAGATTAAGACATTTACATCCCCCTCCCTCTGTAACACAAAGTGGTTGTGTTATGTATGTTAAGTCACCATGACTCCTTCCACTCTACTCTATCGAGACCGTCCACGATTGCTCTGCGAAACTCATCATTGTGAAGCAGAAAGGAGGACACGTGTCCACCTGTGACCCATCTCACTTCTGAACCAGGCCACGCCTTTTGAAGCTCCAACACTGAGTGTTTTGGTATGTATCCATCATCCTATACAAATCATATAATCAGCAATGCGTGTCCAAAAAAATTTGTTTAGATTTTGAGTTGTGGACTCATTTTTCTGCTTACAGTTGCAGCAACAAAGATAACAGCATCAGGGTTTTTGGGGATAGGGAAGCGAGTGACATCTGTGAGGGAGAGAACATTGCGCATCCGCTCTCTCACTTCATCAAGAGTCATTGTGATCTTTTGTGCTGCAAGTTCCTCCCTCAGTGCCTCCCAAGCAGTCCCATACTTTAATATTCCTTCGCAGAATGCAACAACAGCAGAGTGCGGAGATAGGAATGGAAGTGTTGCAACTGGTGTTGGATGAAGCGATCCAACCATCGAAGCATGTACTCCTCCTAATATATTCATCATCTTGTTAGTTTTCAGAGAAAGGCAATGGAAAAAAAAAACCAATGCATGGAGCTGCAGTACATAGATCCCTGGATGGATGCAGTTCTGGCTCACCATGTCCCTCTTGCTGAAATAGATTCCAGCTAATCCTAACACTTGAACCTAAATCTAAGTCCACAAGCGTTTGAGAAGCTAATTGAGTAGTTGGAAACTATGCTAATGCTTATAACAAAAGAGTAAATAGGAGCAGCTACATAGCAGCTTTAGTTTGCTATAACTCTGTGGATAAAGCCAATAACTATCCCCAACTACTGCAGGGAACCTATCCCAGATCATCCATCCTAAAAAGCATCCACAACAAAATTTAAGTTTTGTCTACTCTTGGTGATAATTGAGGGTCTAACAATAGTTCATCCAATTCAACCCAATGCAATAGCTCACAAGTTGTTCATAAGAAAGAAAACTGTAACTTACCCATACTAAGCCCACAAACACCCATCTTTCCAAAGCCTTCCTCAGTGTCTAGCCAGTGAATAAGACTGCGGGACTCTTCAATCGTTGCCCTCCCTAGTAAAAGTAGATCACTAACACAGAGGAGTCTTGCACCACGTTGAAGAAACGGACGCCTTTGGCCATAGAAAGGGCTGCAGTGGCATTATCTATGTTTGATCAAAAACATGGCAAAAAGCTTCAAAAGCGGTCAAAGCAAAATGATTTGCTCTTAAGCTTTCATCATGGGGGAGAATCAAGTCTCTTTTATTACCTTTCCAACACCATTGTTGCAATGTTTTGTTTCACCAACGGTCCACCCAAACGCAATCTTCGGTCATATGTATGATCACCCGTGCCTACAACAATGCCACACATCATCAGCAAGATATGATATTTACAAATCAAACAATTGTAATATCTCACCCAAAGCAAGTAAAAAGACATTCACTTAAAAGGGCTATGAACAAATTAAGATCACATAAACAAGCCATTCCACAAAAGAGCAGAGCGACATGCTTATGACTATAGAATCACTTTCTAGGTTTCAAAAAACACCAATTTCAGCCTGCACTCATGATCTCTCTATCTCCTTCTGGTCATTGAGCGTAAACTATAATCTATGTTTGATAAGATTCCGAATAGAACAATTTTCCATAATCTAAAAACACAAGAATCAGTAATGGTACCTGCAAGATGAACCACACAAGCCATCTTTTGGGGAGGAACGTTTTTAGGGACAAGCCAAGCAACTCTGGCGGTGCGAGACTCCGGAGGCAAAGCAGCGGTTAGCTCATCCGCACAAGGAGTCTGGAAAACACCTTCTCTCAAAGTAGCGGTCTTTGTCTCCCAAACAGTCCTCCAGACTGGACGAACCAAAGGCGGTGGCCAATTCTGACCTTGAGCCTCAAGCGGGAAGAGGCGTTGAACCATCCGCTCGAGCAATTCCAGATTGGGACCACCCCATCCTCGAGAGAAGAAGGGTGGGGTTATCTTGGTGCGGTGCATAAACGCTCCATATACATGGTCAATTACATAATGGAGCATTCCCAATTTGATCGACACCATTGTTCAAATTTAAACTCAGAAATTGGACCGATTTTAGAAAATACCTAGCCGGTGAATCGAATATGAATTCTGTCAGAAAAATTGGAATTTGGGTGCTTCAGATCTGGTGAGAAAGACGAAAGCAACCATCCATTACCCAGTTTGATTTTCGAATTGGGAAAAAAAATTGACTTGGAAGTCAAGAATAAGAATATGAATGCAAAGGTGAATGCTTTGTTCAAGATCGATGGAGAAATCTAAGAAGAAGAAGATAGGTCAGAGGTCATGATATGAAAGAAGCGTGAGGAAAAAAGGGAACCGGAAAAGAGCGAGAGAAACGGTGGGCTAATTGATATATCATAGTATATGTTATGCCACGCTGGCATTATGTGGGGTCCATTATTTGGGTTTGGTCTTTCTTTGGAGAGAATCGTTATCCATACATTTGACAGTGACAGAATTTGAAGCCCATTGGTCTGAATTAGAGTTGGAATTGGCCGAAAAGATAAAGAACAAAAGGTTGGACTATGTTTTTTTTTTTTGATAATTAAGGTTGGAATATGTTGGATTGTTGGGACCTCTATTTATTTGGTCCGATTGTTTTTGATAGATACACATCTCACAAGAAATATCATCTAATCACTTTGTCTAAATATATATATTATGCAATGTTCAAGAAAGTGCTAGGTGCTAAGCGGGCGGTGACCCAGCGCCTAGCGCCTAGAACGCCTAATCGGGGCCTAGGTGATTTTTAGGCGGTTTAGACGTTTATAACATAAAACATTATAGGTATGATATTATATATAAAAGTTATAAAAAAAATCTAGAAAAAAACTAGAAATACGAAATCATAAACAAAAATTAGATAAATCATTTATTTATATTCATACTAAATAATATATGAATATTTATAACTATTTATATATAAATAAATTTATTCAAAAATCAATAAAATACATTAAACAAGGTCTATGTAATTTTAGGCGGTCAAGGCGGTTATCTAGGCGTCGCATAAGAGCCTAGCGCCTAGTCGGGGCCTAGGCGACCGCCTAGACCGCTTTTTAGAACACTGATATTATGTTCTTCTTGTGAAATCAACAAAAGACTCACGATCTCATAAATGTTATTTTTCTATAAAATGAATGGTATGTAAAAAATGGGAGCTTCTGGTTTCACCCACATACTCTTTCTCTAGTAAACCTTGGCTCATTGTTTCAATATTTCAAGAACAAATGGCCTAACACGAATAACAGAATATAAAGCTGAACAAAAAATGACAACAAGAAGAACAATCTTTTTTTTTCTTTGGCTAATAGAGTTATGATTTACCGCAACATCCACCTCTTTTCCCACTCTCCTGCTCGCTCGGGATGATAATTCTAGTTCCTTTCAAGAGACTTGAATTACCATCGGCGTCATCATCATCAGCCGTTAGTGATTTCTTGCTGATTATACGGTAAATCTCTGTTAAGATGGTCAAAAATGCTGTTTCAACATTGGTAGCTTCAAGAGCAGAGGTTTCCATGAAAAACAAGTTTTCTCTTTGTGCAAACTCTTGTGCGTCTTCTGTTGGCACTGCTCTTAGGCTTCCAAGATCACACTTGTTCCCAATTAGCATAATCACTATGTTCTTGTCCGCATGTCCTCTTAACTCTTCCAGCCATTTCGCCATGTGATCGAATGATTGACGTTTGGTCATGTCATAGACCAACATTGCCCCAACTGCTCCACGGTAGTATGCGCTTGTCACCGCCCTATATCTGCAAAAGAAGAACAGTAACAGTTGCATAAACGTATGACTAAGAGCCTTAAACAAAGTGATGATCAAACATCACATATATATATTCATGTTGCCCATTCTTGGCCATCAATTATTCATACATATCTACTTATATTGCAACATATATATGTTGCCTAGTTCAACGACATCTCTAGCTGCTAACATGAATCAATCAAATGGATGAATTGTGAACGTTGCTAATAAATTACCAAATGATATAAATGATGTCATCACTCCTAATGAAATGCATGGAAGAAGATAAAAGGCAAAACCTTTCTTGGCCAGCCGTATCCCAAATCTGAGCTTTGACGGTTTTGTTATCAATGACGAGCGTTTTAGTCTGGAATTCAACACCAATGGTGGCTTTAGAATCGACGCTAAACTCATTCCTAGCGAACCGAGCAAGCAGCTGAGTTTTGCCAACCGCGGAATCACCGATCAACACGACTTTGAAGACGTAATCGATCTTTTGGTTATAATCTCCATACAAATTAGACATCTCTCTTCTTCTTCTTATTATTATTCAAAAAACCAACAACAAACGAGAATACACAAAAATCTCCAGATCACGAATACGAAAGGCGAAGAGTCTCGGATTCGTATAGCACACGTAAATCAGTCGAATCTACCATCAAACGAGCACAGAAACTCAGATCACAATGAATTGGTGGTTAGGCAGAGAAAGGGAAAAATTATTCAGAGAATGAAAGAAAGAGAGGATTAACGGCCGATGCGGGACCTTTTACTCCAGGAATTTTTCTACTGTGCCTTGGATCACAAATTTCACCCTGAATCAAATTCATCTTGGCCGTTTATTTGACTCGTAGCTTATTCACCGTTCAATTATCTGACCGGGGAACAAAACTGATGGCAAATCACAACCGGCGCAATTTGAACGAATTAATTCAAAACCGATATCACACTAAATCAAGTTCGGTTAAATTCGGTTTAATTATTATACCAGATTAGGTTAGAACTTTGTCAAAATAGGCGGCAACACAATTAGGATGGAAATTTATTGGCGCCATAAACCTTGCTTAACTCGATCGCTTCTCTGGTGTGTACTTACTTTCTCGGTACGAGAACGTTGAAAATGGAGAATGATGGGAGATCCAGTGAGAAAAATCTTTACGAGGTATCTCTACATTCTCTTTTTCCGATGCTTCCAATTAGGGTTTATAAGGGTTTTCGTTTCTGGATTTGGGGGTTGTTCCAATTAAGCTTCTCTTTGGCTCTGAAATGTTTTGATTCGTATGTCTCATGTCGTAATTGTATACTTTGGATATCAGTTTTATAAACTTGGGATTGTTTGTCAATTTGATGACTTTCCTGTGAGAGTCTGAATTATCATTGTTGATTGTTAGGATTGTAAAAGCCAGAACTTTACTCGTTTATGATCCATAGTTTTATAAATTTGTACCGTAGCTGTTGCAATTCTTGTCTGAGATTCCCCTTGTTTTGTTGGTGATTAGTTGTATGATTAGAAGAATTCAGTGAAACGAACTAATCCGTCTTTGTTGAAGGTTCTTGGTGTTGAAGCAACAGCATCTCCACAAGAGATAAGGAAAGCGTATCATAAGTTAGCATTGAGACTTCATCCTGATAAAAACAAGGACGATGAGGTTAAACTCTCACTCTTGAGGGGTTTTGGTTTCTTTACTTTTCTTAGTTCTTAGGGGTCCAATTCAATTTTACATTGTAACCGGAATTCTTGTTTTTTTTTTTTCAATACAGGAAGCTAAAGAGAAATTTCAGCAGTTGCAAAAGGTTATTTCAATTCTCGGTGATGAAGAGAAAAGAGCAGTCTATGATCAAACTGGCTCAGTTGATGATGCTGTAAGTTGTGCTCTATGAATTTTTCTTATCTTCCTGAATTGAGTTTCACAAGTTTTATTCCATACTGGTAATTTTTAGATTGCTTTCACACTTATACACACAACACATGTATCAGTCTCTTTTACTACCTATTGCCAGTTTCTGTTCAAATGAATTGTTGAAAGAAAGCTTCCAACTTCAGTAAAATCACTGGAGGATTTTCTTACAAACTGGTTTTTTCCCATATCTTATTAGGATCTTTCGGGAGATGTGGTTGACAACTTGAGGGACTTCTTCAAGGCAATGTACAAGAAGGTAACAATCATGATTCAAAATCGATTTCTTTTTGGACTTTGCACATAACTGTTTGTTCTGTTTCCTTCACATACTGATTCTTGTGACACTTGTGCTATAGGTCACGGAGGAAGATATTGAAGAGTTTGAGGCCAACTACAGGGGTTCTGAATCCGAGAAGAATGATTTGATTGAGCTATATAAGAAGTTTAAGGGTAAAATGAGCAGGTAATTTATCATCCCCTTGTTTTCATTATTGTTAATTTTGTGAATTGAAGTTTATATAAACATTATTGGTTCTATATCTCTTCCAGGATTTTCTGCTCAATGCTTTGCTCAAACCCCAAGCTTGATTCACACCGTTTCAAAGATCTTATTGATGAGGCCATTGCAGCTGGTAGGCTCTCTCTCTTGCAATAATGCTGTGTTCAAACGCATTCAAGTTCTGATTTGTTTGAACGTCATGAAACCATTGTCTCCTTTACGCAGGAGAAGTGAAATCAACAAAAGCTTACAAGAAATGGGCGAAGGAAATTTCAGAAATGGAACCTCCCACGAATCCTCAGAAGATGAGACGGAAGTAAGCTTCTATTTGTCTACCTTTTTTTTCCCTATAATTGCCTCTGAAGTTGACTTTGTTGTGACCTGTTTCAAAACTTCCATACGTTCAGAGCAACAAAGGGTGCAGATAAAGATTTATACGCTGTAATTTCGCAGCGAAGAGATGAGAGGAAAGAGAAGTTCGATTCAATGTTCTCGTCACTTGTGTCTAGGTATGGTAACAATGCTGACTCTGAGCCAAATGAAGAAGAATTCGAAGCTGCACAGAGAAAAGTTGAAAGCCGGAGATCGTCGAAGAAGTCGAGAAAAAAGTAAGATTATGTAGATTGTGTTTGTAATGGAAACCAATATTAGGGAAATTGGAACACATGTTTGCTGTTTAAGTTTGAAATTTGTGTTAACTGTGTATGTGAATCTGTATCGTAATTTCTGCTCTCTCTAAGCCCAAAGAGCGTCATAGACTCATAGGCAGAGATGAGTAAATTCAATTTCACCGATTTTTCAATCCTATATTTTAAACAATCTGTATTTTACTTATAATTAATTTTTTTTTTCCCATATGCAGAAAAAGAAGGAAATTAATAAAAGAAAAAGAATGAAATATTGGCAAAAATAAAGTAGAACTAAAAAAAAGGAAAGAAGAATCTAATTTATATATATAATGAGAGAGTTTTCTCTCCATCTAGCCTATCCACCTAAGCATCCACCTAAACAATACTATTTATTGTACATTAAAATAAATTTTAAACATTTATTTAGTGCATATTTATGTTACTTATAATTAATATAAAAAATAAAAATAAATAAAAACCGAATTATGTAAAAAAAAGAAATGTTAATATAATAAGAAAATAATACAATTAAAATTTTATTAGTAGTAATAATATAATTCAACTTTTAACAGATAAAAATTAAAAATGATCATACTTCAAATTTCTAAATGTGTAATCTTTTAATTTAAAAGCATGGTAGAATAAAAGTATAAAACTAAATTTATGCAATTCTATATATAAGATTTTAAACAAGAAGATTAAATTTATAGAAGATTAAATTTATAGTAAAGCATTAGCTTCTAAGAACGATATACTACATATTTTTATTTATTATTAAATTTTTACTTAAAAATAAAAAACTTATTGAATTCAACTTAAATTTATAATTTAAGCCGGAGATATTGTATTCACATTTTATCTTGTAAAATTATAAAAACAAATCTTATAAATTTTAAAACATTATCATTCATCTTTTAAAAAATAAATAATCAATGATCACATTATTCATGAATTCTACAACAAAATATACAAAAAATGATATGTAAGTTGTTAAAAAAAAGGTGATATATAATTTGTGTAGCATATTCTCATGTGGAACTTTAACTTTATAACATGATAAGAAAAAATTTGATTTTTCTATCAATTGAATCCAATGCTTTTAACCCAAAAAACTGAGTATTGAAATATATGAATTAAGGAGAAAATAGTTATGATATGTCTTGAAATTAATTCACAGTCCAATATATATTATATATGAGTCAATAGAAAATGAAAAGAAAGTTGATGTCATAAGGCAACGAGTTTATCATAGAAGATGACGAAAGAATTGATAGTTAAAAGTGTGTGAAAATAAATTTCTAAAACTTAGAAAGATAATGCACATGACTAAAGTAAAATCTTTGAGATCTCATTCATTGTGTGAAACGAATGGGTTCTTAGAAAAATACATGACATACATTATTAAACAGATTATTAGATTCAAACTTGGGTTTAACCGTTTAGTCATGTAAATCATGGAAAGTGAGATAAGATAGACACAATGATAACTTACTCGAGAATTCTCTTATGACACACTACATTTATGACACGCTGCATTTGCTTCGATGGGTAAAACAAGCTCGCTAAAACTGTTCTAGCAAGATGGTATTATATATGTATATTTACATTAAATAATGTTCATGAAACTCGATATATTCGCATTTTATATGGAATGATGTTATGTTCGTATCAATATTTAATCATAAATAATATATACAATTGAATCAACAATCAATAATTAACTTCAACACTTTAAAAAAAATGTTTTCATGGAATATGAATAAGAAAGAAAATCTTTTAGAGATAAGATAAAAGGATCATTTGAAGGTCGTCGATATCGTTTATTTTTCTCGCGAATTTTTTAAGTGATCTTTGTTACCATGTGATATATATCAAACTATTTATTTGTCAAGGAAACATTATCGCGACAATATATATGTTGTATATCGCTTATTATATTTATGCTCAAATATTTATCTTTTAAATTTTAATGATTATATTTTATGATGAAAATTTGATATTAATAGAAGAGATTTTAAACTAAAATCCCGCGCAACGCGCGGGATACAAAATCTAGTTTCCAATAGAAACCAAGTCATAAGTAAAGTACACCAATTGAGAAGAAGAGTTCTCGCATATATGTAGCTTATTTTTTTTTTAATATCAAGAGTATTTTACTATTTAGCAAGAGTCGCAGTCCCTCACAGAACCGTAGTTTTGGTATCGATTCGTGAAGAAAGCAAATATGGCTTGGGATTTGTTTTTATGGATTATCTCCTTCTTCGTCAGCTTGGCTCTCGTCGCTTCCGTCTTCTATCAGGTATCTATCTACTTTCAATTAATAAGTAAGATTCTTAAATCTAGATCTGTCATTTACTGTTCAAATCCTGAGTGTCGGAATTGTACTTGTGAATAAACACCGAGCAACTTAGCCTTATGTTCTAAATAATTAAACCCGATGATGCACAGCTTTTTCAGGAGAAAAAAAAAACAATTTTCCCTTGTGTTCATAGGTTTTGTACTAAATCCTCCCACGATTGACAAGTTTTGGGTCCAGAAAGGTTTCATTGTTCATCCTTATGCTTCTAACTCAAAGTTGTTCTTAGTTCAGATTTGGATTGTCAAATAGTGTAAAGCTGTTGATTAATTGCGAGTTAATTAGTCATTAGTTTTGTTAGTTTGTGCCGATTTTGTAGTACCGAGTTGATTGCGGTGATAGGTAGAAGAAGTTATTGAATGAAGTTAGATACTACTTCCAATAATCGTTGAGATCCCTTTTTTGGCTCATTTTTTCTTTCGATGTTGTGTGATTTTGTAGGTTATCTGCTTAACGGATTTAGAAGCTGATTACTTGAACCCTTTTGAAACAAGTACCCGTATCAACCGATTAGTTATACCTGAGTTTGTCCTCCAAGGTTCACTCTGCCTTCTCTTCCTCCTCACATGGCATTGGGTCTTTTTTCTGGTCGCCGTCCCTGTAACAGTCTATCACGCAATGTTGTAAGTGTCTCTATCCATATTGCTATTGATTCTTCATTGACATGTGTGGAAACTAAACATTCAATCGCGTGTCTCCCATTGTTTTCAGATTCAATGAGCGACGTTATCTCATCGATGTCACTGAAGTGTTCCGTGGTATTAGCTTTGAAAAGAAGTTCCGGTTTACCAAGCTCGGGTTCTACGTCTTTCTCTTCATCATGGTTGTCTTTAGGTAAAAAAACTACAACTTTATCTCAACTATTAACATCTTTTCTCAGTTTGGTTCTTCTACTATGAAGTTAATGAGTCCATAAAACTTTTTTGCAGGCTCACTCTCTCGGCGGTCTATAGCTTCACGGAAGACGATGATCTACTTCATTTGTTTTGATTCATGCGCTCTGCGTTAACCCACTCTCAATTTAATTTCTGAGTGTGTTTTAGAAAATTGTGACAGGTTTTATTACATCCCTGCTTAGAATTAGCCAATCAGGGATTCATGATGTAGCTTTATATAATGGAGGGTTTCAGCTTCTTTTTTTGCACAGTATAGTGTTCAGTTTCATAATTGCTCATAAAATCATGTGTCAAGAACGAAGAATGGAGAATGATTGAGAATTAGGTAGGCTATTACATTGACTGGCTGTGGAAGAACAAACCGATATCTGGTTATAGTGTCAAGCCAGAAGGTTATATAATGTAAAAGTTAAGTTGCACATAGTCAACAATAGAAGATATATGTCATATTCTACATGTCCTTCGATCGGAGCTGCAATTGAACCCGATGTAGACCTCAAAAGTCAAATCCATGCTCATCCAAGAGGAGGAGGAGAAGCCGAGAAGGTGATGCAAACAGAAACAGTGCAAGAACACACCAAGACATGTTTCAACAAACTGTTTTATATGAGCCAGTTTTTGCGATAGTGACCAAATAGCGACCCAAGAAGGATTACGGCCCAACCAAGAACGGCCCAGCTACGAGACGATCCAGCTTGATTTTCGTCTAGGCGTCCAGGCCTCCATGACCCGATCCTGACCGGTTCAGACCAGCTCACAGACCGACAACATTTACGATGTGCATAAAACTGGTTAAATAAGGAACTTTCCTTATTAAGCTCTTTGGAGGATATGAGTTTGGCGACCACGAGAGACTCCAGATCAACTAGAGACGTCAAACTAGTCAATCCAAGCCAAAATGTCAAGATAGATTACAAGGAGACTACACTTTCCATACTTGGGTGCATCTTAATTTCCTTTTAACTCCCAACGACTAGGCCATTTAATCCAGCAAATAGGCGCTTATTCACTTACCTTATCAAAAGTTCAAAACCATAATCCATCCTATGACTTCATGCCTCACTTATGAGTTCTTAAACGAAACTTCCTCTCAACTCTCTCTCATGCTTTTTCATTTTTATTATGATTTTAATTAACTAGATACCCAGATGAAGATGATCTTAAGGAAATCCATTAATAATTTTATTTATTCCGTTCCTGAGGATAGAGACCTAGTTACTATACTATAAAGTAAGTTGAACTAAAAGCCAAAAAAGGTAAGTTGATTACTCAATATAATGTAATTAATAAATGTTAGTAGAAAACAACATGTACTTTAAAGTGTATAAAAAGGTATTTTGCGGAGAATGAATTCGTAAAATTTGTAAACTGTCTCATTTACTCGGTAGCCAAAAAGGATCAAGCAACCCTAGCTCCCAAGGTTTCTTTCTGCATTTCTCTTCTCTGTCGATCATCAATGTTCGAAATCATGTCTTAATTTCCGGTGTTCTTTTATTTCTTGGTCTATTCCGTAAATCAACCACTTATTTGAGTTCTTAGATCGCTTGCCACTTTGTCTTGTTGTCTCTTAGGGTTTCTTTGGTTCCATGTGGCTCATTCTCTGTTTCTTTCTTGTAGTAGAAAGCTTGGCGTTGAAGAAAGTGTGCGCAAATGGAAGGGAATAAGTTAAGAGTTGCCAAGTTGAAGAAAGAGCGTCTTCGTAAATCATTGATGAAGGCCGAGTCTAAAGCCTCTGATGTATTTTCCTTCACGCTATCATGGAGAGATCTAGAATCTCATTTTGATTCAGTTGAATCCGATCTCGTGAAGAGGTCACAAGAAATAGAGTCAAAGGAGAAACATCTAGAGAAGAGGTCACATGAGTTAGAGTCGAAGGGAAAAATTCTGGAGAAAAGGGCTCGAGAGATTGATACAGCTTATGGATTTAGAAGAGAAGTTCAAGAAAAGCAGAAGAAACTAGATAGGCTAAAGAGAGAGATTGAATCTGAGGAAAAGAAACGGTTTCTGCTTCAGAAATTGAACCGAGATCGTAAGATTGAACTAAAGCGGACAAGAGAGCAAGTGGAAGCGTTGCAGAAGAATGACATGAAGCAGGAGGTTGAACATTTCACAGGGAAGAGCTACAAGGAGATGTCGGAGGAGCTACAGGTTCAACAGGAGAAGTACGAGGAGATCTTGAAGAAGAAGATGTCGGAGGAGAAGAAGCTAAGAAGTTGTACCAGAGATCTTGCACAGAGAGAAGGGGACCTTCGATGGGTGAGTATGCGATTGTCAAAGCGTTGTGCAGAACTGGGGTGGGAAAAGAGAAAGATGAATGTGTTGCGTAAACGTAACGAGGAAGCAGAAAGGAAGCTGCAACACTTGAACAGAGCACTAGAGGAGAAACAGAAAGAGGTTGATTCGATTGAGAAGAGACTCGGTGAATGCAGGAACGTGGAGGGAAGAGGAAACAGTGATACCAGTGGAGATAAATGAAGCTCAAAGAGAGCAAATATGTAATATAGTAGGAGAAAAACTAGCTCACATTCAAATTTTTATATATTACATATGACAACAGATAAATTGAGTGTTCACAAACTATATTTAAAACTGATGAAAAAGGAATTTTTACATATTTGACAAATAACCAAAAAGGGAAATTTTCTCAAACTCAATCAGGTTCCTTGGTTGAGTTTCTCAGAAGACAAGAGTGTCTTTGCGAACCAAATTGCAGTGTCCCTAGCCGAGACACCATCTTCCCCAAATGGTGTAAGCAAACCAGCAAGTTCTTCGTATTTTTCTTGCTTAACAAGCCCTGCACATTTCTCTAACAAACACTCCAACGCATCTGCCCTTTCTTTACTCTGCGGTGGACCCAGTTTTGTGAGCTTACTCAGTACCGATGACATTTCACTCGCTGTTAGTTTTACCGTCTTTACTTCATCCCCCTCGAGGCTTCCAGACAAACGGTCTCTTGCTGCTGCTGCAATTTCAGTAGATGAAGGCGCAGTGCTGGAAATGGAAACCGTTCTATGTTCCTTTGGTTCAGGTAATAGCTCCTGAGTTTCAGCTTCTTCGATGGCTTTTGGAGGGGAACATACTACTTCTTGTGCACTCACAACCCCAACATCAACATCACGTAACTGAGATTCCTCAGAGAACATATTTTTAGTCTCTTTTGGCAGAGCATTTTCTTCGGCTTGCTTTTCTGTAGAGTAAAATGCAATATCAGGATCAATTAAGCTCTCATCCGACTTATGGCTAGTAAACTCAGAAATCTTCAATGTGTCGCAGCTTGGATCGATTCTTTTTGTTTCAAGTTTGTCTTCTGCACCATTTGTGGATGATGCCGGTTGCGATGAGCTGCTAGATCCAGTCTCTGCATTCGTCCAAAATGGATATAGATTTTCCAAACTGCGGGACACCTCACTCTTCTCTCTCGAATCTCTTTCCTTAACAAACTTTCCTGGCAATGAGTTTCTTCTTGCTTTATCCTTTGGGCTATTTACCGACTTTATTGGGAAAACAGGAAGATAAATAGGCGACAGGTTTTGGCATTGAAGAAGGTATGGTTGTAGACATGGGTTTCTTAACAATTCGCAGGCCTGCGGGATAAATGTTATTACATAATATCAGTTATATAGTCACCGCTGCACACATCCAACAATGATATATGTTTATAAACTTACTGTTGGCCTATATTCTGGTTTCTTCCTAAGCATAAGCTTTATCATTTGTTTCCTGTAATATGAAATAGTTGTGTCTCGTCTCGTGCTGTTTGTATTTGGATTGAAGAGAATCTTGTCAAATGAAAGAAGAAAAAACTTACAAGGTAGATGAGTAGACAATCGGAAGAGGAGACATTAGAGATCTGTTTATTTTGTTGATGAGTCCTGCCATATCCTGTATATATTCCTCATAATTTAGTTTCAAAAGGCATGAAAACATTATATTACAAAAACATATGAGATAAGAAAAGCTAAAGGTAGGCCCACCGGAGCTTTAAACGCAGGCTGGTGTGCTGTAATTTCATACATACAACAACCTGAACAAAGCAGCATAAATGTGATTCCTTTTAATGACGAAGAAGAAGTCTACATATTGGAACTTAACTTACCCAACGACCATATGTCAGATTTATATCCATATGGTTGATCTTCTAATACCTCAGGGCACATGCTGTTAGAGATACCCGAAACCTATGAAAAAAGACTATGAATGAGATAACCTAAAAAGAAATAATTGACATTTGAAATACTAAAGGGTGCAGAGAGATACTATAAATAGAAGAAAGAAAAAAAGGTGTAGAAAACACACCATGGAAACTGGCTTTTCTGGATTTATAAGTTTCGCCAGACCATAATTACCTGTGCCATGAGTAGAGATTAAAAGCTAACTAAAGCATAGAAAGACAGATATACAGTTTTGAATGAAGAGTAAAATCAGTCTTCTCATCTATCATACCAAGCTGGACGTGATCATCTTTCGGAAGGAAAATATTTGAGCACTGCAAAGATAATCGATAATCAGAGAACTATTCTTCACGAATAATACAAAAAGAATCACAGACCAGCAAGAGTAATGTAGTGCGATTTAAAAAATATTACCGTTAGATCCATGTGAACTACACGGTTTGAGTGCAAATAGTTAACAGCCAGTAACAATTGTGCCAACCATTTAAAGATTCTCTGAAACACATGCAAATTTGTTATGAGTCAGCAAGACACTAACCGCACATCGTTTATGTAGACTAAACAAGTGTAAAAGAAACAAAAGAATAAACTGAAATAGAGAGATTACTTCCTCAGGAAATAACTTTCCTCTCGCTTTCTTAATAGCAGTAGCCCTGATTTGGAAAAAAAAATAGTTGTCAGTAATCTACGACGTGGATTTTGCTATAGAGTGAGCCCCCTAGAGAAAGATTATAAATACAGATTCCAAGGAAACTCACATGTTCCCTCCCTCACAGTAAGCAGTAAAAATGCAGGCGTTATTGTCCTGCGAAAAGAAAAAGAAATCAGTGAAAACTGATGAAAATCATTGTAACTTTTTCATAAACTGAGGTCCAACTTTTATACCTTGTCAATCCAAGAATCTTCATAATGCATGATATAAGGATTCTTTAAGTTTGAGAGCAACTTCATCTGCAACACAAAAAGAAAAAGATGATGATTATAAATGAGATTTATGGGGGAAAACATATAGAAAAATGAAAACTAAATGCAAAATAATCAATTTGGTGGTTAAACAAACTCAAAAACCTGAATGCAAATAAGTGAAGTGTGTTTCCATACTATTCCAGTTTTCCAGATCATAATCTATAACAGCTCTGCTAATCTGAAGTTATACATTGCTCGAGGCGAATATAAGAAACAAATGAATAACATATGCGTAGAAACACATGAGCCGAGAATCAATACAACATTAACTACACATATGAATATCACCTCATATAGCAATATTTGTGTGAACAGAAGAAGTGATACAAAGATATGTCAAATGTCTTCCCAATTAAAGATGAAAGCTAACATAACCAACGATGGATGATTCAGAGATCAAGTAAAAGTCACATAGTTACCTCTTGGAAAGCGGTTAGCTTTAACTTGTCGGTGTGTTTAGCCAGGGAAATCTTCTTCATTGCATACCTAATCAATACAAGAAACTTTAAGGCATGAAAGAAAGCTAGAGACTAATAACATACCACAAACAGTTTTTTTTTTTTTTTTTTTTTTTAATAATCAAAGTGAATGTTTTGTTATATATTTATAGATTTTCAGATAGAAATGAATTTACAGAATCAAACTCATTATAGACAAAAACCCAAAACCTTGCATTTGTCCGTACAACACATAAATCGTCTTCTTTTTCCTTTGATTGTAACTCGAATAAAATCGTTGACCAGTTTCTGCCCTAATTATCACCAAAAAAAAAAGAGAGAGCAAAGAAACTTACTTTTTGTCTTCAATTTGATGAAGAACCAGGAAATCGGAAGAGGACTTGCCTCTTCTAACCTGCTCCACGACATGATAGTTGTCGAGAGTGAACTTGTGTTCTTCTTCACAGTCATTAGCCTCCATTTGCATGAATTCTTCAAAAAAACCCTCCCGGAGAAACAAAGCTACAGGAACCCAGTTTCGGCTAAAGAAAACTGTAAGAGGACAAGAGAAGACAAACAAGCAAAATCTTCGGGTTTCAGAAAGAGAAGAAGAAGACAATCAAGACGGACATAAAACGCTTGTAGTAGTGTCAAAATCAATGGAAGCCGACGACGGAGGAAGGGGATGTTGAAATCGCCCACCTATCAAGACTTTATGGTCATTGGATTCTATTTTTCTCCCCACAGAATTTACTTTTTTCTTTTTTTCTTTCAAACTTTTTATGTTTTAAAAATATTACTCCAAGTGATTTAAGTATTTTAACGCATCCTCTTTTTCTTTTCTTTTTGGTAATGTGTCGGCGGCAATTGAATTGAAAATGTAAGAAAAGTTGAAACGCTCACAAGAAAAATAAGAATTTTTAAGCACTCACTTGATTCTAAAGGAAATTGTTTTAAAGTTTGAACATGACTGAGATTTATATATTTCTATAAAACTGCATGTAATCTAGTGTGGTGTAAATCATGTGATAGCCTTTTGTCTAATCCCTGCCGTTAGTGTCTGAACTTGAGTAATCATCATATTAATTATTCCCTTATTTGGGCTCAATACAAATGATTCCTTATATATCCTAATCACCGCAAAAGATTTTTTGCAAAGGTTTTAAGTTATTATTGGGAAGGATTGTAGGAATAATGTTGTGCTCACTCTATAGTCATCAACATAAATTGATTTTGGTGAAGAATCAGTGATTGGTTGTTATAGAGGTTGACCACTTATCCACCTCTTGAATATGATAGAGCTCTCCACTGGTTTATACTCACTCGTGTGCCCGCCTCCCTGTAAGCCATGCAAAAACCTTTAAAACAACTAAGAAAACATATGTACCTAGTTAAAGCTTTTCATATATAATACAGTAAACATATGTACCTAGTTAAAGCTTTTCATATATAAAACACTTGCTTTAATAGTGGCAAATGTCATCTTATTCGCATAAGTCCTCGTGTATCTGCAAACAAACAAAAAAGTCAAATCTCATAAGAGAAGAAGCATGACTTGCATCAATGTCGTTGTTGTGTCGACATTGAATTCATATCCGATAGAGAAAATGCTTATAGCTCTAAATAGAACACACAAAAGAAAAGTAGTATATAGAATACCCAGCAACTTGATTCTGAATCATCCATGGCCTCCAATCATCAATAATAGAATAGTTGAGATATCTGATCCATGCTTGAGTTGCAAGGAAAGGTACTACCATGTCGTGATCACCACTGTTTCACCAAAAATGCAAAATGTTTATAAATAATTGAAGCAGCCTATTCATAAAAAAGAAAGATGAGTTATTCTTGAGAAGCAAGCAAAGGTCAAAATTGTGGACCGACCTGAAGATGAGAGACCGATACCCTTTGATGCTAGTATTCTTATGATATGGCACATCGTAACCATTCCCTTATACTACCCTGCAACCATTTATGATGGTGTGATATACTTTTCTTTTGTCATCAACATTTACCTACTTATCATCTACCTTGTACACTTGAAGAGCTTTGCGCACGCTTTTGTCATTTGCCCAATAGGAAGATAGCAAATGCTGATTTGTCTCCTTGCACACAGGTTTTAAAATATGTGCTTTACTTATTTTAGAAACACACTATAAACATATAACCCACAAATTCTGAATAAGTGATCTTCTTTTGCAACCATTAATATGTATATTGAAACATCTTCTTAACTAAATTCCAGAGACCAGAGAGTGTACCTTTTCAAAGTGTTCAACAAATTTCAAGCATTTTGTGTTAAGAGGATCCACATTACAATAATTCCCCTCACAACTTCTCTTCAGAGACTGCAAACATTAGTTAATAACTACTTTCTTTTAGTGACAAGAAAGAAAGAAACATAAAACCACGATTTGGTACCTCATAGTGTTCATCAGAGATCAGTGCCATGTCATGAGCAAATGGAATGCGAGAGTTATGATCAAGATTAAAGTCAGTTACCGGGTTTCCGAGTAAATAGCCCTGTGTTGTTTAGTAGAGAGAAACAAGAATTTCACTTGTTCTTGCAGAAAAATGTGTATATATTACTTACATAACACGCAATACCGACGAACCTGAAGATTTATTGGAGGCTTCTTGCCTAAAAGATTTCCTGTGTGACAAAGTGGGAAACAATTGATAATTATAAGGGACACAAAAGAAAAGGGGATCAAAATGAAAAAACAACATACCATTTGAGATTTCTTGAACGATGATTGGAATGATTATGCCGGAATAAGAATTTCCGGTGACAAAGAACGGATTGGATAAGAACTCAGGATATTTGGCTAGCCGCACAACAAAACCAAACAAACACTCTGTAAATGAGCATGCATCAAAAGATAGAGATGCTTTATTTTGAGTTTTCTCTTTACCTTACAAACAAACTCATGAACACTCTTAGCTGCTCCTTTGTCATTTGGTATATCAGCAAGTGAATTTTTCGAGTAGGAGAAGCCAGTCCCAGCAGGCTGATCCAAATAGATAATGCTCGCCACCTGAGGCAAAGCAATTATCCAGAACTTTATGAAGATGATAATGATTTCATTGGGTTTGTGTTCATGAGTACAAAAAATAGTAGGTTACCTTAGTCCATGAATATGTAGTAGAGACTAAGGAGGGGATACTTCCATTGTAGGCCTCAACCTTGAAAGCAAGAGGCCCTTTTTTTTTGGTAGTTGTTTGCAATTTAAAACAAGTCACTGGGAATTCTGATTAAGTGAGTTAGAAAGAATGAAAAGTTTTAGGATTTTACCATTCTCATACACAAGACCAGAAAAAGAAGAGCATCCAGGTCCTCCACTTAGCCAGAGAAGAAGAGGGTCTTCTTCTGGATTGCTCTCAGATTTGATGAAGTAGTAGAACATTTGATCTTCCTCTGCCTCACCCACACCAATGTACCTTACTCATTCAACTCCAAAAACTCAGAACACATATATAGTGATACATTATCAGGCTAATATGAAGAGGAACCTACCCGGTTTCGAGCTCGCAAGGAAGAGGGCCTTGGAAACCAGGAAGAAATCTGATGGTAGATCCTGAATCAACAAGCTGCATCAAAACAAGTAGAAGATGCAACTTGAGTATCAATGAGATGTAGTACTTTTGCCCCATTCTCTTGATATGAGTTTTTGATTTGCTAAATGCATTAATCCCCCGCAAAATGATATCTTTATGCTAAAATGCCGAAGATGTATGTTATGTTTTGTTTTGTTAAGTTGGCGCCATAGAGTAAACTTTGAGAGAGACACAAGTCATATTGTTATAGAAGAAATGAGTCACGTGGAGTTAAAAGGAGGACATGCAAAATTAGTCACAGAGTGGAGTGAGTGGACTGATGATGAAGTCGACTGTTTTGTAGTTTGCTGATGCCTAGCGTCAAAAATGGACTAATCAGACAAAAGTTATCTGAAAAAAGACGACAAAATCGATGGCAAGCAACAAACCGATGGACATTCTTGTCTCACCAAAATCAGAACTGAAATCTATCAAAAACCCATTGTGACCAAAAATTATCATCTCTTCTCAAAATCCAAAAGTGTTGCAACTTGTAAAAAGTTATCATCTGCCACGTGGCTTTGTCGTTTTAAAGTAGAGTTCTTTCTTTATTCAGTTGAAGGAGATTGCAGTAATTTTTAGGGTTCATACTCAAAATTTGTTGAAGCGATGGAACTAGACTTCAAGTGTTCCGATGTTGGAGTTTGGAAGGAGGCTCTGTCTTCCTACGAATCCCGAATCGAGTCACTCAACAAACCAGACCTCGTCTCTCTCGATCAATTTTACCGCGTAAAACTCCCTTCTCTTCTTCACGACCGAGATCCTGACCCTTACCTCACCACCTCCGAGCTTTCTCAACTCATGAAATGGAAGCTCTCTCGTGGCAAATGGCGGTACTTTCTTTCTCTTTTTCTCTCCAGATTTCTGAGTGGTTTCTCATCAATTTAATGGCAATCTTCCTTTTCCAAGGCCGCGTCTGCTGGATTTCGTGTCGTCTCTAGAAGATTCAGTGGTGAAATCTGCTTCTGAGAAAGCTTTCAAATCGCTTCCTGACATTTCCAAGGCTGTGAAAGAGCTCACTGTGCTTAAGGGCGTTGGTCCGGCCACCGCTTCCGCCGTTCTGGCTGCTTACGCCCCTGACATTGCACCATTTATGTCCGACGAGGTACACTTCTCTTTCAATCATCAGAGAGCAGCAATAAAAAGAAAAAGGAAGAATCTTGATTTTTTCACTTTTACTGTTTTTAATTTGGTAAACTCTATTGTGGAAGGAAAGGCAATGGAGGTGGCTCTCGGGAACTCAAAGGATTACTCTTTGAAGCAATACTTGTTGTTTGTAACTAAGCTACAAGATAAAGCCAATGTAAGTAATAAATCTCTTTAGACAATTATTACTATGTGCTCTTAGTTCTGTCCAAATTAGGGTGACACTTGAAAGTTAATTTCCACACACATTTTTAGCCTTTGATTCCACTCTGATACTGTTGTAGAAAACATCTGAGCTTTATGGTTTTTGAAAATCCTTGAAAATGTTGAGAGGTATAGATTGAAATTTGGACTACATGTTGGCTTAAATCAGATTATGGATTGTTGTAGGAATTAAAGTTGAAGGGAGAGTGGGATGGGCCTTCAGATGTTGAAAGAGCTCTATGGAGTTGTACTGTGCGTGCAAAGTCACAGCCAGACAAGAGCTCTTCCGGGAAGAAAAGAAAACGGTAGGTGATAATATTTCTATCTAATTCACCTTCTATCCATTGTTAAGATCAACCATATGTCAGCTCTTCTGGAAGTCATATATGTAACTGTTCAACTGTGGGAATCGAAAGATGATTCTATTTTTATCTACAAAGCAATTAAAATCAAACAATTGACTTGTTTTATATATATATGGTTGTGAGGGTGTAGTTTTAGGGGATAGATTTTTGAAGGGAAAAAAACAGAGGATATTTTCATATATCTTCCACATATTGAAAGTGGGAATCGAATCCTATATGTAAGCGAGGACGATGATTCTATTTTGACTTGTTCAAAAGACTGATTCAATAGGTTGTGAGGGTAGAGTTATAGGAGAAGAAAAATAGACAGAGGATATGTTGTGTTCCAACTAAGTAAACTGATTTTGGCGTGTATTATATATAGCTTGTTACAGAAGTTGGCCACTTATCCATATCTTGAACATTATTGATCTTTCCTCTGGCTTTATACCCTGCCCGTGTGCCACCAACCTATAAAAAAACTTACAAACTCCCAAGTATGCAATGGCAATAAATGATGTTTTCTCTTAACACCTAAAATGTATTTCAGATGATACATCAAACCAAACACTTTCGGTTTCAACATTAACAAGATCACTCCAAGATTAAGGTTTTTGTGTTTAAAGAGGTTGGCCACTTATCCATCCACCTCTGGAACAAGATTGAATTCTCCTTGGGTTTATAGTCTAACGTGTGCCCTCCTCCCTACAAACCAAACCAATAAACCGATTTAAAAAAAGCTTTGCATTTATGTCAAAAAAGTGGATAAAAGAGTTACTTTCACTGTTGCAAATGTCATCCTGTTAGCATAAGTCGTAGTGTATCTGCAATTAGAAAAGATTGGATAAGCAGCTTATAGAAATGAAGAAAAGAAACCAACAAAAAAAAGAATGGTTATATATACCCAGCGACTTGATCAAGTATCATCCATGGCCTCCATTTGTCAATAATGGAATAGTTAAGAGATCTGATCCAGTCTTGAGTTCCAATGTAAGGTGTTAGCATGTCGTGATCACCACTATTCACCAGACACACCATGCCAGAAAAAACTTTACAGACAACTAATGAAAACACAAGCTTGTAGTTGAATTTGTGTATTGACCTGAAGATGAGAGATCGATAGCCTTCGATGCTGTTCTTTTTATGGTATGGTATGCTGCTTTTAATGTCTTTATTGCTTTGCAAACTCCATTTACATCGTTCCCCATTACCTGTAGTACCCTGCAATAAAAAATCCTCATAGAGTTTGATCATCAGACTTTATCAATGATCTTATGAGAAACTTGTCATATATACCTCCACAACTTTATAAGTGCTCTGCGTACGCTCTCGTTATTGGCCCAGTATTCGGATAGCATAGACCGATACGACTGCCATAGCAACCTTGTCAACATATTTCTGAGTGGTTAGTTTAGTGGCTAGTCCAAAGATACCAAGAAGCTTACATGGCAAATTGGCAATCAGGAGATGTAAGGTCACATTTTGGTGCGAGGATAAGGTTTTCATATATTCCAGAAACACACTGTATATAACCACAAATTCTAAGTTAGTGATTATAAGTTCTTACCATTTGTGCTAACTAAATTCCAGACTGTACCTTGTCATAGTCTTTAATGAGTTCCAAGCATTGTGTGTTTAGAGGATCTACAATAATATAGTTTCCTCCACAGCTTCTCTTCATCGACTACAAAGTAAGAGTTTGTGTACTCTTTCATTGTGGTGACAAGAGACAAAAACATCTTAGTTTATGTAATTGTACCTCGTAGAGTTCATCAGATATGAGTGACATTCTATGAGCATATTGAATGCGAGAGTTTTTATTAAGTTCAGAATCTGTAACCGGGCTTCCGAGCACATAGCCCTGTTGTTGGAGGGGCAAAAGATACTCTTCAGTTCTTAATGCTCCATAAGGTATATAGAAATAATGGCAAATACTGATGAACCTGAAGATTTATTTGAGGTTTGCAGCATATACAGTTTCCTGTGATAAATTGGTGAAATAACTGATCAAGAAACTAGAAACAAAGAAAAGGGCTTTCATAGGAATTGAAACTGATAAAAACTTACCATTTGAGATTTCTTGAACGATAACCGGAATCAACTTACCGGAGTAAGAATTGCCGGTGACGTAGAAAGGATTGGAGAAATACTCGATGCTTAGCTAGCCACTGCACAAGAAACCAAACAAAATCTCTAACATGCATGAAGTCAAATGCTTTAGTGGACAGTTTGAGTTTGCCCTTTACCTTAGGAAGAAACTCGTCGACCCGCTTAGTTGATCCTGTGTCACTTGATATATCAGCAAGTGGATTTCTTGATTAGGAGAAGCCAGTCCTAACAGGCTGATCCAAATAGATTATATTTGAAACCTAAAAAGAAGCAATGATCCAAAAGCTTGAAGATGAAAAAGATTTCATTTTGATTGTAATAAAGAATACACCTGGTGTTACCTTAGTCCATGAATATGTAGTAGAAACCAACGTGGGAATACTTCCATTGTAACCCTTAACCTTGAAAGCAAGAGGCCCTGATGATTTTTGTTTTTCAATTCAAACAAGTCAGTGAATATTATGCAGATAAAAATAAGAATAAGTTAAAAAAGGGTTACCATTCTCATAAACAAGACCAGAGAAAGAAGAGCAGCCAGGTCCTGCAGTTAACCAGACAAGAAGAGGGTCTTCTTCTGGATTGCTCTCAGATTTGATGAAGTAGTAGAACATTTGATCTTCCTCTTCATCACCAACACCAATGTACCTAAATGATTTAAATCCAAAACTTAGAGAACACAGAGTCATACATCATAAGGCTAATATGAAGAGGAACAAACCCGGTTTCGAGCTCGAAGGGAAGAGGGCCTTCAAAACCAGGAAGATATCTGATGATAGAACTTGAATCAGCATGCTTAGTCAACAGAAGCACAAGTTGCAGCAGCAGAAACTTGGGTATCCATGAACCCATTCTTTTTTAATTTTTTTAAGTTTTATGACAAACATTTTTATCTTCAAAAACAGAGACGTTGACCCAAACAAACATCTTTTAGTCTTTGTTTAATTCGTTCCGTCTGCAACTGGTTAAAGAATAGAAAACTAGGTCTTTGAAATTGATATTTGAGCACGTGATCATGCATGTGGAAGGGACAAAGTCGCGTTTAAAGTGCTTTGCAGTTTGCACATGGGACAAAGCCGGACAAAAGACGAATCAATTTTTCAACTTCTTTAAACTTTTATTGTTAAGGTTAACATCTGTATAAGTTTTAAGTGAGCATAATATTTTAACAGGTAGAGATAAAAGGGTGCATTCTTTTGTTCAAAGAGTAGTTACGTAGACATTAACTTTTTTTTGGGTCTATATGTTGTCTTCTGATAAATAGTGTAACACTGACTTCAGATGAACTCTAAACCAAACCCTTTCGGCTTCAACACCAATAAGATCACTCCAACTGTGTTTAAAGAGGTTGACCACTTATCCACCTCTTGAACAAGATTGAATTCTCCTCTGGTTTATATTCCAATGTGTGCCCACCTCCCTAAGAAACCAAACCCACAAACCAATTAAAAAACTGATGTAAAAATGCAAACATAAAAATGTGGATAGAAGAACTTGCTTTCACAGTGGCAAATGTCATCTTATTGGCATAAGTCTTGGTGTATCTGCAAATAACAAAAGGTTGATTTCATTGGATGAGCAGCTTATACAAATTGAAAACAACAACACAAAAAAAGAGAAGATAAAAAATAAATGGTATATAGCATATATACCCGGCGACTTGATCGAGTATCATCCATGGCCTCCATTTTTCAGTAATGGAATAGTTGAGAGATCTTATCCATGCTTGAGTTCCAACGAAAGGGATTGTCAAATCGTGATCACCGCTATTCAACAGAATTGAAATATCATGGCAGAAAAAAAAAAAAAAAACTTACAAATAACTAATGAAAGCATAAACTTGTAAAGAAATTGTTAAAATTTGTGAACCTAATGACTAGAGATCGATAGCCTTTGATGCTGTTATACATATGGTACGGTATGCTGCTTTTAATGTCTTTATTGCAAAGCACACTCCAATCACATCGTTCCCATTTCCCTTTAGTCCCCTGAGATCAAAATCCTGTTAGAGATTGATCAACAGATTTTTACCAATGATCATATCATAAACTTTTTATATACCTTGACAATTTTGAGTGCTCTGCGGACGCTCTCGTTATTAGCCCAATATTCAGATAGCAAATACCGATACGTCTGCAAAAAGTAACCTTGTCAATATTCTTCTATAATGGTTAGTTAAGTGGTTTGCCATTGATCCAAAGATAAACAGAGATACAAGTTGGATTCTCTTACATAACAATCAGGAGATGTAGTCTCACATTGTGGTTTAAGAATAAGTTCTTCATATATTCCAGAAACACACTGTAAACAACCACACATTCTGAGTTTTAGTAATTTTCTTTTCTTACCATTCGCGCCAACTAAATTGTAGATTGTGTACCTTGTGATAATCTTCAACGAGTTTCAAGCATTCTGTATTAAGAGGATCTACAATACTATAGCTTCCTTTACAGCTTCTCTTCATCGACTACAAAGTAAGAGATTTGAACAGGTTTGTCAACTACTTTGTTGTGGTAACAGGAGACAAAAAAAATATCCTAACTTATGTAATTGTACCTCAAATAGTTCATCAGAGATGAGTGCCGCTCCATGAGCAAATGGAATGCGAGAGTCTTTATCATGAGCTGAGTCTGTTACCGGGTTTCCAATCACATAGCCCTGTTTTTGGTGGTGCAAACGAATAACTCTTTAATTCTTATTGTTAAATAAGGTATATTGAAAAAAAAATGTAAGAAGCAAACATATAGTAATGAACCTGAAGATTTAGTTGAGGTTTGCAGCATATATAATTTCCTGTGGTGATAAATGACCAAGAAACTTAGAGTCAAAGAAAAGGGCTTGCATAGGGATTGAAATCGTAAAAACTTACCATTTGAGATTTCTTGAACGATGGCCGGAATCACCTTACCGGAATAAGAATTTCCGGTGACATAGAAAGGATTGGAGAAATACTCAGGATGCTTAGCCAGCCACTGCACAACAAATCACCAAAAACGATAAAAAAGACTCTCCAAAGTCAATGCATAAAGATTGATGCTTTTAGTTTTCCCTTTACCTTACGAACAAACTCGTTGACCCGCTTAGCTGATCCTGTGTCACTTGGTATATCAGCAAGTGGATTTGTTGAGTAGGAAAAGCCAGTCCCAACAGGCTGATCCAAATAGATTATATTGGCCACCTGAGAAGAAGCAATGGTCTTAAAACTTGAAGATGAAGAAGAGTTTCATTCGTTGGGTTTGTAATCAGGAATACAACTTTTGTTACCTTAGTCCATGAATATGTAGTAGAAACCAACGTTGGTATACTTCCATTGTAAGTCTCAACCTTGAAAGCAAGAGGCCCTGATTTTTGTTTTTCAATTCAAACAAGTTACCGAATAGTCTGCAGATACAAATGAGAATGAGTTAAGAGAAGTTTTTTTTACCATTCTCATAAACAAGACCAGAGAAAGAAGAGCAGCCAGGTCCTCCTGTTAACCAGACAAGAAGAGGGTCTTCATCTGGATTGCTCTCAGATTTGATGAAGTAGTAAAACATTTGATCTTCATCTTCCTCACCAACACCAATGTACCTGAATGATTTAGCTCCAAAACTTAGAACACAGAATCATACATTTTAAGGCTATATGAAGAAGAACAGACCCGGTTTCAAGCTCGAAGGGAAGAGGGCCTTCAAAACCAGGAAGATATCTGATGATAGAACCTGAATCAGCATGTTGAATCAACACAAGCACAAATTGCAGCAGCAGCAACTTGAATATCCAGGAAGCCATTCTTTTTTGAGTTCTTGAGGTTTATGACTATTTTGTTATAACATTTTTATACTGAAAAACAGAGGCGTTGACCCAAACAAAGATGGAATCATTTCGGTTGAGTATGGTTGAACCATATAAACCGGTCAATTGCAATATCTAAACCCGAGACAATTCGGGTTAGTCTCTCTAACCGATTCCAATTAATCTGTTTTTTTTTCTTTCTCCTTCAATTCCTCGTTTTTTCTTCTTTTATCTTTCAGTTTTCCATTTTGTTCCATCTCCAACGGGTTAACGACTTCAAATTGAAGGTTTTGATATGAAAATTTGGGCACATGAGAATGCACGTGGAAGGGACAAAGTCGGCATGTAAAATGCTTTTGTAGATTTTTTTATTATATTGCATGCACATGGGAGAAAACCGGTCATAAGACATATTATTGTTTAATGATTTGACTATTGCCTAGAAAACCGGACAGACCGAACATTTTAACCGGTTCAATAAAGGCAAATTGTAGAATTATGAAAACTATTTCGGGTAATTTTGTAATTTTGAGAATATAGAATTCGTTGGGAGTAATAAGAATAGTATGGGGACTAGTTTGCGATTTCCCGTAAAATTTATCGATGTTTCTTTTTGGGGATGGTGGGTTGTAGACAAAACGACGGATCGTGTCTCTCTGCTTCTTCTTTCAATCGGATTTTGGACAACCTTTTTTGCTCAGACAGAAGATTTTCAATTTTTTCAGGTGAGCTTCTTGCTTTCTGCAACTCAGGCTCTTTTTATCTTTTGGGTTTTATTTCTTTCCTTTCCTTGTCTTTTTCTTTTGTTTGAAGTTTCCTCTTTGTTTTACTTTAGTCCATTGGAAAGCTTACTTTTTCTCACTTTGTGATTTGCCTGGGAATTTAAGACCTAGTTGACTTTCATAAGCTTATAAAGTTTCAAGCTTTTTTGTTCATTTGATGACGTTTTCAGCAACCAAAATCCGTTGGATTATCTTGATGAATCCTTGGATTTCAAATGTTAGTATGCTTTGAATTTCATGTGTCTGTTGAATTCTGTTAAAATAAATAGATTTTGAATCCTCGGTGATGAGTTATTGGTTTGAGTGATGAGCTGCTATAAGCTAAGTTCTCGCTTGTGTTAGATTTTGAATCCGCTGTATTATTTCAGTCGATGTTAGTACTTGAACCGTTGTCTTCGTTCCGAATCCAATTCCTAACTAAGAGACTCATTAGTTAAGCTACTGCAGTGTGACTTAAGCTGGTTTCCCTGAGCCTATAACTTGACTGATGTGAGTGTGCTTAAATTCCAAACTGATGCAGTTTTTATCCCTGCACTCTGCAGTTACGTAAATTCCACTAATGTTTGACTTTGATCTATTGGATAAGAGTAATGTCTGAACGTAGTTTCTCAATCTTTGAGGGGTTTTGGACTTTGCAAACTATTTGTTCGGTTGAACTTTAATTGTTTATTTTTTCATTCAGCACAGTCAATGATTCACTGGTTGTTCCTTGTCCATTCGTATTGGTTGTCTTGGTAAGGTGCTTTAGTCTCTCTCTCTCTCTTCTGTTATAATGCGGTCTGTTAATTTCTTCCATCATCATCTTTTTTTTCTTTCCTTTTGGCAGTCTTTCGTCCCTCTAGCGTAAAAACTCTGCACCAGAGGTAAACGTTACCATTACAAAAGGGAGCACAAGTGGATAGTGTTTGATCAAGTATTAGCACAGAAAGTAATATGGCTGATACCAGTTCAAGGACTGATGTCTCAACTGATGGTGACACAGATCATAGAGATCTGGGGGTTAGCTCGTAATCATTTTATTATTTTATTTTCTCTACAATGTCACTCCTGGGAGGCTTGTACCGGGATCCCTTGGTAAAACTTGGGACATTCTACCGGTATAGCCAAATCCACAGGACTAATCATTTGCTTATGTTCATCAAACATGCATAGTTTGAATGAAATAGTAACTCCTGATGTTGATTAGATGCAGTCTGATAGAGGGCAAATGCTTGCTGCTGCATCTGATTCCAGTGATCGATCAAAGGATAAGATGGATCAAAAGGTGATGAATTTATCTCTGGGGACCAATAAGTATCTTTTTATATTGTGCATATGCATAATCTGTTTTGATTCCTTTTCATTTTGATTCATAGACCCTTCGTAGGCTTGCTCAAAATCGTGAGGCAGCAAGAAAAAGCAGATTGAGGAAGAAAGTATGTATAGCTTGCTTTTGTTTTTGTTTTGATTTTTCTTATATATTCCTCTTATTTCCTTGCAACATCTCTAGAAGAATATGTATTTGTGATTACCTTAAGTATGTTGTTGTTTCCTCCATAGGCGTATGTTCAGCAGCTGGAAAATAGTCGATTAAAGCTGACTCAACTTGAGCAGGAGCTGCAAAGAGCAAGACAGCAGGTTTATTTACTTTCTTATCTGGTTTGTTCATTAGATGTTGATGGCATAAAGAGAATTATATTGTGGTTCTTATCAGATTCTTTGTCATGACAGTGTATTTGTCACTTCTGCATGCATGAATGATATATTTTTTTCAATATTAGGGCGTTTTCATCTCAAGTTCAGGAGACCAAGCTCATTCTACTGGTGGAAATGGTGGGTTGTTTCTTCTCTGTTAGTTTTGAGATTGATCCTTTTGGTTTGCAATTTGTAAGCGAGATAAGTGCATATATATACTCCACTTGTTATCAGCTTGATGTTGATTGATGAATTGCTGATAGCGTAAGTCGTCTCATGGCAATATGCTAACGCTTATTAGAGTTAATGGTTTCAAGAATCAGTGAAGATCTGGATGGGAAATTAAAGTCATGGTGATATCAATACTGAAGTTTCATATAGTTTACGCTGGTGTAGGCTTAGGTCTGCAAGGGTTTGGTATTGATCTAGTATACTTGCCTTTCTGCAGGGGCTTTGGCATTTGATGCAGAACATTCACGATGGCTTGAAGAAAAGAACAGGCAAATGAACGAGCTGAGATCTGCCCTGAATGCTCATGCAGGTGATACTGAGCTCCGGATTATTGTGGATGGAGTGATGGCTCACTATGAGGAGCTTTTCAGGATTAAGAGCAATGCAGCTAAGAATGATGTCTTCCACTTGTTATCTGGAATGTGGAAAACTCCAGCTGAGAGATGTTTCTTGTGGCTTGGCGGGTTCCGCTCATCCGAACTTCTCAAGGTAAGCTCTTTCCAAGTTCATAGAGAAATTTTGATGAACAGACCAACTTAATGAGTCGCAATGTTTTCACAACAGCTTCTTGCGAATCAGCTAGAGCCCATGACAGAACGACAGGTAATGGGCATAAATAGCTTGCAGCAGACGTCGCAGCAGGCGGAAGATGCTTTATCTCAGGGGATGGAGAGTTTACAACAATCCCTAGCTGATACTTTATCCAGTGGAACTCTTGGTTCCAGTTCATCTGATAATGTCGCAAGCTACATGGGTCAGATGGCCATGGCGATGGGGCAGTTAGGCACCGTCGAAGGATTCATACGGCAGGTACATTAGAAATGTGGATGCTATTGTGAGATATACCCTATAACAAGCTTTACATCGTCACAAAGAGATAAATCTTATATATATGAATCCGTCGTTATGGAGTTCATAGGGCATTTCTTGGTGGCAGGCTGATAACTTGAGGCTGCAAACACTGCAACAGATGCTTAGAGTATTAACAACGCGTCAGTCAGCTCGTGCTCTTCTTGCTATACACGATTATTCATCTCGATTACGTGCTCTTAGTTCCTTGTGGCTTGCTCGGCCAAGAGAGTGAAACACAAGAATAGTGCTCTGCTTAGCCCTATACATAATCTTATGACTCAGATCGGCAGGGATACTCCTTCCAAGAGATCACAAAGCAATGCCTTCTCAGATTCTTATCAAAATAAATATTTTGGGAAAGAAGACTGCAGATTTTGAAATTGGTTTTCTGAGGTCCCAAAGACGTGAGTGTGGTGTGTGTTGTAATCTTTAGCCTTCAGGTTGCACAGTTTTTTGAGAGTGAATGTTTATAGGTCTTTGAATATTCAAAGCAGATAGGTGATCAGTGTAAGGTCGTAGTTACCAACATGACAGAAGATGGGATCCTTTCAGGAACTTGGATTGTATGATTATAAACTGAAGCAGACCAATTGAATTTATATTGAGTTAATAAAAGAGAGAGCAGATTGTGTATCTTGAAATCATAGCAAGATTTGCACTGTCACAGACAATGCTTACAGAGGTTTGGCTAATACTCTGTATAACCAACCTGAGTCAGAGAAAATACTCACACAAATGAAAAGATCTAATTATTTTCGGGAAGAAGATTTCTTCCAAAAGTCGACAATACAATACTGGCAAGACTTATGCGAAACTTGAACATGAACTGAAGCAGGATAACCAGTACAGCTTATGGGAAACTCGAAAAGTAAACATCACCAGTTCAAAAGTAGTTGCTGGTGTAGAAATTCTTGAGAAAATCAGTCTTTCCTTGATCCTTGTTTCCAGTATTCTGAACGAGCCCTTCACCCACCACGTATTGACCAATGATGTGGTGACGCTGCTTTGCGTGATCCACTATGTCAGTCAGCTCTTCCATTCCCTTGAATATAAGAAGATCAATTACCTGCAGAAGCAAAACCACCATCAGATTGCATTCTAAAAGCACCTTAAGAGAGAGCCAATCGAGAACAATAAAGTTATAAAACAAACAAAATCCAAGATTAATGCATTCACACTCAAGGTCAAGGACATGCTTTCAATTGATGGTTCTAAAAAAAGAAGTAAAATAAACCATTCATCACATAAGCAAATCTTAACTTAGGTACCAAATACCAATATTACGAGAAAGAAGAACTCCATTGTGATCTGAAGTATATCGAAGACAACAGACTCATCTATGAAAGAAAACAAATACAAAGAAGAAAGTAACACAGCTTTAGAGGGATGCAACCGGTAAAGCTTCCACCTTTTCGCTACAAGAAAATATCCACCCAACACCCAATTTACAAGACACTTTATTGATCATAAGATCAGACTACCCAGAAATTAAAGTATCCGCTCAACATAAACTACTTGCAAAAATTCCAAACGATAGAAGGTGTAAGCTTTCAGCTTTCAACAACATTCAAACATAGCTGACAATAAATCCAAGCCAAAAGCGCAATAGAAAGCAGAAACGATCAGATTAACAAATAAGGAAGAGCTCATTGTTTTGTCAACCCAACCAAAACGCATCACCAATTTGGGGAGAGTAAAGAAAAAAGGAAAATGCTTCCAATTTCGCAATCGCAGTGGACCCGAGTCCGTGTTAATAATCAGAGTGAAATTAAGGGGAAGTACCTTAGGGTCGGTGATGTGAGCGTTATTCCGAATCTGAGCAGAGATTGCATAGCGGAGCTGAGAAGGCGCGACGACATCTTGAAGATTGTAAATGTCCATGATGGTGGGGATAGATCTACAGGCAGCTCTAAAGAAATCGAATACACGGCGGCGAGCTTCCGTTAGGTTCGCCGAGTTCGGTGGAACACCGATTTTCCTCAACGTGAATGGTGCCGCCATTTTGATCCTACGCAATCGAGAATTTTTTCCTTCCTGAGATAAAAAGACGAAATGAGAAAAACACAGTAGCCGGATTTGAGAAACAAACATCCGAATCTGATTGCTTCCATAGTTGTACAACGACGTCGAAGCGAGTGGCTAATGGGCTTATGGGCTTAAGCCCATTAAGTCGTAATTAGTTTCGGTTTACTCTTTGGTTTAAGTCAGATTTGATTGAACCAAAAAAGGGTAAGAAGGTCATTGTTTATCTATCCCGCCGGGGTGTCTCCGCTTTCTTAAACCTCTCTCTTAAAGAACTTGGCGCCGTTATCTACTTTCTCATGGCGGCGACAATGGTGAAGGACGGGAATCTGGACTACAGCGAAGATGAAGAAGAAAACTTCTCAGACGACGGAGATTGGGGTGACTGGAAAGCAGATGATAGTGGCGTAGGAGGAGGAGAGGAGGAGGAGGATGACGACGACTCGGAATCTGATTTTCTGTGTTTGTTTTGTGATTCTCACTTCGTCTCCTGTGATTTACTCTTTGAACACTGTAGTCTGAGGCACGGGTTTGATTTTCATCGAATTAGAAACGAAATGAAGCTCGATTTCTACTCTTCGTTTAAGCTCATCAACTATATTCGCTCACAGGTTTGTGTTTTTGCTCCCTTCTTTTTTTGTTTCCGAAAGTTTGTTGGTTTTGATTAAATTTGTTTCCTTTTTGATAATAACTAGGTGGCGGAGAACAAATGTTGGAGTTGGAAGATTGAAGCTGATGATTTCAATGATGTTAAGTTTCCTTGGGATGAAGAGAAGTATCTGAAGCCCGTTTGGCAGGAGGATTCACTTTTGTACTCATTTGCAGATGATGAGGAAGATGAAGAAGACACGTTTGACAGGGAGGAAGTCATGGAGGATTTGCGGAAACTTGGGGATTTATGCATTGATGTTGAGGCTTTAGGGGAAACCTCAATGTCGAACAATGATAAATGCAACATAAATGGAAATAAGGATGTAACTTTGCTCTCAGACTGCAATGGCCTGAAGCAAAGTTCTGCGGATGATTTGATAGTCAATGGGAAAGATGCAGAACCAAAGGTTTGTGATGGAAGGCTAGTTAATAGGAACATCAAAAAGGTGAATGAAAACTATTTTGGATCTTATAGTTCGTTTGGCATTCACAAGGAGATGCTAAATGATAAGGTAATGCACTAATCTTTTCTGGAATTATGTCCACATTAACTAAAATGCATTTGCTCAATATGAAGAAAGACTGTCTGCTGTCAGATTTATTCAATTTGTCTGATGTCTGTAACAGGTTAGAACAGAAGCATACCGAGATGCACTTTTGAAGAATCCTACTCTCTTGAGTGGCTCTGTTGTAATGGATGTTGGTTGTGGAACTGGGATATTGAGGTGAGTTAGCAGCTATCTTTCTAACTCTGTGTAGTGGCCATCTCATTTAGGTTTCTTCTCATTCTCTTAAGGAAACTTCTCCCTTGTTTTCGGCAATTCAATCTTGATTTTAAGACTAAAACATGTGATTGAACTTATTATGTAGTCTTCTTATCGGGTGGTTCTATTCGCCTCTTTTGTTTCATATTCTGAAGGCTTCCTCGATTTTCCCTTGCCTATATGCAGATCCTTTAATTGTTTAAGTCAAACTTGTGGTACTTCTTCTTTTTAGTGTGCATGCAATAACTGTTTTATCCTTTGTCTGCAGTCTCTTTGCTGCTAAAGCTGGGGCTTCAAGGGTAGTTGCAGTTGAAGCTAGTGAGAAGATGGCCAAAGTTGCTTCCAAGGTTACCTTTTTCTACTTGCTACAAGATTTTCATTATATGTCCTTTTTCCTCATATATACATATTAATTCTTTTCCTGGTTGCTAGCAGATTGCGAAGGATAACAAAGTATTCAATGATAACGAGCATAATGGTGTTCTTGAAGTTGCACACTCAATGGTTGAAGAGCTAGATAAATCGATACAGATTCAAGCTCATAGTGTTGATGTGTTAGTCAGCGAATGGATGGGATACTGCCTTTTATATGAGTCAATGCTCAGTTCTGTGCTCTATGCAAGAGATCGGTGGTTGAAACCTGGAGGTGCAATCCTCCCTGACACGGCAACTATGGTAAAACTTATCTTTTTCCCTTCAAATGTTGTCTTTTTCGTGAAATCATCTTGATGAGTTTTATCCCTTGTTTTCTCCTTGGATCAGTTTGTTGCGGGATTTGGAAAAGGTGCCACAAGTCTTCCTTTCTGGGAAGATGTCTATGGCTTTGACATGTCTTCAATTGGTAAGGAAATACTTGAAGACACTGCTCGACTTCCCATTGTTGACGTTATAGAGGAGCGTGACTTAGTGACACAGCCTGCCCTTCTTCAGGTTTGAAAGGTCAAACATTATTTGGTTTCGCCAGAAAAAAACTTTGAAATTAATTTCCTTGAATTTCTTTGTTTCTAGACATTTGACCTGTCTACCATGAAACCGGATGAAGTAGATTTCACAGCAACCGCAACGCTGAAGCCCACTGAGTCAGAAGCAAAAACTAGGTTGTGCCACGGTGTTGTGTTGTGGTTCGACACAGGTTTCACCAATAGGTTCTGCAAGGAAAACCCAACCGTACTATCCACATCACCCTACACTCCCCCAACACACTGGGCTCAGACAGTCTTAACTTTTCAAGAACCAATCTCAGTGGCACCTGCCTCGCTTCTGTCTGGTGATGACAGAAGAGGAGCCATTGGAACCAAAGAGTGTCCCGCCTCAAGCATTCATCTGCGTATGAGTGTTGCACGAGCGCATGAGCATCGCAGCATTGATATCTCGTTAGAGGCTACTGGGCTGAGCTCAAACGGTCAGAAGCGTCGCTGGCCGGTTCAGATATTTAATCTATGAATGTTACTGTAGCCATTGTAACACTTTTATGTCAATTTTGCTGAGGATCTTTTTATAAGTTGCAAGATTGTTCTAAATTTAATCTTTTTTTTTTCGACTATTGGAGTAAGATGAGCTTGCTAGAGCCGTAAGTTCTTCTGAAATCGACATAAATTGTTGTCTTGCGTCATAAAAAATTTTAGAGAGCTGGAGAACGAAAGAAAGACGATTGTTCAGACAATTCTAATTTATTTGTTACAGTTAGAGAATTGCTGTAGTTAAGTCATGTCACAATTTATTTTCTTAAAAGTGGAAAATAAATTTAGTAGACAGACACTAAACACAGTTAGATAGAGTGAACTGAGAATTTTTTTTATAAACGCTTATTAGGACGGACTTAACTTAGATAAATAAGAAAAAGAAACAATAAAGGGATCCATCCGCTCATAGCCTGAGGCGATCACTATAAACTAGAAAGCTAAACATAAAAGCAGACTCTGCAACATAAGGATTTACAGATGCTATAGTTGAAAAGAAGTTGGCGTTGCAAATAGAGAGAGAATCTATGAATCTGTTGGCTCGGTTTTAAGGGGTGCGGCACCTGAGGACAATCCATCGCTTACATTTTGGTTTTGATTTTGGTTTTGGAGGTTAAGGCTATTTGCTACCATGGAATCGCTGACCAGCCCTGCTTCTACATCAAAGTTCAGCGTCCTCTTGCGGTTGCTGCTGCTGCTGTGACACCAGATGAAATTGGGTTGGGTCAGTGATTGGTTTTATGAAAGAAGCTGATGAGAGATGTGATTTTTTTACTTACTTGTTCAAGCGGTTGTTGATGGCAGATAGGTCCTTTGAAGGGCTCTGGTAAGCATGTGTACTCTCTCCAACACAAGCATAGTAACTCTTCGTACTGTGTGAAATAAGAGCATCCATCTGCAAACACACAACACATGGAAGGTAACCAAACAATCTTGTCACCTACCTCCTCAACTTAGTCATATCATTGTAAAGAGTTAAGGACTAGGATCTTCTTTTACCTTTGATCCCCGAAGAGGAGACACATAAACATTGTGCACAGCAGATACTTTTTTAGGGGACATGTCTGGAACACTTGGAAACACAGACACCTTTGGCGATCCGGGACATTGACCTGTGAATCCAAAATAAGACATCACTTAACTTAGGGACTAAATTGATAAACAAAGCTTACGCCTAACAAGTATCTGTCATTTCTTAACTACCTTCAGGCTTATTATTGGCTTCCACAGCCCGGTCGTTTCTCACAGGACCTAGCTCCACCAGCAACGGCTTTACGGCAGGAATAAATATCTCATTGTAGAATGTGATGATGTCAACATGATCTGGCCCTATTCTCTGTTTAAGTCATTGTCACAAATTTTAGTCTTCTCCACAGAGTAAAGAAACTTGTTCAGTATGAGTTTAAGAGTGTATATATATATACCCCTTGACGGCGACATTGTAACGAATCCACATAAACGCTGCGGAAAACTAATGGTTTACACTGTGGTTGCTTCCGGTAGTTGTATATGATTTCCCTGAAAGTCAGGCTCATTTGGGATATCTACAAGGTGATTCATGGAAAAAGTGTAAGCAGAGAGAAGCCATTATAAACCCGATTACATAAAGTTAAGACCTTTGAATCACTCTACTCACCTTGGACACTCCGTAGAAGCAACAGAGAATGATCTGGTCAATGTGACGACTGAATAAAAGAGAAGTCCGCTGAGCAAGTACATGTTGGAAGAAACAATATACACTCTCCCTTATTTGCTGCGAAAGTTGTAGCCTTTCCACCATTCCATTGATTCTGACAGCAGCCAATTTATTAATCTGGCAAAAGAGTCACCATATAGTGAGTAGGACATTTAACACATTTGCCAGCCGAAAATAATGAATCAATACCATGTTTTATAGTACATCGAACCAAACGATTAGTAGTAGATCCAAAGATCTCCCAGACCTACCTTGGTGAAGAAAATATTGATTCCAGTTTCTGCACAAGTTTCTCCTCCGCCTCCTGGGTTGGGCCGTGTTGGGCTGTAGACATTAATCCGAAGAGGTAAACTTAACAAGTACAGGGACAACTAACTAGGTAAACTAACTCTCCATTTGTATTCATAATAACTGAAAATGAACCTGGCAAATGCAGACTGCAACGGAGGTGGCAGCATCTTGGATTTAACGTTGCCTAAGGCCAAGAGACGATCCTTTACTGGTGATGTAAAGGAATTGCGTTCAACTAGAATACTGCGGTAATCAGTACATAACCTTTTGGGCGATCTTATCCCCCCATTTTGTCCTATATGGCAGCAAATTGTCATTTGGTAAGAAAATCACACCATTAACAGCAGGTTGGAAAACTGCTTTAATTCAGAAACCAATAAAATTACCTGAACAAGTTTCATGCTTTTGAATAGATGATGCATGATTTACTCCTTCAGAGAAGTTAATAAGTGCTGCAATTGCATCCAGAGATGGCATCGGTTCAGCTAGTAATCCGAGCTGATTTATCTCCAATGCAAGCGATGGCCTGGCAACAATCAGAGAATTGTACATTGAAGAGCCTTTCTCCCATACCATACTCTCTAGAAGCCGTTCCTCCAGTGAATTCAGATGTCGTCTCAACTCTCTAGGTAGAGAGTCCTCATGTCTGATGAAACTCTCTATTACCTTGCTGAGATCAAAGGCTGTGATCCCAGTCCTCTCCAGAACAGCTGGGAACAACATTGTAATTGTTTTGTGGGTAGCCAGTACCAATTCAGCTGAGCAAGCAAGCATGCATCTATGGAACCTCTCATTTGTCAATAAAGAGTTCAGATTATTTGCATGCAAAATCTGAGCTTCTGCTTTACACATTGCCTCAAGAACTCTGTAGTATAACTTGAGAGCTTCTAATCTCCGCTGCTCTGCCCATATGTCATCCATCAGGTCAACAGCTTGCAAACTTCCACCTCCACATTGGGCACCAAGGGAACTATTTGGAAAAATAGCTTCCAATATTATGTGAGCTCTTCGTGTGACGTCATTTGTTATATCCCTGTCACATGATTTAAGGAAATGTTCCAATCCAGGAGAAGGTTTTGGCAGAAGCGGGCATATGACAGTCCTGAGCCACTTGGCAGTTGTCATTGCTGTGCTCACTGGTGTTGCTGCCAACTTGGTAGCACCGCTAATACCATTTGTCTTAGCAGCAGGTGACTTATGAGGAGAAAGTGGGCTTATCAATGTCCTTGCAGGTGAGCTCAAAGCATCAATTTTCCTCTTGACACCAGTAATATTTACAGCTCCAGCAGATAAGCTTCCAGATCCAAGCAAGCTATCCTCTTCATTGATGAATACCCTCTCATCGAGTTCGCCTTTACCATCGTCGTAATCCTTTTCTAGCATAATCAAGCTAGATGAGATGGACATCTCCTCCAGTAAATCCTCAAAGTAGGTCAAGCCATCTGCAGTAAAACACCATAGATTCGAAGAACAATCAGGCAACTGTTCAATGAACTCACATGATTCTTTAATTGAAGAAGGAAAATGATTTTAGACCAACCTGGGTCAATATTATCTAGCTTGTCAGTTTGGCAATCAGATGCTGGAGATGGCTTTTTCTTCAATATGGTTTCTACCAAATTATTTGCCTTGTCAATTACTATCCTCAACTCATCTTCAGAGGCGTCATATATCTTGCAAAGTGATGCAACCAAGTCTACACCTTTGTCACCTTTATTAACTGAGATTCATAATATAAATTAAAATAGATGATAAACATTCTATGGTGTCATGGTTATCGGGATAGAAGAAAAGATAAACACTCACCAAAGCGAGAAGAATCTTGGATGCTGAAATTTCTAAACCGACAAGGAACATGTATGATTAAAATAGCCTGATAACATGAAAAGGAGTTAGCCTATACTTAATTGCATTATTTTAAACGAAGCATCTTTCAAGTAATAATGTACAGCAAGACAAAAATGAATGAAAGATTAGGGAGAGCTCCACAGGTAATCACTAACCAATATAGAAACTACGCCATTTGAGCAAGTCACGAGGTCCTTAAATCGACTAAACGCATGGTTTCGGAGTGCCAAAAAGAGTAGCCATCCAAAACGATAACTATCCGCCAAATAGGTAGAAGAGTTTGCTGAATTCTTTTCTGCGTTTGCATCATATGTCAAGAAGAATTCGTGGAACCCACGTTTGTAGTATCTGTTACCAAGGAAAGGTGCCAAAAACATCATACTTTAACATGTCCTTAAAACAATTCACAGAATATATTCACATGAAAACCAGAAATCTGTAGCTCTGAATCTTAATTAATTAAAATTTGAAGGAATACTGCAAGCCCATCTTCTGATTATTGCATAGGAAGAAAATTTGCTTCTAAGTATCAGGTCTAAAATGAAATCTATGTCAACAACTATTCTTACACAAAACAAAGATAAATGTAAAGAGTGCAACATAGGAAGGGAGGGACAAACTCACTTGCTTAGAAGGCTAAGATGCACAAAGTTAGCCTGCAACTCCTTTGCCTAGTAAGTAAAAATTAGTTAATAGAAGCATATTTAACACTGATATATTAAAAGTAAAAGTATATCTAAAGAGGTTAGACAGTACCTGAAGTCTATTCTCCCAGTCTGCGCCATAAAGTTCACCTAGTACAGATCCAGCCTTGATCACAAACTGAGGTAACTCTCTAAAAAAATCCACAATACTGAAAACAGAAAAGAGGAATATCGTCACTACAAATGAATTAAAGAATGACAAGGAAGGACGAATTGAGCATTACTTACTTTAGCTTCAGAGCCCTCAGAATCTGACATAGATTAAACCCATTATCACCAGACACTGACTGACCATCCGCTTCTTTTCTCACACTAAGCCTCTTCACTGAATAGAGAATAAAGGCAAACCAGAACCTCTCTACTTCCTCCCGCTAATAAGAAGAACAAAAAAGAACTTTAGTCATAGTGAACCATACATTTAACTGATACTGAGAAGTTAGAGAAAAAAAAATGTATTTCACCGTTCCACTTCCAATGTTAGACATGCTTGCTGACAAAATTCGTTTGGTTTCTGTAAACAACTTCAAAGCTTCATCGCAAGTGCTCCCATCAAGAGACAGAACTTTCTGCAATAAGAAATCAACTACAGAGATTAGAGCTAGTCTTCAAATTCTCCGAGAGAACTCAATGATACCTTCATCTAAACACATGCAACCAGATCACCAAAGAGAAGAGTAAACCTCGCATATGTCCAAAAGAGACGCTTCGCTTCTTTTCCCATTTGGGTCAATGGGCGGGGTCACTGGAGGCTGAACCTCTTCCATAGTCTCCAACGCAGCTGAAAACATGCAAAATCAAGCTATTGTACTTCCAATTAAACTGCTAACTGAAGAAGAAAATAAAAAAAAAGGACTTTTCATTAATTTAATCACATCGAAATTCAATAGGAACCTTGTCAAACCCAATCGGAAGAACACACTGAACAAAATACTCGTCATTCATGACAACACAAACTCGCAATTTCCCGAAACAAAATTTGGGGGAAAAAAAGAAAAGAAATTGGGGCATAAAATCTCTAACCCATCACTCCGAGCAAAAATTACCCAGACGTTACATCCTTCAAATTTTTCTTTTTTTGGGAGAATTCTCTCGAAGTTACAATCGAATAGCGAAATATCAATAGAAAATTTCAGATAAACCACTCAGAGGATAAAATTCAAATCCAAAAATATGCAATAAGAGAAAGATCTTACCTTTTTGTGTCACAGATCCCAAAACCAAACGTCGCCGATTAAAGCTGAGCAGAAGATCTAAATTTTTAACAAGTCCGACTTCTAACGCCTCCTCCAAAAAATTCGACAAATTCAGAAGAATCGCAGAGATCTCCGCAAACCCTACAAATTTCCCTCCTCTAAGTGTCTCTCTCTATCTTCACCTGACTTCTCTCTAGAATGGGGTCCGATTATGCGGCAAACCCTAAAAAGGATATATCTCGCGCGGGAAAAACAACACGGAGAATACATACACATGCGTATACAATTATATACGCGCGTTTCCTACCACTCATAAATCGACACGTACCCATCTGTGACCCAATTTTACCGCCAAAACTTACTTACTGTTGCGTGAAACACTGGGAGGGAAAAGATTCGCCGTCACGGCGGGGTTAAAACAAACGGAGTGGGCCATTAACGCCGTCTGGGTTTTCGTGACCGCGACAAAGCCTCGTGTGAGTTATGATTGGGCCCACTCCTAATACGACGCCGTTTCTAGTTTAGGTCTCGCGGTAAATTACATATTTGCCATTGTGGAACGTTTGGTTGCAGGAGTGTGAGTGTCCTATCCGCGGATGGATTCAGATTAAGACTTGTTGGTCATCTTCGAGTGTGAGTGGATGCACTAACTCACCAGAGAGATTAGAGAATCAGATATTTACCTAGTGGATCATGGCGTCATCATCTGATCACACGGCGAAGATAATCGACGGAAAGGCGATTGCTCATACCATCCGATCAGAGATCGCCGAGGAAGTTCGCGGTCTATCTGAGAAACACGGCAAGGTAAACGCATCTCATGAATCAGTGTCTTAATATTCATATATCCTCTCTTTATAATCATCAGTGACAAATGCGTCTGCTTTGGTACACAAAAACGTTCTTTTATGTGTTTCACTGTTCTTTTGTTTTACTGGACTTTATCTGCCTGCATTACTTCAAGTAGTATACTATCTGTCTAAATATCTATCATACAGATAGTGTGCCAAGTTTATATGGTTTGATATCATTGTAATAAAGGAGAAGGGACGAGAGAGTGTAAACGGATGTTTGAATCTATTTGTTTGTATGCTTTTCGATTGAAGACCTTTATAAAGTTTCAAGATTGCACAAGATTCAATCGAGTCTGTTTTTACCTTCGTGCAGGTCCCAGGACTAGCTGTAGTTATTGTTGGGAACCGAAAGGATTCACAGACCTATGTGAATACGAAGAGGAAAGCATGCGCTGAGGTTGGGATTAAGTCATTTGATGTGGGCCTACCAGAGGAAGTTTCTGAAGCTGATCTTATAAGCAAAGTTCATGAACTAAATTCTAATCCGGATGTCCATGGTTAGTTGTGGCAGTCAATAATACTTGATTTTTTATGCTGGAAACTTTAGTGTTTATGCAAGTCTTTCGTTTTGGTAAAGCAAACATTCTTTGCTCTCATGTGCTTATATAAGCTTTGGTACTTAATTTGCAGGCATATTAGTTCAACTCCCATTGCCGAAACATATTAATGAGGAGAATGTTTTGGGTGCAATCAGCATTGATAAAGATGTCGATGGCTTCCATCCTTTGAATATTGGTAAGCTAGCCATGAAAGGCAGAGAACCCCTCTTCCTTCCTTGCACCCCAAAGGTACTCCTTCTTTGCATACAGACTTCAGTCTCTTTCAATAAAATGTTGGCTATAAATTTCCGTGTCATGTTTTTTTTTCTGGATGAACAATGAGGTGATTTGCTGTGTGTACAGGGATGCTTGGAACTCTTAGCCAGAAGTGGGGTAAAGATAAAGGGGCAACGAGCAGTTGTTGTAGGTCGGAGTAATATCGTTGGTTTACCTGTTTCGCTTCTATTGCTCAAGGCTGATGCTACTGTTACAACTGTACATTCTCACACCAAGGATCCTGAGGCTTTCATACGGGAAGCTGACATCGTTATTGCTGCTTGCGGACAAGCCCACATGGTGATTTTTTCAGACATTTTCATTGACTTTTAGAAGAGAGTCCAGTCTACCTCTTGTAGATAAATGTGAATAGTAGTATTATCAATTCAAATACACTCGTCTTGACATTTCAGATTAAGGGCAACTGGATAAAGCCAGGGGCTGCGGTAATCGATGTTGGAACTAACGCAGTCAGCGACCCAAGCAAGAAATCAGGATACCGGTTGGTTGGAGATGTCGATTTTGCAGAAGCTTCTAAAGTTGCAGGTTTCATAACTCCGGTCCCTGGTGGTGTAGGCCCAATGACAGTCGCAATGCTTCTCAGGAACACCGTAGACGGTGCCAAGCGTGTCTTTGGCGAGTAAAACTTTCTACTGTATGTAATAAAGAAACCAGAGTTTCTCCATTCTGTAATTGTGTACTTGGCTTGATGATTTTCCACTCAAATAAATTGAAATTGGCGTTCCCTTTGGATTACTTTAGGTCGTTTTGCAACTAGCTAGAATGATTATTTCCCCAAATCAGTACAATATGAGGGTGCTATCATGTGACTCAAAAGCATGTATGTTACTTGTCTGCATTGACCCAAGATCATGTACAAAATTCATTGAAAATCTTAAAGAGTATAGAGTATATGATCCGATTTCAGGAAGAGTTTAACACAGTGAAGTTAAAGCATGCCCAAGGCATGGCAAACTTCAAGTTCCATGGGATGCTACAAGAAATACTGAAACTACCACCTAATTTAGACGCTCTTGGTCTATCTGAAATAGTCAACAGTAGATTTCCTGCATACCACGACAATGGCAGAAGCATTGGGAATGAACTTATCATGCTTTCTGCAATAAGAAAAAAAAAAAAAAAAGAAAAGAGCATGCTTTGTAAGTAAACAAAGTGAACGAAAAAAAAAAAAGATCGTGACTAAACTGTGAAATCCAAACCTGCACGGGAAGATATAGCTTGAATTCCGGAGGAAGCTCCTCTTCTGAGTAGAGACGGTCAGCAAAATATATGCGCCTAAGGCGGCAGTTAGCATGAATCTGAACTCGCAATGTCTCAGCATAATTAGTCCCATAAGCTCTCCTAGTAAGATCAGCTAAGTTAAGCTGGATTTGATTCCATCCCTCATCCATCTTCAGTGGCATTGTGCAAATATATGGCTTTACTCTAGTGACAGCCTACAAGAAAATTGTTCAATACAAAACATGAATACTAGTGCCTAGGATTTTAGCATAATACACAAAGTGCAGCAGATCTAATGTAGTGACAACAACTGTATTTACAAGCTTATCCAAAGATTAGAAGATTGGTATCTTTCTGAGAAACGCAGCAATTAAGCTACCAAGTGTTGTTAGTATATTGTCTGACATCAGACTACCTACTAATCTATTGTGTGACATCAGACTAAGCCATTGATAAGAAATTGCTTGAAGAAAATAACCAATAACCTAAAGGCAGCATCAAACTACAGAAGACGTCCTGCTTAGATAACACATTCAGATAAACTAGTGAAGACTAAATAAGCAAAGGGAAAGACATACAGACTTGAAAGTTAGAAGCTCGGAAACGGCGGCGCACATTCTTGTCATCCAGAATCTGAATCTCGAATGAGAAATATTTCTTCATATTCTTCACCACCAAGACCAAAAAAGGAAGTTTGATACCAAGAGTTGCGGAAAGATCAGCAGGACATGTAATATATGTAGACTGGATGTTTGATCCAACTACTTCAAGCACATTGGATTGAATGTCATCATCATGGCAACGCTTCACATGCCCGTCCACAACTATTAATCAAAAGAAAAAAATAAAGATACTTTAGCTGAACCCTAAATTTGATGAAACTTGTAGAGAAATTGCAGCTCAGATCACAGAACAAGTCATCAATAATTTGTAGAGAAACACATCCAAAGTTAGAGGTATCATACTACCAAAGATTCAAATTAAGCTAAAATTTAGACTACTTATTATTATACAATCAATAGCTCACCTTCTTTATCCCATATCTGAAGAGGCTTGCTTCTGCAAAAAAAAATCAAATTCCAAACACATCAAACGATTCCAATTAATTAAAAGGAAAAAAAGTAGCATAAAGACATACCCTAGACTGTACAAAATAGACAGAAACCCAGACTGAAACGTGTTCTTGAACATCTTCCTGCTTCTCCGAATCCGAGAAGAAGCTCGTAGACTCGTCGTATAATAAATCTCATAGAAAATACCAAATTCCTTTGCCCAAAAAAAAAAAAAAAAAAAAACCAAATTCCTCGTTTTAAGGCTTGGGCCTCGGCCCACTAATAAAGCCCTGATCTACTCTTTGAGTTGAATAAAAGATAATATCTGTCATTATTTCCAATATAATAATATGCGCTTCAGCTGGATAAACCCAACGTGGTATTCCACCCGCTAATCACATGCCACGTGTCATCTTCTCCACAAATAAAGTGCCACGTGTAAAATAGATATCGGCCAAGAAAGACACGTCTCGGTGCGTAAATGACTAGTTTATCCTCTAACAACCGCGTTATCTTCGCACTGCTCATTAAGGTCATTTTCGGAATGACACATAAGGTAGGGTCTTAAATTCTGCAACTTGCAGAGTTATTAATTTTTCCAATGCCGACGACTTTTGAGACAAGAAAAGATATGAGAGTACACTTGGACCAATGAGAAGAGTGCTTTAGATGGAGGAATGATCTGAGCCACAAATCTCGTCTATGAGTTCTGAGCCACGAAAACAAGATATACCTCACGCGCCCTTTATCTCACGCGCTTCCCCTTACTTGTGGTGCCATCTCTTACCTCCTCAGAAGTTGAAACAATAATACAAACACATTCGTCTTCTCTCTCTCTCTCTCTCTCTCTTCTCTTTGGTCTTTTTTGGCTTATAGTTGAATCAAAGGCTTTTCTTGATTTTTGAACCAAACATCTTTACTTCATCTGAGAGTTTCTGAGTTTTGGTCTGATCAAAATTCTCTCATCTGTTCACTTACTACAAAGTGAGTTTCTTTCTCTCTGTTCTTGTTAGATTTGAAATCCATACATTTTTCGATTTGTTTCTGAAAGTAGTGAGCTTTATTTGTTCATTCATCAGGTTGATAGATCGATCTTTTGATTATGGATTGTTATGCTGGAAGGAATTTTGAAGAGCTTGTTGTGCCTAGTTATCAAGAATCATCATCAGAGACATACCCATCTACTGGTATGTGGGGTGGATGGAGCATGAGCTCTCCTGAAGCAGCTGAGAAATGTTTCGATTACGATGGATTCAATGGAGGAGGAATGATGTATAGTCAGATGGGTATGAGGACGAGTGAAGAAGAAGAAGAGTCTAAGAGATCAAAGGCTTTCTACGGTGCTTCTTCACTTCATGATTTCGAAGGAATCGAACAGATGGATGATATATTCTTGTACAGCCCTCAATTCTCTAATAACTAGTCTCTTTACTTATTACCATTTGCATAGGCTTGTGTTTTCTCATGTAATTGTTTTTTTCTCTCTTTGGTTTTACTATAGAAGTTCAATTTTGGAGGATGTTCCAGAGGATGAGGGAGATGTTCACCGTGCGTCCAGCAGCAATAACAGTGTCGGTTCTTCGTCTATGTTTGGTGGTGGTAGGGAAGTCCCTATGTTCCATTGTCATGACATGTCTTTCAAGGTGAGGGATTTGTCTATTTTACTTCCCTTACATGGTGTTAATTTAGAGATTTTGATTTTAATCTTAAGAATCATCCTTTTTGTTTCTGGTTTGCAGGAGGAAGCTCCATTTACAATCTCAGATCTGTCTGAAGAGAACATGTTAGATTCAAACTATGGGGATGAATTGTCTTCTGAAGAACTCGTGTTGCAGGATCTACAAAGGGCTTCACAAAAGGTAGAGTTACCGGTGATTTTGCTTGTAGCCTTCCTTGCTGTGCATCTTAGATTTTTGTCTGATAAATCTTGTTTTAGTTGACCGATGAGACACGCAAATGTTTCCGGGATACCTTTTACCGACTTGCAAGGAGCTCGCAAGATAACTCGGATTCAGTCAGCCCCAACTCGGAAGAGCTGCTTGTGCAAACGTCTAGATATAATTATGGTGATGGAAACAGGTACAGATCATATCTTATTTCTGAGCTACACTTGAAAGGAAATCATCTTGGTTTTCGTAGGATCATAATCTTCATTTTCTTCTGGATCTTTAGTTTCTTATGAGAAGACTGATTATTTGATAACAGGTTGAGTAGAGAGGAAGAGATAGAAACTGAAACGAATTCAATCGATAGAGCCGTCGCAAACCTCACATTCAACAAAATGGAATCCAACATAAGCAATTTTCCGCTGTCGGAGAGAGTACAGTAGCTGCCACTGATCAAGATCAACCATTGGCGCCTCATCAACTTCCTATGAAGTCTTCTGTTACCATATGTGTATATATAGATGACTTAATGTTGCAAGAGAATCTGCTCCCTTTTTAATTCCTGCAGTATGCTTTCTACAAACAATACCTGATGGCCTTGAGACTTACTTTTCTCAATATGAATAAGAGCATCATGTTTCAATGAACACCTAAGCATTGACTCAACCATAAACCAGTAAAACAGTCGAAACAATACTCATTGATAGGGCTTTTAAGTGAACAATTTTGAGTTTTTGAATGATTCAAGCAAAACCATAAAACAGGAAGTAGTAGGAGGAGCCAATGAATTATAACATGAGACAAGTAGATGGCTCCGAGCAAAACCCTACCCATGTATTAAAAGGTCAAAAGCCAATGTCATTATCTAACTTTTACTGCCTCCACTTCATAGACAAGCCACGCATTCTTAGGCACCTTTTCCTTCAATCCCTTTTTTGAGTACCTGCGTTTATCACATCCAGAGCAAGAAACACAAAACAGGTGTGTAAACCCAGTTAGATTAGGCTCAGTTAGATTGTGTCAACTCAGTTTAGTATGCTGAGATGAAACATCAAGACACGGTCAACTGAAACCATTATGACATACCCGAGGGATGGCGGAATTATGAGTCTTCTCTTATCACCAACTCGCATTCCTGAAAATTAGAAATGCAACCGTATTCTTTAAAAGGTACCAAAATTTATGAATTTTTAGTTGAAATCATCTATGGGTTAAAGCCAATATACCTTCAGCACCAATGCTGAGACCTTCTATGACATTTTCTCCACCTGCAAGCTAATTGTGTTTGAGGATGGAGAAAAAGCAATTATAACGAGGATTCTACGATATCTAGGAGATCTTTACCTAAGCGGAATCTTAGTGGAGCTTCTCCCAAGTTTGAATCAAACAATTCCCCGGTGTCCTTCAACTTCCCAGTATAGAGTATACTGACCTGAAAAAACAATCAATCGTTTTAAAGAATTCCACCCTAATGGGGCTGAGAATTCACGCGACGAAGATGTAGATAAGATGTCAAAAATTCTCACCTTTTTCCCTTTAACAGCTGATTTTCCATCTAACTTTCCTTTTTCAATCTCTTCAATGATCACTCCATTTGATAAAGTCCTCGTTTCTAGTGGTTTCTTAGTACCAGCTTCTTTCTCGATGTTCCTATTCATTATGGAAAATACAATATATAGGACTGGTTTATAACCTAAATACCAATAAAACTCAAAATAGTATCCACTCAAACCCAAAAGAAAAACTAAAAGAGACAATTTTAGCAGAAGCTTGTCTCAGGAACCCCGTTTCTAGTGGTTTCTTAGTATCAGCTTCTTTCTCTATGTTCCTATTAATTATGGAAAATACAATGTATACGACTAGTTTAGAACCTAAATACAAATAAAACTCAAAATAGTATCCACTCAAGCCCAAAAGAATAACTAAAAAAGACGACTATAGCAGAAGCTTCTCTCAGGAAACTAGTTCATCAGACCGTTTACCTTGTATTTGCATATAATTATTTTTCCTTCTACCATATTTTCAACTGAATTTTCTACCTAGGTAGCAAGGTAAGACTCACATGTCGATAGCTTGTTTCTTCTTCTCTGGACATTCAACTAGATTTTCTGGGACATCTGTAGTTTCCTCTCTCCTATCCCTTTTCCTCTTTTTCTTTGATAGAGTTGCATCACCATTCTGAGAAAGTAATACATCACTTGATGATTTGATCCCCCTGTCATGTGCGAGACATGATATATTAATCACCGAATAAAACAGGGAGCTTTATTACCAATGAGGAAATATGTGCATTTAACAATGATATCAACTTTCTAATTAATTGGGATAAACCATTTGTATATAAAACGTCAACTTCTGAGGAATAGGAGTAGCCTTTTTCTCTTTTACTGGAAAAGAACCACCCAGTCAGCACACTTGACCAATCATTTAACACTGACGACTAATTTAAGTGTATAATAACTATTTACTTATATCATAACAACAAAAACATTCCATTCCGCACTTTCAGTTCAACATAGCATCTTCTAAAATCCGGAATAGCTAGAAGGTAACATTATCTATCCAATAGAATGGTACTACTTACTCATCAGTAACTGGCTTCTCATTCTGAAGATTTCCAGGTATATTTTTCCCCTCTTTGTCATCTGAGTTAATGATTATAGCTGAGCTCTTAGACCTATCCTTGTTTCTTTTTTTCTTCGAAAGAATTTCACAGCCTTTCTGGACGGGAGAAAGTTTAACATCACCCAATGATTTATCCTCCCTGGCATATTAAAAATATTAGATTTATAAAAGGTTAAAACTTGGTCTGTAGTGGGTGAAACTTACTTGCCTTTTATCCAGAGTCTTGTGAGTATGAGTTCTTCCATCTGATGTCTTCTCACACTTGGCATTAGGCTCACCATTTTCCAAAGTCGAACTTCTTGCCTTCGACCTCGTAACCCTCGAAGGTAAAGGACTCTCTGAAGAAAGGACCTTGGCGATCTTGTGCTCATTACCATTGTTAAGTATTTCTACAGAATCCTCATTGCTAGATTCACCAGCTCTAGCTGACGTTTCATCAGAATCTGAATCAGGGACTTGAAACTTCTTCCTTAGCCTTCCACCTTTTCCATTTTTTATCTTGTCTTTTGTTTTAGCTGCCATCTCCTTAATAGATACTGGAAAGGAAACAAGAGTATCAAGAAATGGACATACGGTATAAGAAAATAAACAATGTGCAAATCCCCAATCTAATTTCAAGGAAGAAAATCGCGAGATGCAGATCAATACAATTATTACATGGAGAAGCTTCATAGTGCTTTCTCCACCAAAAGACACTAGTCTAGAGAATCAAACTAAACGAAAACTGTGGTTAACTCACAAAGTCCCATGCAACTAGAGTCAAGGAAAAAGGCTGCAGAACAATACCCATATAGAAACTGAAAATTGCTATGTATGTGTAAGTGCAACATAAATAGTCAAACAAAGTATTATAGTCAGACTACAAAAATAACTCCCAGTGTATTTGTAATTCTGAAGATAAAATTATAATTCAAGTTTATATCCACAAAGCAAACATAAAATATAACTAAAAGGTAAGAAGACACCATAAAAAAAAAAGATACGAAATGGCGTACTTTCATCATCATCAGTACTAGACAAGTGTGAACCACGGCCAGGAGGATCGTCGTCATTAATGAAACTATCACTGTAGTCATAATCATCACTGCTACCTTTCTCCATGTCTGTGTCAACAATGTCTTCTCCATATGACTCTCTTTTGACTAAGTCAAGGATACAAATCAACAATCTAGGAACCAATAATCCAAATGCATAATCTAAATTCGAGAAGAGGATACGATTCATCATCATTTGGCCTAAAAGCGGTACTCCTTCCGAGGAAGTAGCCAGTGAGGTGAACACTCCGAGGTCCGATGACAGAGAAGATAACTTCATCAGTTTCTTCAAACTCCAGATTCAGTTGGCAAGAATCAACCTTGTCGGGAGACAAGACACATAACAAGAGGGGACTTTTGTTCCCAACGTTACACTGTAGAATGCTTTTAATGGTTGCAGTACCATGGCCCAATGTGGCCTAAAGCAAAGATAAACAACCAAGGATCAGCTAAGTAACTCCACTATAAGCTACATATCACTCTCCCTACCCTAATTCATATCTATATAAAACTTCCTAGCACGTTTAAACATACCCAAATCAAGAGGAACTTAATCAAACAAGCGTTACCAAGTACAAAATCTGGAAAAAAAAATCCACGAAATTAAGATAAAAGACCTGGGAAAGGTGAAGTCTTCTGATTCCTGTTGCTTCAGTATTCTTAAGAGTGAAAGTTTTTCCTGGCTTCACTTCAACTCCTGCAAACAAACAAATCGAGTTCATCAACGCCAAGCTCCATTGAAAAAATTAGGTTTCTTTTACTCAATCGGTGATTGTCCATAATTGTTTTGGGTTCAAAAGAAAAGAAACGGTGAACACACCCCAGAAAGCCATGGAATTTGGTCTAAGAACGAAAGATAATCGTAGAAGAAAGAGAGACCAACGCCGACCCTTTGGGTTTCTCCGTTCTGTGTCGAGCGAGGGTTTTATTTTTTTTGCCGCCCTTATTAATGTATTTATTGTTAATGCCCAATGGGGTTTAACCTTTTAAGAAGAATTTTAAATTTGTTATTTTTATTAATTTATTTTTTAGGACAGTAAGAAGAAGAAGTGAAAAATAAAATTTTAAGTTACACTTTAGGAAATATTAAGAAATGTTTTCAAAAAGAAAAAAGTAATTTTGTTTTCTAATATATTTTAAACTTCAAAAAGTTTTTAAAAATCTCAAAAAAAAAAAAAAAAAAACTCGATAAATGTTCCTAAACTTTTCGGAGCTTTTTTCAAGTTTCTTTGTTGATGTAAAATGTCTTTTGAAATTTGAATAATGAATTTATGATACTTTTGATGGACAAATATATAGATTGTTTAGGAAACTTATAAAAATTAGTGAAGATTAGAAAAACCTCTATAAATGTCGGATCCAATTCTGGCACATTTTTCTCTAAATTTCTAGCGATTGCATACAAACGAATTGCGGAGCAACTAGCAAATGACCATAACACTTCCAATTACAATCACTATTTATGTACCAAGATGATCTTGTAAACAGCGCTTAATGATTAACCAAACAAAAGGATCATTTGACCAGCACTTTTTGCAATTGAAATGGCACTTCTTTCAGTGTTAATATATCTAGGCCACTAGCTACATTATTATTTAGTCTTAAGAGGATGCACTAATCTTATCTCATCTTCAACCGAGTATGAAGAAAACAGAACAAACATCACTTTGTGTTAAAAAATTTCTTGCACACTCATTGTCTTTAGCTACCAATACCATAAACATCCAGAATCAACAACAACAAACTCCTCCAAAGTGAGATTCTTTATTGGTAAAATCTTATATCCATAATCTTGAACTCTGTGAGTATACAAATACATACATACATAAACAAAAGCATTACACATTTCAAACACAAAAGCAACAACATTTCACAATCTCTCAAGTCTTTCTTAATCCTTAGGCCAAACACTAACCTTTTCCTTCTCAATCTTGACAAACATAGCAGAAACAGCCGCAACAAAATAGATCTGAAGAAACACCACAGAAGGCGTGTGGTAATTCAACACACTCTTACCCGTCGCAAGCTCAACAAGAAGCAAAGCCATGAGCCCTAATCCCGCAATCCTCCCGTTGATCCTTTCACTGTACGAGCTAAACCCTAATTCCACTTTCAAACCACCTGAAACCGCCTCTTTCAAGCTTACCGGCGGCAAATACATTCCCGAGCCTTTTGACGGAGACCCACTTGACCCTTTCTTCGATTTTCTCACTTCTGCTTTCTTACCCGTCCCGCTTCGGTATCTGAGTCTGATGTTTGAGAGACGAGACTCGAATTGGTCCGGATCAGTGCCGGATTCTGACTGGGTTGTTGTTTCCGGGTCGGGTTGAGTCTCCTCCGTGGACTCAACGTCGGTGGCGCGGAAGGTAAGGAGTCTCGGAGCATTGGATTTCCCGGCGGGAATAAAACGCAGAGATGGGAATGGGTTGGTGATTCGTAGAGGTGTTATCGCCATTTTTTTTAAGAGCTTCGCGTCTCTCTCTCTATCACTCTCTTCCTGTGACCTGTTTGGATAAGAAAATATTTTTTTGAGTTTTTCCGGTTTCTTTTTTTTTTCTTTATTAACTTTGACATTTTGTTTATTATAATTTTATGGGTTTGAAAGGTAACGCCGTTTTTTGCTGTGTGGGAAAAGCGATATTATAGTACGGTACGGTTCAACTGCGGTACGTACAGGAGAAAAGTATTTGCGGGACAAGTGCGGTTTATACAAAATAAGCGGTACAGAATAATGTTTGATTGGTGAAAAAACTAATTGCGGTACATAATAAAATGTTTGAATGGTAACAAATCAATAAGCGGTCCAGATTATAGATTATATATATCTATTTGTAAATAATTAATTTTTTTTTGTTAACGAAGAAATAATAACATATATTTATAAACAGTTAATATACAAATTGATCAAAATATAAATATAATTTTTTAACAGTTAATTGTTACAGAAAGTGTTTAACCAAAAAAAAGTTGAAAACAAAAAATATTGTTACATGAGAGTCTGAGACGTAAGAAGCCAAGAGAAAAGATAGTGGAAGAATGTCTTTTTTCCTTTCGTGTTTACACATAAGGTTGTGTAACAAATATACATATAATATTTTTAATATTAAAATATCAAAAAAAAACAAAAAATAATACTATCTACTGCGTTTTTGAATGTACCGCAGGGTAAAATCTTTTTGATATTTCGGAAAGCAGTCCAAGGTAATATCAGCTGGACAATTCCGCAATTTGGTTTTTTTTTTTTTTAGAAAAACGCAAATTTGTTAAAAATTTATGATTGGTGAAAGTGGTATGGTTTTACCAAAAAAAATAAAAAACCGCTTTTTTTGTGTCTCCATTCACAACCTATATAGCGTAGAATTTTTTGTGGTGTTCATTTTTTGATTTTTTTCTGAATATTATAGGTTACTTACCAGTGAACTTTCCACTTAATTTACTCGAGCCAAAAAAGCAACACCACAAGATTTACAGATTCCTAACCAAACTTGTAATTCTTTCTTTCTTTCTTTCTTTTGTTTGTCATAACAAACTGTGTAATTTCTATACAGTAACCATAAATTTGCTATGGGAATATATAAAAATTCGATTATATTCATTTTTCTCATGAATGAAATCAATTCGCAATGATATCATATCCCGATAATATAGGCCAACGAGAAATCAGAATTTTGTGAGCCCATAATCCGATAAAGGACAATTTCGTAAATATATAAAGTTAGGAGGATGTTTTTGTAAATAATAGGAAATGTAAGAAATGGAACAGATGCGAATATGCGATTGATTGACACGAAGATGTGTCTTCACTCCCTCTTCCCTTGTTATCTTACCAAACCGAAGTCTGATAATTTTCCCGACAGAAATTTCGTCTGGGAAAAATGGCTACATTTGCACTTCCCTTCTGCGAAATTCCCGAAGATCTCCAGCTCCGCATCTTGTCCTTCCTCTCCCCAGCAGAGATCTCCTGCTTCGCCTGCACATCTAAACGCTTCGCCTCGCTATGTCAAGAAGACGGCAAAATCTGGCACGTTATGTGCGATCAGCGATGGGGCAAGAAAACGAAGATCCAGAAATGGGGAAACGGTCAAATCCCTTATAGACTCCTTTACAAGACTCTAAAGGGATTGGAGAATCTAATTGGATTCTGGCGTCTCTGCGGCAGAGCAAATCCCGCAGCTTCATCGCCACCGCTTGTTTTCTTCGATTGGGGTCCTTCTTTTGTATTGGGATCTAGAGTTTTATCTACCGGAGATGATACTTATCAGGTAAAGAAGACACCTTTCCTCTTATTGGGGATTTCGTCGGAGGGACGAACTGAGAATTTCTTGGATCTCGTCGGTGGTAATCTCAGATCTGTGGATGATGATCTGAAAGAATTAGAAGCTTCTGACAATCTCGTCTCGGTGGATGTGAATTTCATGGGGAATGGTCATATCATGGTGGAGGAGAATCGATGTTTTATCAACAACAATCTTAGAGAAGAGCAGAAGAGCTCAGGAGACGAGAGTGATGATTTGATCTCATCGCCCGATTTTTCGGAAATGTACACTCAATTGGCGAATAAGACGAGTCCAGGCGGTGATAGAAGGAGACAGAAGAGGAAGGAGAAGGAGAGGCAAGCGTCGAGGACTAAGTGGGAACCAGAACACTTTCTCAAAGTTGCTGATTGCTCCCCCACGCCTACTAAACCATTACAAGGCTTATGGAAGGTCTCAATTATAACTCCTTATAGTTGATTTCAGCTTTATCATATTATCATTGATAATGTTCGAGATTGATAAAAGCCTTGTCTTTAAGGTAAAGGGGCAAAATTTAGTTGATTGAAAAGAACATTCTCTCATTGGTTAACTCTTCCTTGTGGTGATGATGGCTGTGTTGTTAAGTAGTTTATCTCCGTTGGAACCACAATTCATCAGCTAATTGTAAATGATTGTTGAACTCGGCAGGGTTTCTGTGAGGGGAGCATGGAGTTATATCTGGTCAAATACGATGAAGTTGGAGGCATTATATGCAGGAAAGTAGAGGACTTGTCTCTCTCACGGTACACTCCTCCTGTGTTCTGGACACCCAAACATGCGTTTATCAGATCTCCCTTTTCAGCCGAAGAAGAGCTGCTACTGAATAGTCGAATCCATATTAGCCATCTCGCCGAAGTTCATGAAAATGTTGTATCTGGAATTTTGTACATAAAGTCTAGTTACGATCTGGTGTTGCCAGGAGAAGCGGCCAATGGCCTTGGTTTTCTTAGAGGTGAAGGGCGGGTCTGGTTGTATGAAAATGGCACTTTTGGTTTCGGGTTTCTTCGAGATCAATTTGTTATCGATATGAAACGTGTTGCCCTGGAAGATGGTTGTCTAGCTGACGAGATAGAAGCTTCTATGTGATTTCTAAATTCTGATGGTGATGGATTATCACCGTTTTCTGTACATAAAAGAGTTTGGTGACTTTTGAACTTTTAAGTTTAGTCATCCTAAACTAGGATTATGGAATATCGCCTTGTATTTCTTTGTTTTGTATAGATTCTGTAACAAATAAGAGATTTGTTTCAAAAATAAGAGAATTTGTGGATTTACTTGTAGAGGTTCATGTATCAATTGTTCAAAAAGGATAATAAATTTGCAGCACTGGTCAATATACTGTTAATGATGCGGTTTCTACAGCAAAACTTTTCCAGCTGCGTTTCCCATAGCCATGTAACCACTTGCGGGGATGAAGTCCAATCTGCAAGGGTAATGCATCGTTGTTTGGTGGCTGCCATTTTGAGAAGACAGTAAGTATATGGACAAGCTTTCTGGTGTTTTTGTTCATCGTATAAACTAGCTAGAATATGAGCATCATGGTTGAAGAACTTGATGAAAAATCTATTTTGGGAGTGAGATTGTCCACTCTTTTTAACAGCTTTCTCTTGCCTTCCCACAAACTCAAATTTCTTGTAGGTTTTACGATCCCTCTGTCCCTTTGCAAACTGCAACGAGAGTGCCACACGTGCTGCATTCATCGACACCTTTGTATAACCATTTCATTGTTCTCAGATCCCAGAGGTAGACCTGGTAAGCATCATCACTGAATGCTAAGGACCTACTGAACCGTTCACATATCTTTTGTTGTCGAAGACACAAGTAAACAAAAGCTATGGTTTAGAGTCTCTACCAAGCAAAGGGCCAATTTTTGTCTCCAAATCAAACCTGTACAAGAACTTTCTTCTTCAGACAATGACATGATAAAAAAAAAATTGGGGGTAGAGAGTCGATTTAGTAATATAGAGAAAGTTGGAGATTGGTTTTGTAAATGAAGAAAACAAAAAGTAGTTGTAAGGAGTACAAGTATTTTAGTCATGCCATTGACCATACGAAGAGATGAGTCTCCTTTTTCTATATCTACTAAACTTCTTCTCACTTTCCCATTTCGCTTCTCTCTCTTTCCCAAATTACATCTCAAATTACACAATCCAGCAAACACCTTTCTCTCTCTAACAGCTTCGAGCTTCACTCATGGCTGCTTCATCCTTTGTAGACGGTAACCAATCATTCTAAATTTTCTCTACTTGTACACACATCTCTCAACTTTTTCAGTCTTTTCCATACGATCTAGAATTTTATGATCCGATTTTGGTTTCTTATTTGGTTTTCGTTAGGCAGAAAAATATATGTATATATTCCCTTAGCTTTGATTAATTGTTATGCATAACTGTCGGGGAGAATCTTCAGACATGTGATCTTCATGGTCCCTCGTGAATTTTGTCTGTGAAATACCAAACCACCCATATGTTTCAAATGAATTTTGTATTATTATTATATCCAAAATGATATAAACTTGATTGATGGAATAATTGAATTTTCTGTTTGGAGTCTCCCAAAGTTCAGATAGAGATGTGTCTTTGTTGTATATATTCCAGATCTGGGTAGTTGAATTTTGAGGTTTTTGTTTTGGTCTGTCGAAATTTTCAGGAGAAAGAGATATGGAGAAAGGAGGAATGATTTTACAGTCGAGTGAGAATCAAAATCCTTTGATAGATCTTTCACCAACACCTTCACCTTCTGCAACTGCTACTGCTCCAGCTTTGGTTTTGTCTAACTCAGGCAAGAGAATGGATCCTTCACCAACACCTTCACCTTCTGCAACTGCTACTGCACCAGCTTTGGTTTTGTCTAATTCAGGCAAGAGAATGGATCAAGCTGGCAAGAAAAAGTATGTTAAGCAAGTTACGGGTCGGCACAACGACACTGAGCTGCATTTAGCGGCTCAACGCGGTGATTTGGACGCTGTACAGCAGATTCTCAAGGATATTAACTCTCAGATGGAAGGGATTCTGAGTGGGGAAGAGTTTGATGCTGAAGTTGCGGAGATACGAGCATCCATCGTGAATGAGGTGAATGAGTTGGGTGAGACGGCGCTCTTCACTGCTGCCGATAAAGGACATCTTGATGTTGTCAAAGAGCTCTTGAAGTATTCGAGTAGAGAGAGTATTGCTAAGAAGAACCGTTCTGGATATGATCCACTTCATATTGCTGCCATACAGGGTCATCATGGTAATGTTCGCCAACTCTTGGATTGGCTTTTGATCAAAATGAAGTTCCAGAAAAAATTTTCTTCTTTATGTAAACTATAGTATGTGAATAAGAATGGTTGTTTCTTGCAGCTATTGTTGAGGTCTTGCTAGATCATGATTCAACGCTTAGCCAGACATTTGGCCCATCGAACGCTACTCCACTTGTGTCTGCAGCTATGAGAGGCCATACAGAAGTTGTGAACCAGCTCTTATCCAAAGCAGGGAATTTGCTAGAAATTTCTCGGTCTAACCATAAAAATGCCTTGCATCTAGCTGCAAGGCAAGGACATGTTGAGGTCATAAAAGCTCTTCTCTCCCAGGATCCTCAGCTAGCAAGACGGGTTGACAAGAAAGGACAAACTGCACTTCACATGGCTGTTAAAGGGCAGAGTTCTGAAGTAGTGAAACTACTGCTTGATGCAGATCCTGCTATTGTTATGCAACCAGACAAGTCTTGTAACACAGCGTTGCATGTTGCGACCAGGAAGAAACGAGCAGAGGTATGCATCACTCCGAGAGTTTGATTCATTTTCAGATTTTTGATTGGGTCTTCACATTTTGGAATATTCTTGCAGATTGTAGAACTTTTGTTGTCACTGCCTGATACCAACGCCAATGCTTTAACCCGGGAACACAAGACAGCGCTTGACATAGCAGAGGGGCTTCCCCTCTCAGAAGAATCTTCATACATAAAAGAGTGTCTTGCTCGTAGCGGGGCTCTTAGGGCGAATGAGCTGAACCAGCCAAGGGACGAGCTGAGAAGCACTGTCACCCAAATCAAGAACGATGTACACATCCAGCTGGAACAGACGAAAAGGACGAACAAAAATGTGCACAACATTTCCAAAGAACTCAGGAAACTCCACAGAGAAGGGATCAACAATGCAACCAATTCTGTAACTGTTGTTGCTGTATTGTTTGCAACTGTAGCTTTTGCTGCTATATTCACAGTGCCGGGAGGAGACAACAATGACGGATCAGCAGTGGTGGTGGGCCGAGCATCATTCAAGATCTTCTTCATCTTCAACGCACTTGCATTGTTTACTTCTCTGGCGGTTGTGGTTGTCCAGATCACATTAGTGAGAGGAGAGACCAAAGCTGAGAAGAGGGTAGTGGAAGTGATCAACAAACTCATGTGGTTGGCATCGATGTGTACATCTGTGGCATTTTTGGCATCTTCATACATAGTGGTTGGGCGTAAGAACGAGTGGGCGGCTGAGCTGGTGACGGTGGTTGGGGGTGTGATAATGGCTGGCGTTCTTGGAACCATGACTTACTACGTGGTGAAGTCGAAGAGGACGAGGTCGATGAGGAAAAAGGTGAAGAGTGCTCGAAGGAGTGGTTCCAACTCGTGGCATCATTCAGATTTCTCTAACTCAGAAGTCGATCCCATTTTCGCAATCTAAGATGCGTAAAAAAATCATGTAAATATATTGTTGTATTTGGTGAAGAGAGCTAAACGATTTAGTGAAAAAGCCCCCTGACCATCAAAAAGCCAACACTATTGTCAACAATTAAAGGTTTACACTGCTCAACTCATTTTGTAAAACAGTTAACCATTATCTTCGGAAAGCAAAGAATATTGGAACAAAGCATTGTAAGAGAGGTCTGTGCTTTTGTTGGGAAATCATTTGTATTCATGTTTGATCACTTCAGCTGCACAGCTCTGAGGTTCTTCGAAGCATAAATCATCTCACGGACTGGATACCGTTTCTGAGCTGCTGACTTTCTGTAGTTACTTAAGATCTCAAGCTTGCTTGGAGAGTAAAGAAAAGTTGTTGAAATCTAAGGAAACACCACACACAACCACGATAGTATTTAACTTAGATTGAGAGAGGTGAATAGCATTCTATTTGTCCCACATGATCCAAAACAACACAGAATGATGCGAGGCTTGCTATTTTTGGGTTCAAAAGCGATATCTAGGCTAAGTATAAGCCATGGAAGTTAACTCATTACACCAGCAACTGTAGATGCACAAAACCAAAATTGGTAGCCAACAATTCAGAGTTGACTATTAAGAAACCAAATTGGTAGTCCAAACACATCATAGAACAGCACATTTGGATTTAAAATCTCTTACCTGAAACTTGTTGGATTATGCAATAACAGTTATAATTATAAAGGCGGCTGCAAAAGAGGATTCAAGGCCAAAACAAGTGTTATTAATTCACCAATTCTCTTCTAGCAAACAACAGAATAAGATAAGCCAAGCTCAATCCGCTACAACATAAACCAGATAACACTGATTCTGAAATCGGAGCTCAAAGGAGTAAATCCACAATAGCAATTTCTAAGAGAAATCCATTTGATAGAATACTATTTTTACTCCGGAAGCACAAACACGAAAGGAGACTGATAATTGAAGCATTTGAGATCAAGAAACTGGAAAATCCATTCCCTCTATGCAACAACAGTCTCATTTTCCGTCGCCGTTGGTGCCTGCAACGTATTGACGAGATCTAACGCCGGCCAATGCAAAGAACCAAGCATCATACCATAAACATCGGAACGAGAAGGCATCGTCTCAATGACCTTGTAATCTTGAGGAGCGTACAATTTCTCCTCAAAGACAGCACCGCCTAAGTTATTGTCGTAGAGCTTCTTCTCTTTCTGGAAATTGATGAAAGTCTTCAAAGCAGCAGGTATATCTTCAGATTGAACGAAGAGCCAAGCGTTCATACCCTTCATACATGGCTTCAGAGATTCCCATTTGGTTCCTTCTAAGGCTTTGAACACCAGAGTGTTCTTGGCGACGAGGAGCTTCGTGTTTGTGTTCTCACGGAGGATTCCACGGAGCTCTTGTAATTGCTTCACGCTGAGACCGTTGTAGTTGATTCCGGTAATGAAATGGCAGTTCTCTAGGTTGATCTTCGTCTTCCCTGCAACGAGCAGAGCTCTTCTGAGGCTAGACATCGATCTATACAGAGGCTAATTCAAATGGCACGATTCCGATTCCGATCCCGAAGAAGAAACCGTGAGCTCCAGATTCGAAATGAGAAAGCTAGGGTTCTTACTTCAGACTCCAGAGAAACGGAGAGGTTTACTTTACTTACACAGTGGTCAAATTGGGCTTATTTGAGTTGGGCTTATTTGATATGACAAAATTATAGTATTATTTTTACAAATTCCAAATTTTTATGATTTATAGATTTTTATATTTGTCCAAATAATCTGAAGCATCGTTCATTGAACTAAGCAAATAACAACTAGAGCTAATCAAATAAGAAAATCCACAATTAATAGCAATAGGATTCACAAATAATTGTATCGAATTTGATATTTTCTAAGCCAATCTTCACCTTTCTCGTAGTAATCCGTCTTAGTAAAGGCGTTCCCCAAGAAGTTCAAATTAGCAGCAAACGCAGATGCTCCACGCCATGCATCCAGCACTGGATCCATAGCTCGAACCACGTCTATGGGTGATCCGCACGGTCTTATCATCCTAATCCCACATTCCAACCGCTCTTTCATCCCTGGAAGAAGGCTACACCCGCCCGTCATCAGTATCGAGCTCGTTAGCCTCTCCTCTAACTCTTTCTCATCGTGCGGTAGCCTTCTTATTGATGTACCGGCCATCTCGTCTAAGCCTACTTGGTCAATCCCAATCAGGTTTGGATGGAACAGGATCTCAGGGCAACGGAATCTTTCGATACCAATCACTATCTTGTAGTCTTCCTCTGTTAATGGACGAACACGAGGCATCTCCCCTGATGTCTGACTCGATTCTCCTTCTACTTTCTGCACAAATTTTGGGTCTATTTCCTGAAGTCTAGATGATAAACGAGCCAACTCAGCCTCGTCTGAATCAGGTTGTTCGTCATCGTCGTCATTATCCTTGCTCATAAGTTTGTAGAGCTGCCAATCTTCATCTCTAGTACCAAACGTATCCTCGCCTTTCCCTCTATCAAACGCTGCTGTAGTCAGCAGACGCATTCTCTCCCTCTGTGCAGCACTTAGTCGCTCGCCTCGCCCAACACCTCCAGACTTGTTATTCCCATTACTGGACCCGTTTGTTTTCAGACGTTTCTTCTGCTCAACTCTCTCCAACACTTCCTTGTACTGAGCTTGCATCTCCACTAAGTAAGACTCTGGGTTCTCACTACAACCAGAAGACAGACAAAAACAAAGGATTATTATTTGCTCCCTTTTTTACCTTTCTACCATTGACTAATAAAATTGGTATACATACCGACGTCTTTCCTCCTCTAATTCATTTCTTTTTTCTTTTTCGAGTTCCTCCTCATTACGCTTTTGTCTAGCTCGTAGCCGACCCTCTGCTGTTGTTTTAAGAAACATTTGCCTCCTCTTGTCCTTAAGCTGCAAGCAGCAAATGAAAATTAAACCAGACTCTCACATGAGTAAAGGATTTCTCACAATTCTGGAAACAAACCTGCTCAGGAGTAAGTATATCATCGGGGACATTCATAAGAGGATATTTTTCATTATTAAGAGAATCAGTGTTCTCTTCACTCTCAGCTGGTTCATTCTTCGGCTCGCCCCTTGCTTTTCTAAGCGATTGTGTCACTTTCGTAATAGTAGATTCTAGCTCTTGCCTGGACGCGTAACCGGTGTCTGACAAAAATGTTGGAATATCATCCTCTTCAACCTGGTCAACTTGCTTCAAAAGGAAATGCAAGCTAGTCAATTGATTATCCATTTCATTTATCTTGGACAATCTCTTTGCTTCAGCCATTTCTCGCAGCCTTTGACCTTGTTTTTCTCTTATAGCTGCCTTCCTTGCAATCTCTTCTTCTGATGGAGGAACTTCGGTGGGAGGAGGTATCCATGGAAGCTGCCAATACCTTGTTTTCTCTTCAGCTTCTTTTGTTCCTTCCTGGTCAATAACGATCACATAAATTCAGTTTACTAGCGTCACAAACTGCCTAAAAAAGGAAATGAGTAAATCAACTGACCTGGAATAACCGAATTTCAGAAGCATAGTCAGGTGCGATATAACAGTGTTCCAATTTCAAATCTTCGGCCTTCTCCCATGTAAACCTAGACCTTTTGTGAAATTGAACATGGCGAGGAAAACATATCAAATCTTGAAATGTGAGTAATCACATTGAGAAGATAGATCCAGTGGAAGCACTCACGAATGAAAAGGGTACTTAAGTGACAGAAGCTGCTTTAAATAATCAGTGACATGATATCCACCAATGTTAGTTCGGCAGGATCCTTTATAAATAGGTTCTCCGTCGACAAACTGATAACCAATGAAACCATGTACCAGATGAATAAGCATTATCAGACTAATGACTAAGTGTATCAGGAAAGGAATTGTTTGAGACAGAATATAAATAGGGTTGACACCAGCTTGAAATCACAATAGTCATAGATACATACCGGAATGGCGTGTGTTGTAGTGAATCCAGGACAGAGGACAATTCCATCTTTTTTACAAATTCCATGTAGTTGATTGTACTTGTAGCTGAAAGCAGCATCGACTCCAAATACTGTGACGACATGAGAGTTAATGAATTAATGAAAGCAATACACAAAAGGTTCCATAATTACTATCAAACATTTCATTCAAGAAGACAATCAAAATCAGAAACCAAAGAAATAACTAAGATTCATACCAACTGCAGGCACTCCATAAGTCTCAAATAGCAGTTCTGCCATTTTGCTTCGAGATTGAACTGGATTGCATGCACATTCAGTGATTAGGATTGGATGATCAATCTGTACTGCCATCAAATGACGTTAAAGCAAGAGACAAATTCTGACAGAGAGTAAGATGAAACTGAAAATCAAGATGAAAAAAAAGATCTAGAACATACCCCTGATCCGTTAGCACCCAAACGATCAAAGGCGAAGTCAAGAATCTAAAAATCAGAAGAATCAATTAGAAAAGTTGCACGGGTTCTTCAATAATTGCATTATTTTAATGAGCATAAACATCAAAGAACTTGGAATACGAGATAACAGTTAAACAAGCCAACCCACATATAAAAATGAAAAAGAGCAGAAGCACACAACAAGACATGATGGGAGCAAGAAAGTCATGGAATAGAAGACCTTACAAATCATACATACAATACAATACGGTAATTGAAAAAAAGGGTATAGAATACTTACATATTCCATGATCTCAAACTGATAAACCACATTGCTGTCAAAAGGGGAACGTGGTCCAGAGCGAGTGCAATCAAAGTACTTCATCATGGCAGGATCCTGGTCGCCAACAATAGTAACTGTTTCACCTGTACTAGAGAGAAGACCAAATCAATACAACATTACACATGGATACAAACAAACAAAGAGAAAAGAATTTAGAAGCAGAGCAACTTATAAGCAAAATAAGATAAAGCATAGTCATATATACATATCACTAAATCGCAGCCAAAACATCAAGCAGCTCAGCTCTAGTACTTTGAAACATATCATTGGCTCAAGTGTTACTCTAGCAGCAAAACAAGGAATTAAGAGGCATACAAACACTAAACACTAATAATGTGGGAAAGTTGACAAAAACCAAGACCTGTAGCTTTGTGGCGTGGTCTTTGCACGATATTGCGGAAAACAACACGAGGCTCAGTTTCTCCTGCCCACCTAAAAAACTCAAGAGAATTTCATAACTAAAACGATTTTTACGAATTGGGGAAGAGGAATACTACATACCAAAAACCTCAAGTTAGCGATAAGAAAGGAATTTAGGGTTTATGGAAAAAAGTACCCGATACGGAAGTAGGAAGCGCCATTATCGATAACAATGGGAATCGAAGATGGATAGGTATTGTAATCAGTCTGCCTACGTATCCTCGAAACGAACGCCATGGCTTTCTCTTCCTTACTGTGTTGATTTAGTCGCCGCCGTCGTCAGTCATCGACTGATTTTGTGATGTGTAATTCGGGCACCTAGTGCTCCGGTGAAAGAACACGAATGGAGCTTCGTGACGTGGAAATTATTCAATTAGGCCCAAAAGGCTGCGACTTCAAATTCCAATTCTATAAATAGTTTAACAAAGACGTTTTAAACGTAAGCCGTCTTAGCTCAGTGGTAGAGCGCGTGGCTTTTAACCACGTGGCCGTGGGTTCGATCCCCACAGACGGCGATTTTGTGTTCCGTCATGCGTTGTCTTTTTGCTCTTTTTTTTTAACTGAATAATCCGACCAATTTTTTCCAGCTGATAAAGCCCAACGGACAATGTGTAATAAAGTTTTGGGCCTTTTTGACTTTCCTTGCAATAATTAACACTCGGTCTTCTCCAACCTAACAATTATTCTAGGGTTTTAGAGTTTCCGCACGGATCACGAATCTCCCTCTCTCTATCACTTGACACTTTCAATAGACACTCTCATCATGACTACCGAAGAGAAAGAGATCCTCGCCGCCAAATTGGAAGAACGAAAGATCGATGTAATTGATAATTCTTCTACTCTTACATATCTATCATTCCCGGATTATTTATAGCTGCTAAGTCTTAAGTCTGGAAATCATTAGACTGTGTATTCAGATTTTTGTTCTGTTCCTGCCCAGATCTTGGTTATTGTTTTGTTTTGTATATGCTACAATTGGAGGAGCTTATAAGACTTTAGATCTCAATTTATATTTTTTTTTAAATCACTGTGAATTCTCAGTTTTCCTCATTACTTCAATTATTGATTTGACATATTAGCTTTATGTCTGATTTGTTGTAGCTCGATAAGCCCGAAGTTGAGGATGATGATGATAACGAAGACGATGACTCCGATGACGATGATAAGGATGATGACGACGCTGAGGGTAAGTCGCCTTGCTTTTGGTTCTCTTCACTTAAGCTTTCTACATTTTTCATTGATCAAATTACTGGAATATCGGTATTGATCCTAGTATTTTTATTTGGTGACACTCACAAGTTAGTGTTAATTATGTAGCAATGATAATTATTGGGCCATAGCTTGAAAGTTTTGTTAAAATGAATCCATCTTCTTTGTTTCAAGAGAATCTTTGCATTGACTTGTGTGGATAGTCATGTTTGTGCAACTAAATATTATGATCTTTTTTATTCTTGTTGGTTCATTATTGATTGGTGATTGGAAAACAGGACTAGATGGAGAGGCAGGAGGTAAGTCAAAACAAAGCAGAAGTGAGAAGAAGAGTCGCAAAGCCATGCTTAAGCTCGGGATGAAACCCATCACTGGTGTTAGCCGAGTCACTGTCAAAAAGAGCAAGAATGTTTGTGTTTTCTCTTGGGCATTCTATCAATCTTAATTCCACTTATTCACACAGTCAAATGTGTTGATCTGTTATGTTGACATTGCTTTGGAACACAGATCTTGTTTGTCATATCAAAACCTGATGTGTTCAAGAGCCCAGCATCAGACACATATGTGATCTTTGGAGAGGCGAAGATCGAGGACTTGAGCTCTCAGATCCAGTCGCAGGCAGCAGAGCAATTCAAGGCTCCAGATCTCAGCAATGTGATCTCAAAGGGTGAGTCGTCGAGCGCTACAGTGGTTCAGGATGATGAGGAGGTTGACGAGGAAGGTGTTGAGCCAAAGGACATTGAATTGGTGATGACTCAAGCAGGAGTGTCTAGGCCTAGGGCAGTGAAGGCTCTCAAGGCTACAGATGGAGATATTGTCTCTGCCATCATGGAGCTTACCACCTAAACCAAAATCTTTTCAACTTTTAGATGTGGTTTAACCTGAGTTATTTGCCAGAGATTGCCAAAGAAATCGGAAATTTTTGGTTTCAATGTTTTTTTTTGAAGTGATTTTGAATGTTGTATCAGTATAAACCTCATAAGTTATTGATTTTCAGTTTGATTTATATCGAATATCAAGTGTTTGCCGTTATAGTTATGAGTATCTGACATATCCTTCCGAGGGAAAGTTAAAATTTCTCTTTATTTTCGCAATTTGAGGGTTGGTTGTTCTTGGAGAAAGTGTTAAGGGAAGCTGATGCTTTTATTCCTAACATGCTCTATCAAATCTTCTCTACTAGGTAAGTCTGTTTAATGAACCAACACCAAAGAATAACTCTTCATCTCTAAAAATAGAAAAGGGAGACTTCACATTTTTAGTTAGAACATTCTTTTCTTATTCTAGATGATTTAATGAGTTTAAAGAAAAACACTTGAGGTTAATTGATACATGCTGCACAATGAACAAAGTGCTACAAGTGGAGGTTCATAGACTCCCTAAGTCGATTTTTTTTTACCTAAGTCCTCAAGGAAAGAGGCTAGGGGTTGCAAGGAACTCGCTTGTTTTATCCAAGACAACGAAAGATTCTAAGACACACACATTAAAGACAGTCTCTTATCTTGTACCCAAAGTGATGAAGCAAAACAAGGTCTAAGGATATTGCAGTTGCAGTTGCTGATAAGAAGACTTGACAAGATTTAACCATTAATGGAGGAGCTAATGGGTTCAATTCAACAACGTTTTAGTTTCCTTCTACATGATGATAAACTAAAGCAACAATTTCTAATGGAGAAGAAAGAAGAGTCATCATAACTGTTCCAATATCCAAAACAAGATACTAACATTCTCAAACCAAATGATTCATTAGATAATAATGTTTCATCACAAAGATCCCCAAAAAAAAGGTAGTCATAGATCACAAAAGGAGATGATTCTCAGGCCTGATCCATTCAAATATGTATGTGCACAGCAGTGTAGGTGTGTATATAGTCTATAGACATTTAATTCAATCTTAAAGAGGAACCATCATCACACGTATAGCCACAGAAATTCTCCTCAAAGATGCTAATCTCAGACTATATAAACCAGCATTGTGACACAGCATCCCGCAAATAGAAACACTGAATTTCATTCATGAATGCAACCTACCTGCGATCGCTGCAACCTGAACCTCCATCTGTGCCGCCCTGACTTTAGAACCCGTGGCACGGTGGAAGAACTGTTCCCTCGACAACAACCTTACATTCCTCAAGTACTGATCAAAGGGAACAACCCCATCTTGAAACGATTTATCCAAGGAATAAATAGCATCTTCAATGGCTAAATCCAAAGCAGTACACTCTAACATCTGCTTAGAGAGTGTGTCACCACATTCAAAAGCATTATCCACATCCAAATCAACTAAATTCTTGGTTTTGCCTTGGTTCTCTCTAACCCAAGAGTCTAGAATATCAGTGTTCATGGAGATAACCTGTAATTGTTGTTCAAGTGTTTCTTTCTCCTCAACCATCTCTCTCAAACCTCTATTAAGCTCTTCCTCTCTTCTCTTCAGCCCAGCTTGCAAACTCAGTAGCTCCTCTGCTTCAGCTTCTCTGGCTCTCCTCATCGAAACCAAATCGCCGTGAACCATCTCCACCATCTTATTAATCGCGTTTCTCTTGAAAACCTCCGCAGCATCATCCGATTGCTGCTGGTGGTGAACATGCTGCACTTGCACCCTACCTCCTCCACCGTAAGGTGATGGCGGGAACGGTCTAGCTAATGACTGATCAGCAGAAGGAGGTCGTGTCAGAGACGAATCGTATCCAGTAGGAGGAGACGGTGGCGGCGGCTGAGGACGGCGTCGTGAATAAAGAGGCGGATCACGAGCAAAAGCAGCGCTGAGATCGGAGACAAGATCTACGAGATTTGAGCTAGGGAAAACCCAATTCTGAAGATAAGGAAGAGAAACGAGACCAGAAGGAGTAACATGTGCGTGAGGTCGCTTTATGATCATATCGGCGGTAGGATTCACATAGACGCAAGGAGGATGGCGAGGATAAGATTCGAGGAGCCAGATGATTACAGGGATGTTATAGGTGACTCCATGGAAAGGCATCGGGATCGTACCATCTGCTTGAAGGAGATTGACGGAGCGGCCATCGTTGTGCATAAACGATGCCGTTTTGGGCTCTAAGGAAGGGTAAGAAGAGATTAGGTTAAGTAGATGTTGCCGGATCAACCACTTGTTGGACTCTTCGTAGGGAACTGAAGATGGACCGCGCTGGGAGAGCGCGGAAGAGAGGAACTGCTGAATCTGCTGCGGATTCGACGGCGAAGGAACCATCGGAGTTAAACGGTGTCGGCGGTGGAAGTCCAAATTGAAGATGACGACGACAAATGGGAGGAGATTCGATTTTAGAAGAAGAAGAAATGTTTATACGCGTCTTATAAGCTATTTACTCTTTTACCCTTCAATGTTGTTTTGGATAGTGTTAATCAGATTAATCCATAAATTTTTGTTATGAGTGGTGGACATGGTCTAAAACTATTCAACACCAAAAAACATAATGGGAGGTTTAAATTTTGTGATCAAAGAGAGAGTTAACGAGTGGAAAACAAAACAGTGTTTCTCTCATAACCTAACAATAAGAAGATTCAAACCACATTTTTCTCATAACATAACAAAAAGAACATTCAAGTCCCTTGTCAACAAAAAAAAAAAATAGAGATTCAAGGCACATTTTATTGTTTTTGATACTACTTGTTTTCAAACTTCCCAAAGACGAGCCCAAACACCAAGCTGGTGGCAAACGTAAGCATCTAGTGACGCCTGAAGAATTTGATCAAGGTCTAGGTCATAAACGGTCCAATCACTCATGCTTATCTCCGGATCTAGCGTGACTCCTTGATAACCCATACATTCCTCAACAATCTCTGCAAACGAGCAACGCCTCATGCTCCTTCCCCACGAATCATTCACGTACTGCCTTATGTCAAGAAGTTCCCCAATCTCCAGCTGGTGGCAACATCGAGCCAGCTTTCCTGCATCTTGACCATTCCAAACGCCTACGAACGTGGTTTCTGGATCTCCTAAGAAACTGCGGAGATTGTTAGGGACTTGCTCACAGTAACCTAACTGGATGATGAGACACCGATTACCCACGCATAACTGGAGAATATCCGCTGGATTATCTGAGTAGTTTCTACCAGCCGGAGCATCGGCGTAGTAGTCATTCTCCAGAGGATCGGCGTAATAATCTCCCGGCGGAGGATCGGCGTAGTAATCACCCGGCGGAGGATCAGCGTAGTAGTAGTCATCCGACGACGGAGGATCGATGTAGTAATTATTCGGTGGAGGAACGGAGAAAGGAGTCCACTGGACGCCGACTCCAACGACGAGAGGGTGAGATGAGAAACGGTTGTTAAAGAGGACGTCGCGAATCCATCGGCTGATGACGGAGGAATCCGGAGTTACGGTGACGATGAGCTCGTCTCCAAAGAAATCGACGGAGTACTCTAGGTGAGTGTTGTAACTTGCGACGGTTCTTATCGTCGGAGAAGCCATTAAGCTCTCTTCTTTGCTTCTTTGCTTTTTTCTGGTTTTGGAGGAGTGAGTGAGGCTGTGAGGGAGAATAAACAGAGAAGTGTTATAGACCGCATGGTCGGATGGACTCCATAACCGTTGGGCCTAATCCATATTCTACAAGGCCCATGTCCATGTTCTAGAAGGCCCATTGTATGTTCTAGAAGATTCTCCTTATGACGGTCTATATTATACTTAGTGGGCTTTTGGGCTTTAGGGTTTAAAGCCCAATGGGGATTTGTCTCCCCTTGTCATCTATAAATATGTATTGAAACCTCATTCATTAATCAATAAGAACAACAAGTTCTATAACACGTTATCAGCACGATAGCCTCTAAATCCCTTAGCTAAAGATCTGACACATAAACCCTAATCTCACGATCTCTCTATCTCCATCAAACCCCTAAAACGCAAAGAAATCTGCCTCGGAACTTCAAAGAGGTCGTTCTCTCAAATCGTGAGGACCCAGAAAACGAATAAGATACCAAATCGAAGCCCTCGCCGAGACGAATCCATCAGTGCAAACGGCTTGTCGATCTGACCACCGACGCGCCCTCACGCACAGATACAGTGTGCGCCGATTTGTTTTGAAAACCCTAGCTAGCTCGTCCGTCCGTTTGCTTTCTCCTTTGCTCGGCGATTCCTTCCAAGGACCATACGCTCATGACAAGTTGATAACCGAGGTCTTTAGCTCCCGGTTCTAGTCCATACAACCCCATAAGGTGAAAGGTAACATCAAAACCCTAAAGCTAAAGAACCAACAATTGAACTTGAAAGTTAAGCAAAGAGAAACCCTAAAACGAATGATGATTGATTAAGTGATTGCTTTGCTTGTATGATTTGATTGCTTGCTTGATCCGATTGCTTGTTTGCTCGATTGTTTGACTCGTTTAGGTTGCTAGAAAAAGTTGATTATCGCTTAAGCTAAACTCGCCTAAGTTGCTAGAGAAGTTTTAATTGTCTAAACCTAAAATCGCAAAACGAAAATACATAAGCTAATAACCGAAACTTTAAAGGTCTAAAAACCTAAAACCTAAAACGAATCTAATTCAAAAAATTCCATAAGTTTAAATCGGCTTGATTGAGATTGTTTAGGTTGTTAGATTGTTTGCTCCTTTGATTGATTACATGCTTAACACCCTAAAACTAAAATTGCATGAACCCTAGAAAACTTAGAAAAGATAATCCTAAAAGAAATCTCAAAACCCTAAAACCTTAAAATCCTAAATAAAATAGGAAACCCTAAAATCTAGGAAACCTTAAAATCCTAAATAAAATAGGAAACCCTAGATAATAGGAAATCTTAAAACCCTAAAACCTAAAACCCTAAAATCTTAAAATAAAATAGAAAATCTTAAAACCCTAAATCTTAGGGATAATAGGAAATCTTAACAACCCTAAATCCTAAATAGGGAATCTTAAAATCCTCAATAAAATAGGAAACTTTAAAATCCTAATAGAAAGCATGAAAACCTAAATAAAATCCTAAATCCTATTGTACTCTAAATCCTAATTAAATTAGGAAATTCATAAATCCTATTCAAGATAGGAAAACTTTAAGAAATAGAAAATTTCCAAATCCTAATTAAAATAGGAAATCTTAAAATCTAAAATCATAAGTGAAATAGGAAAATTAATCCTAAAGTAAATCCTAAAAGGAAAAGGAAAAGTTAATCCTAATCAAAAGAGGAAATCTAATCCTAAGCAAAAGAGGAAAGTCAAATCCCTAAGTAAATCGATTCATGGTTCGGTCTCAAATACCGCATGACACTAACGATTACATGATTTTGACTCAAAACTTTTCCTTGTAGATGTTGAATTACAACTTGTATTTTACTGCCCTAAATCTCTTAGGAGATAATTATTTAAAATGGGCAATGGATACTAAGATTATCCTAAAGTCAAAAGGACTTGGTGAATGTATCTAATAAGGCAAGAATGCCAAGAGAGAAAGATAGATACAAGGCAATATTAGCCACCGTCTTATTGAGAGTCTCATAATCAGGACTATAAGTCTGTGGATGAGTGTATTGCTAGATGAGCAAAATAATGACTTACTGATAAAAAACAGTGAGTTACGACCTCATAGATTAACTCCATTACCTAATGCCAATAAGGCCGCAGAGGATAAGAAAGAATCCAAAGAATCTAACCACGTCTAAAGTGATAGACCACACGGCCGTGACCGTGGTGGTATTGAAAGGACGTGGTTGTGGCCACTATAACTCATCCGGCCGTGGGAACCACTATAACCGTGGATGTAGACCCAAATTCCGGCCGTGGTCGAGGGCGAGGACGATGTGGTATTTCCAAACCACAACACTCGACCAAATGAGTATGCCATAGATGTGGTATTGAAAGGACGTGGTTGTGGCCACTATAACTCATCCGGCCGTGGGAACCACTATAACCGTGGATGTAGACCCAATTCCGGCCGTGGTCGAGGGCGAGGACGATGTGGTATTTCCAAACCACAACACTCGACCAAATGAGTATACCATAGATATGGAATGGGAAACCATTGGGCTAAGATATGTAGGACTTCCAAACATCGTTGTGACCTCTATCAAGAGAGTGTAAAAGGGAAGAATCCTAAAGCCCATTTGGTATATAAAGATGGTGAACATGATCAAAATGATCTAATAGAGTATGAAACTTCTGATTGCATAAAAGAATCAAGTTGATAAATCTTACTTCGACATCAAAATCTCTATGTTTTTCTTTGCATTTTATGTGTTCATTGATTGTTATTTGCTTGAATTTATTTTATATTATTTTATGTTTAGAACATGATTCTTGTCCATATAAGAAATGGCCGAGGACAAGAACATAATTGTGGTGGATAGTGGAGCCACACAAAAGATAAGAGATATTTTCCTAAATCTCATAATGAAAAATGCCAATATTAGCACTTAGCGGGTATAGCAAATCTTATTGAAGGCTACGGCCAAGCCCATATTCTATTACCAAATGGCACGCATCTTTAACTAAGCGATGCCCTATATTCACCCAGCTCGAAGAGGAGCTTATTAAGTTTCAAAGATATAAGATTGAATGGTTTCCATATTGAAACAAAGGGTGAAGGGAACAAAGAGATCACCCAAAGACATAAGAAAGTCCTAGAGACTATACCCGCATTATCCACTGGTCTCTACTATGCTAAAATCGATATGATCGAAGCTAATATGGCAATGAACAAAGAGTTCATCGAGAAATTCACTTTATGGCATGACCGGCTTGGCCATCCGGGTCATAGTATGATGCGTAAGCTTATGATAAATTCAAAGGGGCACACCCTAAAAGAGAAAAGAGTTATCCCTAAGAATCTCACGTGTGAAGCATATTCACAAGGGAAACTCATTATAAGGCCATCACCGGCTAAGGTAAATAAAGAGACCTTAAAATTTCTGGAAAGGATACAAGGAGATATATGTATGGTCCTCATTGATGCATCGACAAGATGGTCGCATGTTTGTCTCCTATCTACTAGAAACCAAGTGTTTGCTAGGTTATTGGCCCAGATAATAAGACTGCGAGCCCACTTTCCAGATTTTCCGCTTAAGACTATACGTCTAGACAATGCCGGTGAATTCACGTCCCAAGCGTTTAATGACTACTGTATGTCCATGGGGGTAAGTGTGGAACATCCCGTAGCACATGTACATACACAGAATGGATTAGCGGAATCCTTCATTAAACGAATTCAATTGATCGTTCGACCATTACTCATGAGGTCGAAGCTTCCAGTAGTCGCTTGTGGACACACTGTTTTACATGCATCAGAGCTTATACGCATAAGGCCATCTAGTGAACATAAATATTCACCATCCCAAT